CTCAATAGTGCGGGTATGCGCACTATTCGCGATATTACTAGGATAAAGGGTAGGACAAAGGCCATAACGACGGTTATGAAGGTGCCACTGTAGTACATACAACCAACAAGGGGCTGAATAGGTATCAGTGCCGCCTCAGGAAAAGAAACCCGAGTTTGCTCAATGGTATTAGGAGAACACGTGGGTCGTGGTGCAAATTCAGCAGTGAAGCAGCGGTGTAAACAAAATCCTGTACAGCCGAGAGGATATTTGGTCCACGACATGTTGTAAATGTTAATGTTCGGTGTCCCATTGTTTTATAGTGCATCGACGGCTCCGTGGACGTTGAAAAACAATCACAAGGAACCACCGTATGATGAAAGCCACAGGAGATTATCCAACAAGCATTCCAAAGCGAACAAGTGAGTCCACGTGCATAAAGGAACACAAAAAAAGCCGACACCCGCGGAGAAAAGACAGGGGAGAAGACGTTGATCAATGAGAGAACAGGCGCATACTCGCACAGGCGCAATAATCCCGACACACAGTAATTCATGCAACACATACGTGCAGCAAAATATCTCTCATTGATCTACGCGTCAAAATACGCCCGGACGTCAGTCTGACGAGATGGCTTAGATGCATGCGCTTCGATCATCAACATCCGCGCCCTCTTGAGCAAGAAGCTGGCCTCGTCCAAACCACACCCTGCCGCGTAGTTTTCTAGGGACGCGTTGGGAAAGTTCCGTGTAAGGCGGTGGCTCCGCACGCCCGCCTCCGATGTTTCCGCCCTCGTCATCCTCCTCCTCTTCCTCCTCCTCGCTATCCGAGGACTCCCACCCCTCTACCGACAAGCCCTTCAAGGCCGCCGTCATGTCATCCGCCTGATCCGTCTGCTCCGCTTGCCCGTGGCAGCCGTAGCGGCTTGTTGAGAAGACAAGCACGTATGACAGATGCGATTCATTTCGCTTTCGCCTTCTTCCTCCACCTCGCCGCATATGCCGTGCAGTCTGCCTCCGCATCCTCCTCGGCATTGGTGACCATCGGGGGCTTTAGGTGTGAGGGTGCTGAGATGGCAGAGTTCGCCTGCTGCACATGGCATCGTGCGCCTCTGCTGCTGCTGTTCTCGTGGCCAGTAGGGGTACAGTATACAGTATCCCGCTAGGGGTAGGTTTGTGTACGTTGTGCGGAACTTGTCGACGGGTTTGACCGCGCATTTAGGCCGTCATGACGTCAGACCCGCACTATAGAGGTTTCTGAGATCGACCAAACCCGCACTATACCGGGGTTCCTCTTATAGTGCGGCACCCGCACTATAGAGGGGTCTAAGTTGTGCCAAGCGATTTCACCCGCATTATACCGGGCACCCGCACTATATAACCCGCACTATAGAGGGACCTCGACTGTATCCCCTTTGAGATCATTTTGCTGTAACATACAATGCAAACTTTTGTTGGCGTTCTCTAAGATTGCTGCAGATGGCAATCAGACTTTAATCAGCAAGAATACGTCGAGCCTCAGCGCCAACGTAGGTACAGCAGTATGTTGTTGTAGTTGCATGCAATCAGGTCAATGTTCGACTTTCTCTCCCACGTAAGAAATTCAGATCGAGTCTTGCTTACGGTTTGTCATGAGCGAGTACAGTCTTTGTCTGACGTAGTCTCGAGATCATGCTCCCCATACTTTCAAATTGCGGTGATGGCTCCCTGTTCAGTGACAGTCCGTGGGTATAGTGTATGTAGTGCAGGTAACGGCATTGATGTAGAGGTGACACATCGTTCAGAGTTGCACTTTGCCACACACCGCTTCTTATATGCTTGTTTCGCCCCTCGGCCAAGTACGAGTATGACCAGCAAAGCGTCAATAGTTGGGAGAAAACATCAGCAGTAGTCTTTAGGATTGTTTTCGTCAATAGCAGCATTCCCACTGTTGCCACTGTCCGTACGGTATCACGTCACTCGCTCATAGAAGACAATCTGGTACGTGCCAACGACACACACACACCTGATATGTATCTTTTGTCCCGATAGGAACAGAGAGAATCTAAGGGAGGTGGCAGCATTGCCGACAGGGTGCTCGGGGCGAGGCTTCACCCGGGCCTCACTATCAGCGAAAACTCGGCGGAGGTTTTTGTCACCCGGTTCGCTCCGGAAGGAAAGTAAGATATCGATAGGCCGCGCACGTTTAACTCCAATCCTTCCACCGAAACAGGAAAGACAGATATGCTGAGTTCAAAAACGGTGCACGTACACGGATAATTGAGTTTGTCGAAGACCTGCTTGCCCTGAACGTTCATATTTCGGCCGAGGCATAGTTATTTTATGCTCAAAGGAGGTTTCATTTCTTGCGGCCTCGGGCGAGGGCGTGTTGATCGACCGTGAAGCCTCGGTTGTATAGACATCGTATGCTTTGACACTGCGAAAAGTGGTTTTGCATCCTGTGAAATTCTGCCTGCTTTGTATCGACTCGAGTTGCTGCACAATACATGAAATGGTGCGGGATAGACAGACAGTCCGCAGTTACGCTGACGACGAGCAACGAGTGGTTGGGGCCACTCTCTTCCGACACCCTAGCACCACCTAACGTAGAGAGCGTGGTCCTCGATGACGTCACGTGCAGCGTCTCGTCTTCATTTTGCAACGCTCGCATGGCCACGCACCCGTAGCCCGTGCTCCACAAACAAACGCTGTCTTGTTCGTCCTCCAACTTCGGCTTTCTTTGCTGCCATTGGACCTTGTTGGACGAAACACCGCGCTGTGTGCTGTGCCGAAACATCCACTGACTGCCCTGGGCGAAGCCTTTTGGCGGCAGCATGCGGCGACGGAACGATCCGCATCTTCCACGTGTCCACCGGACGCCTGGCATACAACTTGCAGAGCAGCTCGTCGCAGGTGATTAGACTATGCTCACAGTAAGTTTCCTTGGTTGAGACCTACCCCCGAGGAAAATCAACATGTCCACTCATGTCTAGTAAACGCCATTGGGTTGGCAACATATATTCGAAGGTACAGCATACCTGGTGTAGTACAGATCCAGCATGTGCTTGTTCGCCGTCATGGTTCCAGACCGGGGTTAGGCAATTTCCGTCATACGGCCTAGTACGTACTTCGTATGTCCTAGCAGTCATGTACCAGGGCCTAGCATGAGGCGATAACAGCGGTGCTTTCCACGCAATATTGCGACCGGCCAAAAGACGATATTCGGCGAGCAGTCATGCCAAAAAAGCTACTTGACGTAGGCACCCATCGGGTGGGAGGTTTCTCCTAAAACCGATTTGGTGGCATAGGTGACAGCCACCGATTTTTTGACGAGCATCATCATTCAGTTGATTGCATGCCGGATGATTTCTCCCTTGGTTACCGTCTGTCTTTGTCTTACTGTCTCTCGTGTTCCCTGCGGTCATGCGTATGTGCTCCCAATTGTAAATTGACACGCTACACGTTGAGCAGTCTCTACCGACGACGTCGCTGCGGTTCAGGCCAGCCATAGCTCAGAGTAAGACGAGAAACGTCCTGGTGTCTTGCAACGCTGGGGGAGAGATCCAGCACTGGCATATCACCTCCGGTATGTTCATACGGCAGAACAACAGCGCTTACAATAGGTCTGGTTGATTCTCCGCTCGTTGATCAATAACTGAACTTACACACGCCTCTGTTGGAGACAAAGAGAACAATAGTTGGCCTGTTGGTGCAAAGCAGGAGAGGCGTCGAAGGGATTCTGGCTCAAGGTACTCTCACGGTACCAAGCGGCGCGAGAGGGCTGGAGAACGGAGTCAGTGGCTTGATCTGTTGGTACAGCGGTTCAAATGACGCGCCCCTTGCTCCCCACCGTTTTCCCTCCAAGTGCTCATGTCGGTCTTTTGTCAACAACAATGTTTCCTTTATACGTGTGTGGGTGAGTCAGGGAAGTGTCTGAGCACGATCAAGGAGGAAGATCAGTTCTATGCCCTCGACTATCGCAAAGACGGGAGCGTGTTCGCCGCCACCGGGAAGAACCACACGGTACGAACGTCCCTTGACCGTGGCCGAGTTGACGAAAACGGGCGGTCGAGGTTTAACCCGAAACCTAGTTTGGGTTGGCAGAAAGGCCGAATTTGGTTGGTTTCGCCTAGTTCGCCGCCTCAACCTTAATGCAGCTAGCAACCACGATCTAATCCAGTTGTAGATCCTCGCCTCTGCTAGGACGTTGATGCTTGTCGACAAAGTCACGCGGCTGTGTTTTCTACTCAAGATATTACACAACGGGCAGGTAACGTTTTTTTCCCGCGACTTGTGAACGGCTTACCAAACCGAACTTTGAACTGCAGGTACACATTTATGACGAGACGACGAAGCACGAAATTTCCCTGCTGCAGGGAGGCAGTGGCTACGGCTCGAGCTCAGCGCCGGGCCACTCCAACCGAGTCTTCGCTGTCAAGTTCCACCCCGAAGATCCCGAGGTACGCGTTCTTTGGGGGCTGCTAATTGTGGTTGATAACGCCTACCTGGACATTTCTATCCTTAGCATACGTGTATGCGAGGTGTGCTTCGGCCCGCTTTCCCTAGTACCACGAACTTTGAACGATACTCTGCGGCCACACCAATTGGCCACTGAATCAATGATTTGACCAGCGCTAGATCGTTCGATGTACGAACAAACGCCTTTAAACATTAACACCGTCTCACAGTCGAGTCACACAACATTTTGATTCCAATCAACGAATCCAAATCTCGACCGACGCCAAAACCAAGGTGCTCCTGACTGCAGGGTGGGACAACACCGTCCAGTTCTGGGACATGAGGGTGGGGCACTCGGTGAGGAGCATATTCGGGCCGCACATTAGTGGCGACTCGTTGGACATTTGCGGGAACGAGATTCTCACAGGGTCCTGGTGAGTGATTTTCTTTCTTCTTCAAGCTTCCACTATTATAACATCTTTTCGAAATCGCGCGTCGTCCAAACCGTGTGCACACGCGTATAGCTGGGTCGCGTGCGTCTGCTTCACATATATATACACGAAGAGAAGGGGTTTACTAACACATCCTTGCAACAAAATGTCGCCTTTGGGTTCGTACAATTCGTGTGACTTCCGCTTGCTTGTTGTGCCCTTTTTGGTTTGTTTCATTTCAGGGGGCATGTGCACAGAAACGCATGTATGTGTGTGATGCGTGACTGCTGAGTTTGGATGTTGAGACGTGCGTTGGGTTGATGACCGCGTTTAGGTCGCGGGACTCGCGCGCGCGTGTGTGTGTTGCAACGCCCGGGGCATACCATCGGATACACTCCCGTTGCGTCTTTTGTTCTTTTGCCGAAGACGAATCTGGAACGTGCGAGGATACCTTCGTTACGGTACCTGCGCTGGTCTCACCTATAGCTACTACACAAGGGGCCCGATACAACGTCACCAGATGGTGGAGAAACGGGTGTTGTTGGGGTATAAATCACTTATGCCCCCCCGGTGACGCTCTGCAGGCGGCCAAACGACCCGCTCGAAATCTGGGACTACGGGACGGCAGAGCTGAAGGAGACCATCCCATGGAATCGGTCGTCCGCCCAGGTAACCATGCAAATAATAAAACGGGCTCAGCGCATTGAGCATCGAAGTCCTTGGGTTTTCATTCAGCGAGGCGTTCGCGTGGTTCGATACACCGAGGCAAACACACGCTGGGCCGCCGGTATTTGGGCGAGTGGGCGGGCAGACGACAGAACCAGGACGCGTATCAAAACGTATTACAAGCAACAACGTGCCACCCTGGTAATTTTACCGGACCGGGGCCATTGCCCGGTGACCGCCGTGGCGGAATCGATACACGCAAAAATCGTTGGCACGCGACATGTTGTCGGAGTATGTTTTGTGAAGTTGCGCGTTGTGTGAAACCCCTCGTAGCTTCAGAGCGGGCGGGGGCCTCGATTCGACCTCGTCGCTGCCACACAGTAGTTAAAGGAACCCAGATCACGAAGTTGTGTTTCGCGTGTCTCTTTTTTGCCCGCAGGGGGTACAACCGACGTTGTTGTACACGGCCCAGTTTAGCAACACCGCGGATGGCGGGCGGTATATCGCAGCTGGGGGGAGTGGGGCGAACGAGGCCAAGGTGTGCTGAGAGTTCTTGTGTAGCTTCCCTCTTCCCCCGCGCAGCGGTGTATTTGTCGCCCGAGGGTTGGTTGTGTTTCCTTTGTTTTCCTCCTTGAACTATCGACCTTTTCGAGAACAGCGCATAAAACGGGGTTGCTCGGAGGGTGACCGCCGGTGCTTTCGTGGTGCCTATCAGTTTTGGAACAATTCCCGACTTTACTCTTTTGCGGCGACAACATGTTCTGGTCCTTTCGCTCATTGTCGCATTGTTCGTTGCCTTCACCTCTGTCTTTGGTTTCCACGGGCCGACTTGGTCATCGATGTCGTGTGTCTCGTTCTCTCGTCACTCGTCCGTCCCGCCCCTCCTCCCCCACTCCTTCCTGCAGATATTTGACCACACCGCCAACAACCAGCTCGTCGGGACGGTGACCGGCTTGCCTCGCGGGGTGTTTACCGTGGATTTCTCCCCTTCCCCAGATGTGAGACTCCATCGGGATTGGGGGTAGCGCACCGGGTTCGTGGTATCGCCTCTTTTTCGGGGTGTTGGAACCCAAACTTCGCCCGCGATGCATGCGTCACGTTTTGTGGTTGAACCACGCAAGCGTAGACATACTCGCATTCCACCAAACGGTAGCGTATCATCATTTCAAGGTCGTCGGTTCGGAAAGCCGAACCCCTCGAACGTGTGTGCTCCGCCGTCGATGCTTGTATGTACGCACGCCCCTCCGCCATTGCGTTCCGAACACAATAGGCGAAGAAGGTGGCGGTGGCAGGAGGGGACGCGTCGATTCGCATCATCGACATTGTCGAGGAGAAGACGGCTGACGTTTACTAACTAGTAGAGGGTTCAACTCCGTGTTTATTTCTGGTGTAATCACACTAACTAATGGAACGGCACCTCCAGTTGTTGTCTCGCAGTTGTTGACAGTTTGCCTTGGGAAATCTCCGCACCATGGCGGACCGCGTAGTTGGTGTATTGTTGGAAAGGAGTATTCTCGTTTACATCTTGCGGCTGGGGAATAGTCGAGGGAGCGCAAGGGGAAAGGCATGCTTGGTTGTGGAAGAGCACCTCCATGCAGGCACACCGTGTTTTCACCAGCAAGCGTCAGAACTGTAGCAGCAAGATTCCAGAGGTTGAAGTGCCCTTGAAAGCGTTTTCAACCGGGCGAGCAGCTGCGGGGGGCTTGAGACATGAAGCAATATTTCGGTGGGATCTGTATTGCTATCTGTTGATGCTGCACACCAGATTATAATAGTCACCTGCCGCGAGGGGGGGATTTGGTGTACGTGTTAACGCAGATTTTTTTCAGAGAGACGGCGATTGTTGTTACACGCCATGATCCGGTGTTCTCGGACCGTTGTCAATCGTCCCCTGGCGTGGTTCATGTGTTCTCCGCAAAACGCGCTCTACGCTGCTGTACTTTGCCTTGTTCCAAGTACCACGGACACAGGGCTACCGCAGGTAGCGGGGCCTGGTGTGGAGAGCTAGTGAGGGCTCAATAACCCTTCGCGGCAAGGAAGGGATGCCCCTCCTACTGTAGATTGACCGCATAGAATCCTACCAACCACAACCACACCTCGCGCATTGGTTTAAACCCTGACCTCTGCGAGGGGTATAGCCGCCAGTCGGGGTAGGATGCTCGAGACATTTCTTGTACAAATTGAAGACCAGTTCTTGTACAAATTGACCGACATGCACAGGTGTTTGACAACCCGAAACACCCGACCAATTGATATCAATCGCAAATACCAGACGTGTTCCCGGTGACACAGGTCGAGTGCGAACGGTGTCGAATGTGTGCGGCAATCGCATTTCTATAAGAGCAAGGATGTTCGCTTGTACCCAAGGGAGTGTGAGGTGCGAAAAACAAGACATCATGCACTACATACCCCGCGCGATGAATATGAAGGGGTTCGAAACCATTTTACGATAAGCACGACAACGGTGATTGGGATACGTCTAGAACCAACGATGGAAAAGTGTGCGGCATAACCGTACAGCACCACTACTGCCACCTGTATTTCACGTCTATGTTTTTCACTAACACTAACAAGGCTACGGACGTCCATCCCAGAGAAATACAGGTCCACCCGTACCTACCCTGACGCGTTTCAACTACCGCTCGACACGCTCAGCGACACGATGGAGGAATTGTCAGAGCCGTCCTCCGTACATTGAGTACCGCCTCGTTCCACCTCCTTTGTTGTTGCCACCTCTGCTGCCGCTAAACTAACCGGTTCAATGTCTCCCGCTAGGTTCTTTTCCGTGGCGGCACCGGCAACAGCAGCAGCGACAGGGGCAGCGACTCTCTCAACCCCTCGGCTTTCGGTCGGTTCCTCTACTTTCTCTCCGGTGGTGACAACGGAACTTCTTGTTGCCACTCGTGCCGCAACACCGGCGTTCTCCTCCTCCCCCCTGCTGACGCCACCCCTGCTGCTGCCGCCTGGACTCGATGAGAGGGCGTCGAAGTCGGGATCTTCCGATCCATACTCCGACGCCGACGCGGCCACCGCCACCAGCGCTTGGCGCTCAGGAACGGGAGACAGACCGACGGCCGAAAACCCTAGCGATTCAGCCCCGCCCCCGGCGTGGGTACCGCCGACGGTGGTCATCATCGCGTCCGCTGACGTGTCCGTGTCCACCGGCAGCAAGCCGACGAAGACGTCCACTGTTGGACCGAGGGTGGGTGGGCAAGCGGTGGCGGAAGACGGGGGCAAAGAGACGGCGGCTTCTCCGCCCCCTTCCACTTGCCGTGGCTGATGGTCGTTCTCCTGTTGGCCTCTTTCCGCTGCTTCCGGCCGGGGTGTTGTCGGGGATGGCAGCGGCGACCACGAACTCGCGCCTTCCGGTTGAAAATTGCTCCCTTCTCGGGGATGCTGTAGTGTTTGGGAGAGATCACCACCGGCAGCATCATCAGCAGTTTCACTCTCTGCGGAATCTTCCGAAGGAAGACTGGTGGACGGCAGACCAGCCTCCACGAACGCAGATTCGGCGACATCCGGTCGATTGTTTTTGCCGTCAGCGTCGCTTAACCTAGCGTCAAGACCGTCGGCTCCTGATGCTGGAGTCGACGAAGGAGTCCCATCAACAGCAGCAGGGGAGGACGGGGAGTCGAGTTCATCACCAGCTCGGACAACAGGGGAAGACGATTCCGCCGCCACCACTGGTGCTTGTTGCGAGGGGATAAAAGAACCATCACCAGAGCCGCAGCGATTGACTAGCACCGCTCCCGGGCCGTCACCTCTCTTTCCTGCGTCCGGCTGCCCCTGAGCTTCTTCTTCAAGGGTCTTCGGCTGGCCTTTTATTTCCATCGCAGGCAACCCGTCGGCTTTGCTGGTTGTATTTCCCGAGGAAAGCCGTCTCCTGACGGCCTTCTGGATCGTTCTTGCGCTGCGGTCGCTCCTCGTTGCCGCCTCTGCCGAGTCAAATTCTGAGGACACGGCCAGAATCTCCTCCTCTCCTTGCCTCGCGGTCCCACGGCAGACACCAACGCCTGCCAATTCTGGATCCGGCTCCGCCTCTTGCTGTTGACGTAGGTCGACATTCTCCGAAATCTCACGCCTGTTGATCGCAGTAGTGTTTCTCCGGGCACGACGACGACGAACGAAAGCTTGGATTTTCAACGTGGCGGCCATCTTTCTGGCGTGCAACTCGCGACGTAGCTCTTCCACCTGGCGGGACGCAAGGCCTCCCCGCACAGTGGTCTGTATTCGGATGGCCGCCTCCTCCGGGATCTCCTCTGGCCTCTGTGCTTGCCTGACCTGGGAATGGCGCCGTGCTCGCCAAGCGTCAAGCCACTCTTGTTTTCCCTCCTTGGCGCTCTCTTGTGGCGCTTCCTTTTCGTCGGGCTTGGTGTTGCGGAGACGGCCACCACGGCATAGCCAAGCGCGCGCTGACCTTTGTATCCGTAGCGCCGCCGTTGCGGCCACGGTCTCCCGCTCCTCCACCAGCTGTTGCTGTCTTTGGTGCTCCGTCAGCACGTTGTTGCCTCCGACAACGGGGTTTTGTCTCCCCTCGCCACAAGAGATGGCAGCGCCTTCCTCCTCTGTTGTATGGGCGACGCCTTGGTCCCGGCGTGCGTCTTTCGCATCGTCGCTGCTGATACTTCCGTTCAGGCACTCCCCGAAGTCAGCGCTACCACCTTCGCCGCTCGTCTCCGAGTCGCTCAAAGAGTAACCCTCAGCGTCTTCTTCGAAATCATCGTCATAGCAAACGCTTGGGGCCACGCTCCTCTCTTCATCGACAATACCCTCCTGTCGTAGTTCCCCCGGGACGATCGAGGGCTTATCCGTGTCACCATCACCATCATCACCACTACTAACCCCACCCACAGGTATCCCTGCGCTCCCAACTCCGCACTCACTCGTTGCCACTACCTTCAAACATCCATTTTCACCAGCTCTTGCCTCGGCACCAACGGTGCAAGCGCTCCTCCTAGCTATATCTGTCTCGCTCCTGCTCTCCTCTTCCGCCCCTGGGGGATGTAGAGAGGTTTCCAGACGAAACGAGGGGGCCAATGGATTCGTCATCTTCGTCTGTTCTCCAACTCCGTTTTCGTGAAAGGCGGATCTGCCTTCGACTTCGGCGGTAGAACCTTGTCCTGCCTGGGGTCCCTCCGATTGGCTTTGTGTTTGGTCATGACCCCCTTCCTCAACTCGTTCCGGTTGTTTCTGGCTTCGGACTCCCTCCGTGTGGAGTAGGGAAGCCTGCCCCTTCTCGTCTTGCTCCCTATCTTCACCCTCGTCCCCATCCTCGTCTTCCCTGTCTTCTTCCTCGTGCCCATCTCCCTCCCCCGACACTGTCAATCTTTCCTGCTGGGCGCTGTCGCGAACTGATCCTCGGAACAGGCTGGCTCCCGCTGATGTACTCGTGTTTGTCACCGTCGCTGGTTGTTGTTGTTGTTGTTGTTGTTGTTGTTGTTGTTGCAACTGCAGTGGTAACTCACCGCCTGTGAGGGGATCCGGAGGTATCGCGGCGCTGACGGAAACATCTCGCACGGCAGGAACCCCGCTGCGCCCGTCGTTGTGCGCAAAACTATCAACAACGTCTTTTGCCGCATGTGTTTCACTCTCTGCGCCAGGCGGTGGGTTGCGGGCAGCAGGCGGCACTGACGGAGGCGAGGAAGACGACCAGCGACGCTTTCCCTTCGGGGCGGGGTTTCTGCTATCCCCTGGCAGCCACCGCAGTAGCGGCACGAAACAACCCTGACGTGGGAGAGACACGCGTGCGATGTTTGACAACTACAATCTTTGCAAAAGAACACTCAGATGTGAGGCAAAGCAAGACGGGCAGAGCTACCTGTGCGGTTTGAAGCCCCTTCCTGGGCCATGGAAGCGAAGCGACTGACTGCACCAGGGAGACGCCTCAAATTTTACGTCCTCGCTCCAATATACACGGCAGGGCAAATTTCAGAAGCACTCAGAACAGCTCTTGTCACCTACACATGCCGGTGTTCGGCATGAAGCTCTCCACAAGCAAACGTACACATTGACGACATAAGACCCACCCCATCAGGAATCATTGTGACTCATATAAATGCGGCGGTGGCGGGGTGCTTGTTGGGCGTAACGGTGTGATCCTGCATAATGCCGCCTCCTCCCTCTTCTACTCCCGATTCATCACCTTCGTCGCCAGGCGAACCCGTTCGGCTTCCACCCTCCGCTGCAACGCGGCTTCTTGCACGACAACCGCCTCCATGGCGGCTGTAGCTGCTGCCGCTGTCGATTTTAACCGCCCTCTTTCCCCTCCTACATCCCCGCTTTCCCCTCCCGGCCGCCCGCCAGCTCCAACAACCGGTGATTGCTCGAAATAGCGGGCTCGGTACGCCGACACGAGCTCAGCCTTTGGCGTCAGCCGCACGATGGCCGGAGGGGGTCGGAGCACATCACCCTTCGTGTCCCTCTCTCCGTCCGACAATTCGCTGCCGCACGTGGAGCTGTCTCCAGGTATTGCTGATGGTGCACCTCCACCGTTGCCGGACGGGTAGAGGACGAACGTCTGGCGGGAAACCGAAGAGATCGTTTGTTCGTTTCGTCAAACGCGCGGCAAGGGGTGTGGAGGGGCGGCGGACTGAACGGAGTGTGCGTTGCCGAGCTCTGAAACTCGTGCGGTATACCGCTTCGAATGGTGTCGTGTTATCACGTAAACAAAGCGCAGTTGGTCCTCGCTAGAAAGTGCGTGGAGGATCGTCAGCTACACCAGCACGAGCAAACGCCTGGGGTGGTTGCCCTCGATACCGTTTTCACGAGACCAAGTGACTCACCATGTCTTTGGCCTCCAAACCCACAGAGGCAAGCAAGCTTTGCCCTACGGGAGAGCGTAGAAAGATGGTGTCCTGCCACATCTTTTCGAGATAGTTGACCCCTCGCCAACAGAACGCTCGCGGCTGCCACAGGTTTGTTCGCCATTCCTCCACCGCGCGAACGACGTCAAGCGAGGCGTCGCGGAGCCCGGCCAGAGAGACCACGACACCTAAAGCATCGGTGTCGAGCCCCCTGTGCCATTGGAATGCTTGCAGGGCTTGCTCTACCTCGCATAGTCTCGACTCTCGGGCATTGACGCAGCGGAGCACCTTGGCCACGTGATGCATTTGTGGTATGTCAATATATCAAGCAACGTGGAGGGATGTATGAAGTGCGTTATTTAGTGTAGCTCAGTCTGTGACTCTCAGTTGGTGATGCTCGCTCCAATGTTGGCTTTGTATCGCATTTGCTTCGCTGACGCTCGAGCTCACGATGTCACCCCCCGAACGTTTTCTAGGTAACTGGGTGTCCACTAACAGCCGATTGCGGTATTATTTTTCAACACAGCATCGATAAACCTCTACTGTGACGATACCACCACCAAAACTTCGGTTGCCCGGACGGCACCACATGCGTTCGACGTGTTTGCCCTGTTTCGCATGCAGCGGTACAGTCCCACTGACTTCACGCCTCAATTTATTTGCACGCATGAACTGCAACACTTTTGAGAGCTCTACTAGATGTTCCGGTTCGGCAGGCTTCCCGTATTCATGTGGGCATCTTTGCGCACTGCTGTGGTGAGCTAGTTCACAAGCACTGGGAGTGACCAGCATAGATCACGTTTTTCGTTTTTTACATCCGTGGCCAAACCTGCGCAATGCGCTAAACAAGAGCGCGCTACGTCTCAAGCTTCGTACGACAGCATACAGACAGTGGTTGGGTTTTGGGAATCGTGGATGTTTAAGGTCGGTTTTATCTCATGGTTGCGAACGAGATAAATAGAAGGAAGGCGTGTTCCCCTATGTGCATCACATAGCTTCGTAGGGTGAGACGTCGTCGTATCGTACATCATCGTGCGTAAACCAACTCCAAACAACGTAGGGTCTCCTCCTTCCTTCACGAGCCTTCCTTGTTCGTGCTGCTGCGGTAAGGGGAAACCTTAGCGTTGATCCAGGGCAATGATCAACGTCGACTATCTCGAGAATCCTTGGTAGGCACACGATACAGAAGTGTTTCTCGTATTCGGTAGAGCGTGCCAATGCATACCTTTACTGTGGCAGCCCTGTGCTCGAGAAGAAGGCGTATCTGTCTCGTCAGCTCGCGATTAACATTCTCGCTCGTAGGACCACTGTTACCACCACCACCACCACCGCTGCCGACTGGTGGTTCCTCGATCCCACCGCCGCCACGAGCTCTCTGCCCCGAAAAACCACCACCCCCTCCGCCGGCGTCAAGGTACGCGGCTGTTACATACGCCCGGTCTGGATCCGGGATCTTGAGCTCTTGCCATAGAGCCTGCAGGCGAACGCCCATCCTTCGGATCACCATTTCCTCCGCCTGGCGCTTGGCCGCCCTCGCTCTCGAAGCCGCCAAGCCATCGGAGTTGTCGTCTTCGCTTTGCCTCCTCCTCCGCCGATTGTTGCTGTCAGAACTGGCGACGTCAGCGCTGCGTACCATATGATGGAGGTCGTTGGCGACCTTGCTGTATCTTCGGTTGTTTTTTTTCTCGTCTTTTGTCGCTCCTGATGATGCCCTTCGCGGAAGTGGTAAGGGTGGGTGTTGTTGTTGACTCGATCTTCTTCGCCGCTCCGGTGGCGGTCTATTCATTCTTTTGGCGGTGGTGGTAGACCTTGCGGTCGTCTCCTTGCGCATGTTGCTGTGCAGGTTACGGAAGTACGGGCCCCAGCCGTCTTTCGCTGCTGTCATGAACTGCTTTACCGGAAGGTTGGCGATGGCCGAGATGCTGAATTGCATTTCACGGCGATAGGACAGAGGGAGACAAGGGTCATAGGGGATCGGAACCGTTTCGGGGTGCGAAGCAGGCGCTGTATACTGGAACACGAGCCTGCACTCTATCCATGCATGTAGTAGTGATCTTGGTTGGAGTCGACGCCCACTGCAAGGATTCTAAACTCTGGAGCACTAGACTATATGGCTGTTGTATGTAGGAAAGCTTCAGACGTAAGGACCTTCCATCCTACGTAGTCTCTCGATACCACTACAAAATTGCTCTTCCAGCGACACGGTTTGAATGAAGGGGCCGCGCTGTGGTGTTTATCCTCCCACACCATCGGGGTAGGCTCATACCGTCAGCTTTCCCCCTCTCTACAGGTCCATTGGTCCATTGAGGGGGAGGAGACGCTAAACACGTGCGAGTATGCATTGCAATTTGACGGCTTCTCACCTAGAGTCAAAATCCGCTGGATTCAGGGAGTTGGCCCGCCCCTGATCTCTGCAGATCTTCAGCAGAACGTCCATATCTTTGTTTGCACCAGAGTAGCCATCGTTCATGTTACTTTTGTTCGCAAGATACCGCACCGAAGATGCGCTCGCCGGGCGTCTACGGCTACGTGGGACTCTCGACAAGTCCGCACGCTGAGGACGGAGACATCCCCCCCCAACCATACAACTGCTGTCGTCTGCTGCGCGTCGGCCTTGCTGCTGTTGTTGTTGTTGTTGTTGCTGCTGAATCTGCCGAGGACGAAGTGCATGTGGATACGGAACGCCGACTTGTACTGCTGCTATCGCACCACCACCTGAACGTCGCCGTCGTGCCTTCTGGTCCCTCTCTCCTGCTGACCCTCTATTCCCTGAGAGGCACGATTGACTTTCGACTTCAAAGCCCAAGCTTCCCATTAACTCCTCCCGCAATCTTTCGACGTAGGACATGAGCCGGACATATTATACACATCAGAATAAAGGCCTAATTACGTGCCCCCGACAAGTCCAAACAGAAATCCTTGGCTAGTTTGATGAGCCTCATTCCAGGAGTAATGTGGTCGGTCTTTCCAAAAAAAAAAAAGTCGAGGTCGTCGGTTTGTCGGTTCATTTGCGTACAGTATGCAAAAAAAAAAAGGTCGCGACGGTTTCGTATTTATTTGCGGCGAGTTTGGAGAAACACGTGCACATATGACACATACATACATGTGCACAAGACACAGATCTTTCGCCGCCTTTTTGCAGCACCTTCTGTTGTAGCCTGTTACGTCGCACCAGGTGGTCTGGTACAATTATGGGGTCAGCTTGGTCAAGAAAGCAGGCAACCATCCATAGTTCCTTCCAGGCCGCGCCTCTTGCTGTGGCCTCGTGGGACCTACAGCACGTCAAGATTCTCCACGATCGATTCCGGGTAAGGAGCAAAGCAGCGTGCAATCTGTTGACACAGCCAAGCTGTTCACAAAGTGGATAACACGCCGTGCCTACAAGAAGGCAAGAAAACAGCGATTTGTGCACAGTGATGAACTCTGTTCGTGAACATTATGTTCGACAACACTTCAGTGCAGTGGGATGTACGAGCTTCGATGTCGTGCGAATTACGCATGGTCCGTTCTTCTTGTGGTCAGTATCACATCAAACATAATGGATTAGTCTAGCCGGTGACGATAAATTGATGATTGATTACAGATGCAGATGATCTCTGGTCGAATGCCTGCATAGTACTGTACAATGTAGTTGTTGCGCTTTGTTCGTGAGTATACTTGAGGAAAGGAAGGACGACTGAACCCTGCAGCGTGAATTCGGATCGGATATAACCTCGTCGGGTAGACTACGGTAGACTGCGAGCGACGGTTGATGAAATGGGATACAATGAAGAAGACAACATAACGCTACGGATGACAATGGCATGACACGGCAGGACGATGGGTACGAATTCGGCATAGACCGGGTGTCGCTGCGAGATCTCATCAGCTCGGCGTTGCCACTCGCGCGAGGAGTGACGGGTGACCTCTGGGAAATCTACGTAGAACACGAGCAGGAGATGCTCTACCCTCTGGAACTGTTTGCCGCCGTTGCTCTCCAGTGCCATGGCTTGTCTAGGTGTGGTGTATCTACAATTTACAGCTGCCCAGTTTTTTTGTGTAAGAATTGTAAGAACCCGAGCTATTTCCATGCCCATTTTGGTCCCTGTCGCTCGGAAGGTCGGAGGCTCGACTGGTGCATTTCTTCAAAAGCCTCCCCGGGGATCAGGGTTCATTTCTAAAGTCGTTCTTTTTCCATGAACACGCTCTGTCTCCATTGATCGGGTCGACAAGAATAGCGGCATCCGCGTGATAAAAAAATACTAGAAGTAGGAACTTCCACGGCAGTGTCTGATATGCGAGGTGCATTGCTGAAGCTAGGTGTATATCGCTGGTTGTCCGTGCAACGTAAACGCGAAAACTCCACTAAAACTCGGCCGCAGCCGACCGATAGTGTATGTGCGGTTGAAGTGTATTACAGGGTCGGCGTTTCGTTTCGTGCTCCACGTCTCCTTCGTTCGCAACCAACAGAGAAAAGGCGGGGTTTATGTTCGACATGTTTGACTTTGAAGGCCGACAAGAGGTTTCGTACGACGAGTTGGCCATCTGCATCTCGACCGTCGTGGGAGCACTTTCGAAGGTATGAGTCGAAACGAACAACCACAAAATGGCAAGGTGACACCGGAGAAGAAACCTCCGTCGCGCCTCCCGCGGCACCCGTTCGGGATTGCAAGCGGTGTTGGACGATCAACACCACCCACCATTAACGGCACCAAAGACGAAGGTGATCCGAAGGGCGCCCTAACCCAATCCAATCCAGCCGTAGACATGCTGTACACAAATGATGCTCGCCCAGACAACCCCCCGTTTGGACCCGTTGACGATATTTGTCCTGTTTGCACCACGCACCGCACACACGCCCATCGAAAGGTCTCTGGACCCTGCGGTTTGATGGACGAAAAGAGCGTCGACAAGCTGGCCGACGATGCCTACGTGGTCGCAGGAAGGTGGGTGCACATTAGATGCGCATCAAGTACTGCAAACACAAACGCCTTGTTCATTTTCTTTCGTGACATCTCGTGTATCCCCATCATTGCTGTCTGTTCCCCGCAAGCTACGTAGTGTTGAGGTATGCGTGGTGGGTGTGATGCCTGAAGCTGGGGGAGAAAGGTGGACGGGGAATACGCCACCCATGTAGATGCCATAGAATCAATGACACTTTTGTCGTGGTGCCAAAGCTCCGGTAGGGCCACTGCAGGTTTTGTGCTGAGCGCAAACTCGTCGTTTTTTGTGTAGATTCGGATGTCTACGAAAATCCTGAAACGACACTGTCACTATCGTTCTTACAGTTGTGACGGCTCCAATGGCGGGATGGCTGTGCGTGTGCAAATCGGAACCGCAGCTCCGTAGACAAGAGTTCATGCTTGTGTGCACGTTGCCCAGATTGACCAACGGCCGCGATTGCACCTCTCTCGCAAAAGGTGGACTATTTCCACCACCACTAGCAGACGGTCAATTCGTTTTAGACGACAATTACTAATCGAGGTGCTCGGGTGGATGGGAACAGAGATGCTACGACGTGAGCTTCCGCGCTGTCATCCTAGAAGTGGCCTAAGAAAGGTTCAACCACCTCGTCCTTCCAGCTCGTCTGATGAAAGTCGCTACTACTCACACACAAAACAGCGCTTTCTAGATGTCTCGCCAACCAAAAGGCTTGCCGCTCCGAATGCATACGAACGAATACGCAGCGATGCCAGCGTCTCTCTGTCAAGACCAGATTTCCTCAAATGGGTAGAGAAGGGCCTCAAGATAGACCTCGCGGCCGACGTTACGCTGGAGGACCTGGGCAAGGCTCTGGGAGTGTGGTCGAGCGAAGATCACGAACGGCTGCAGCAGTTGCAGCGGGAGCGGGAGAAGCGGGAGCGGGAGCAGGAACTCGACATCAAAGAGTCTCGAGGAAACGCAGAAGACATCTACACACCGGAAGAAAGCTGATGACGACGACGAAACTCCGAGGCATGAAGAAACCGGCTCTCTGTTGTCATAGTCGACACTACAAACACACGTTGAAAGCCAAGCTGGATTGACTCTTGTTTCCTCCGGTTGGTTGCTCTATGGGCGGTTTTCTCCAGGGAAAAATTGCCGTCGACTTGTGAGTTAGCCTCCATGCTAGAAAGACCACTTAAGCCAGACACAAAGAATGCATTCCGCCCTCGGCAAGTCTGCCATCCCGCCACTATCGGAAGAACTGCGACCATTGCATCCTCAAGGGTTAGTGGAGAGGATTAGTTCTCCGCATCTTCTCCACTCACCTTTTTTGGGACGCAACGGTCTCAGTTGTTCCGATGGTGGCGGAATGGACAAGTCATTAAAAAGCAGCGTCCTTGTTTCTTCACACCAGGTAAAAATTTACAGTCTGTATCACCATCACCCGCACGGAATCGTCTAGATACCAGCGAGGGCTCTGGCTGTTCATCGCCAGACGTACATGGCAACAGGAGACAGCAAAACAGAATTCTCTATCCCTACCCCAATCCCCGTTAACCCTTGCAATGGTACATGTTCACTTTCCTCCCCTGTAGACGCCTCTTGCAAAATTGTCGTTACACAACACCTCTATGCTGTACACGCCGCTATTGTCCTCCGAGGAAACAGCAAGCAGCTAAAAACACGTGACCTCGTCAGAATTTGCGCTCGTTTTGATGGCAAGCCGGTGGCAACACTTCCTCCACAGTCCTTCCACGCTCATTCCAGCCCCGCACACTGCGTAGTCCGTCTTAAAAAAGCAGGTGCGTTACACAACAGAACCGCCGTGCCGCCGTCATGTCGTTGGCCGCTAGCGACACCACTGGTGTATCTATTTGACCAAGGGTCGAACCACCGTCACCTACGTCGACAACAACATCGGTCAAAACGGCTGTTGGTATGCATAGCTCCAACTACGATCAAGCCGGCACGGCCAACAACAGTTGTCCCATCCCTTCGTCAACCCCCGCCCCGTCTATGCCCTGCTCCTCGTCCTGCTCCTCTCGTTCCGGCAACTCATCATCCCCGGGCGATACATCAACAACGCGGTCGTCGCTGTTGATGGCCAGCAGCGGCGCCCTGCTTCTTGCCAGTAAACTCAGATCCGAGACAACGTCGGCACAGTTCTGGGGATTGTCCTCCGCAGCTTTCACTAACCCCCCCGCGTTCGCCGTCGATACGTTGTTGTCATCAGCGGCGCCACCTGTGGCCAAAACACCGCCCTCGGCTGCGTGCTGGACTTCATCTCCCGCCGCCGGCGCCCGCGTTGGCGCCGGTGTTGGTGGTTCCCAGCCCCGTGGTGATGCGTCGTGGTCGGGAAGAACGATGTTTTTTGTCTTGTCTAACTTCCGCAGCGGCCACCATGCGACCTTGATGGTTGTTTTGCCCGGGGAAAGGGGGGGTCAGTTGGCGGAACAAAGCTGCTGCTGCCGTGCGTCGTTTGTTCGGTGGTACATAGATTTGGTTGGTTCAACAACAAAAAACTGTATTCAGCTTCTGTCCAATACCCTAGATGGTCAAAAATAACCGCATCGACACAGCATTTCATGAATGGACTATTCCTTGACCGGCTGTTTTTTTTTTTTTTCTCTTGTCACACGAAGCGCCAATCAACTACCGCTTGGTGAACCATCACCGATTTTTTCAGCCCTGGTTGGTGGAACAGAAGGTGCTGAAACTGCACATCGCAAACCTCCGGAGGGTTACCATAGTGGCGCTCCACATCACCGACCGCGCAGATTTTCTGACTCTGATCCTCACCGCCAGGCTAACCAGGCTGATGGCCGTCGCGAGGAAAAATGGAGCTTCTTCGAACCCCACCGAGGCTCCTGCCGAGAACACCTGCGGTTGTTCCAGAAGTGTATACCCAGAGGCCGAATTTGTTTTCAGGAACCATAGGAAAAAAGGAATGCACAAGACAGGAACTTGCACCCACAGGAAACGTGTATAAAGCTATACCCGTACATGGTCCCGTGGTATTACTTACCCCTCGCCATCGCTAGGGGTACGCGCCAGCGTGGACATAATGATAAATGGGCTTTATGCTTAGTCCATATCACCAGCTAGCCTATACGTGACCAAAACCTGGACTACGGCAAGATACTTCTGGAGTTCACCTGGAAGCGGACAACAAAAAGCACACAATAGACTAGACTTGAAAAAATCCAGTCTGTTTTCTTGGTATGTCAGGAAGAAGTGCCAACAAGCGCGGCATGTCCATAGTAGAAGGCGACACTCATGAGTACTATAATAGCGTCTCTAAAGAGCAGAAGCGTTGGCGACGCCAACAACCTAACAAAAATGACACGCCAAACAAGTGGCCGACACAGCCATGAACACAAATCGAGCGAATCTATGTGGCAGGAAACGACAACCAAACAGAAAAATTGCTCACCTGCGTGAACACGGGAGCGGCGACCCCTTCCCCGACTACACGGAGGCTCATTACCGCACCCTGGTCGGGTTATTGTCGCCATTTGCGCGTTGGGGACGAACAGACACGCAGATATGGCACGGGAGGGGGGGGGGTAGGGGGGCACCAAGCCAATCAGGACGGAGGCGCCGGTTGACGCCGTTATCGTCGCACGTGCGTCGAGCCCGCTGCAAGTGCCAGGAGTACGAGGCCCTGGTGCATGCGAGAATCGCAGCACCAAGACATGCATACACCTGGTGACCGAACGCGTACCTAAGCTAGGACACCGCAGACCCTGCGCAGCGTTTACTGCAGCGTTGATTGTCTGAACTCCTCGCTCGATGGACAACCTTTCACTATGAAGGACGACGAGAAACACAAGCAAGGACGCAAAAAACAGTCACACATGTATGCAAGGAATTAGTAGTACAGCAGCATCGTACCTGCAAGCTCCCCTGCAGCTCCGGCCCGACGAACGTGGCCATGATGGCCTGAAGGCAGGGCTCCGTTATGTTCTGCAGCGCCCCGAAGACGAGAGCGGGGTACAGCATCCACCCCCGGAAGCACAGGCCGGACACCATGACAGAGAAGACCTGCGGGACGAAGAGACATGACACGCGTGGCGGGCAGAGGAAGAGAGGACGGAGCTCAGTCTATAGGGGATAGAGCTCAAGCTTCGCCGTAGAGCCACCTACTGCTTGTCGTCCTGCTCCCTTTCCAGAGAGAGATGCTCCCAATTCCCTCGGAAAGAGTCAACTTTCCACAACTGCTGCTTGCATTCTCCGGTACGCGCTTGTTCGAACGAAACAAAGCCCAACAAACAAAAAAATGTCTCAACTCCCTCCCCCCCCGAAAAGAAGCAGCCCTGAAGCTTTTCAACGAAGACGCAAAGAGCGCGTTATTTATCGAGGCCGCAGCGCCGTCAGATTATCTATTTAATTCCTTACTGTGCTATGAAAGACAAAGAAAAGGCAGCAGCGGCAGCCCACCAAGCATCCAATTCCTGTGACAGGTCGCACATTCGCTGTGTTCGTCCGTTGAACAGGCCTCCTCAACAAAACAACATATCAAGTTGAGTGAGCGTCCAGTGCGCTCTGTGAAGTTGCCTCATTATTGAACAAAAAAAAGAGGCTATTCTTAAACGTCCTATATACCCCCCTCACAAGACCAAACAGAACAGCGTTTTTTTTTTTTTCATCCTATTTATGCCGGACGTCGGTCCTTACACCTTACACCTTCAGGTACAACTTTTCTGGACGGTGATGAGAAAAACAATTAAGCGCGCGTGCACCCTTCATGCGACTCGCCGAATACCTCACGGTGGTTCGCGCTTGGTGATGTGAGAGCCTGGTCCGGCGAGAACCCGGCGTGCTCCGTCCCGGCGTTTTAGGGATGCGAGGTCAATGGTCGAACGACTTCGGCATGCACGACTATGAGTACACCCCCCTCCGTAAACAAAACAAAAAAAACGGACCTGCACAGAGATGCCGAAGAGCGCCCCCTTCTCCTCGGTAAGCCTCTTGGGGACGATGAAGCGGATGACCCACCCCCCGGCGAGGGCCATGAGGATGTTGTACGTGGCGAAGAAGTAGGAGATCTCCGAGGGAGTCCAGCCGAAGCGGTAGTCGACGTAGTTGTAGCCAGTGGCGAAGACGTTCAGGGAGAGGACAAACAGGAAGTAGCTGCAAGCGATCCGCAGCAGCGCCCTGTTATTGGTGGGTGGGGATATTTTCCGATCGCGTTGCGTTATGTCAGGACCGAGAGCACGAGGCGAGGTGAATAAGGGAAAGGGGGAGAGGGAGAGAAAGAGAGAGAGAGAGAGAGAGAGAGAGAGAGAGAGAGAGAGAGAGAGAGAGAGAGAGTTGGGGCGTCACCCACGCGGGCGGGCAGAGGGCGACAGGAAGAACACCGTTTCAACCGACCGGATGGCTGACTAGTGAGGAAGCGAATGAACGCGGTCCGAATCAAACTTGTTTGCGAAGGTAATCTTTCACAGAGGCCCACGTTTCCCCAACGTCCGTCTGTCGAGGGTGGATTCGTTTCTACACGAAAGGTTACACTGAAAACAATATTGTGCTACTGTACGTGGAGACGATTGTTGACCACGTTTGCGAGCGTTGGAGGGTCAAGAGAAGGCGGGGTGGGGGAACGAGGTTTACACTGCTTCCCGCTCACACAAAGGTTTCATCTTGCTAACGTTGCCGAGTGTTGCCGTTGTGTGTTGGCAACAAAGAAAATGACGCCATCGCCGTGTAGCACGGTCGCCACAACAAGAGGCTACGGACGTAAAGGCAGGGCGGTGGGACGACGCACGCACGGAGCACGACGCACCTGCTTTCCAAGAACACTTTGAGGACGGAGAGTGGGTTCAGCTGCTTTCTTCCTGACCGCCTCGCCCTCCCCCTGCCCCCCGCCCCTTGTTTCCCATCGTCATCCCAGACGAAACTGTCAACACTCGCCGTGGCTTCGACGGCGTCACCGCCCTGCACCACAGCAGCAACGTCCCTTCCGCAAATTCCCCTGTTAGCTCCCACATCGTCATCATCATTCATCCCGACCACGGCATCGTCAATCCTCTCCTGCTCCTCCACCCGCCACCACAGCCACCGTTGCCACCCCTCCCCGACCAGGGGCGGCGCTGTCTCTCTCCACCCGAAGAGCGCCAGGGACAGGAGAGAGGCCGCGGAGAAGGCTGCACTCACGAGGCACGCCGCGCCGCGGTGGTGCTCGGTGAGAGAGCCGCCGATGATGTCGCCGGCGCTGAATCCTAGGGCGGAGGCGCCGAAGGCGATGCCCAAGCCGTGCGTGGCGCCCTTGCCTCTGTCGCTGTAGAGAGAGGTTTAGCGGCAGGAGGAGCAGGACGAGGGTTACTTGGCAGCAGCAGGAGGGGGAAGAGGAGGAAATTGGCCATTGTTATCGGTTGGTACGGTGGGATATGACACGCTGCCGTGGTAATGTTAGGCGAGAGGCGTGTGAGCAACGCTGTACGAGCAAACACGATTCTCGGCAGCATGTGTCGTGAGGAGCACCACATGAGCCTGCTTTTCTAGACTGCTTCTACAACAAAAAAAAACGAGAGTGGGATAAAAAGGCGTGCGGCGGAAACGACGACAAAGACAAGCGACCCGGCTGACGAAACAGAATAAACACACCGCGTTGGTGGTTACGGCACAGACCAAGAACGCCTGCACAAGGAGCAAGCGCAAGAGAAAGAGATAAAAAAAAAACACTAAAAACATCAAGAATGTTGGTCCTTCCTTCTTCGTGAACAGCACTCACGGGGAGAGGTCGATCATGATGGCCTGACTGACCGGCAGGATCACGATGCACACGCTCGTCGCCAGCCTGCACACGGTTGCCCACGCCAACGAGTCCGCCATCGCCGCGAGCGCGAGGACCGAGCCGGCATGCAGCACCTGCGCGAAGCAAACCACCGCCTTCCGGCCCACCACGTCGCTCCATCCGCTGATGGCGGGGACGAAAATGAGCTGGATGACGCTTACCCCAGCGGCCAACCACTATTTAGTGTGTGGTTTATACATCGTTAAATTTCGCGTTTGTTGTTTTGATGTCGTTTATTGTTTTTTTCGGGGGGAGGAAGAGAGAGACGGGACGTAAAGGCGGGTGCGGAACGTCACGGAGCAAGGCGAGGACAAAGGAAGCCGTTAGATCAGTCCACGCGACCAAAAGGGGGAAACGCAACCCACTATTTTAAAGCCTTCGTGATGTTTGTAAATCCCCGAACCTGCTGAAGATAGGACGCAGTCCTACACAGCGGAAGTGTGAGGTGCGGATACTTCCACCACGCTGCAACGAGGTAAACCTAGAAAATGTCGGTGAACCAGCATCCACTACACCCGAAAGTCAACGACGTTATTTTGTCGTCCACGCCCTGATATCTTCAGCATCTTGCGCGGGGCAGCACAGCGTGTGTTTCGAATGGTGCGACGATACAACATCCATGGCGCCATCCTACCCGGCCAACGCAATCAAACGTGTCCATACGGCGTGCAACAGGCAAGCACCAGTCGGTGCGTCTGACCACAGCAACATGACCACTTACCCCTCTGTACTTGGATGCTTCCCCGTCGTCTCCTCCACACGAAAGCAGGATGATCTGCACGTAAAATCAGGCGGGTGTAAAAAGAACGATGAAGGAGTACCATGAGATAACGAGGGGACGGACGCTCTTGTTGTTGGTAAAACCCACTCAAGGGTTAGATCGGCTTTTAGGGACATTTTTTTGTCCCCATCTTCTTCACACCTGCTTTGCCTCACGAAGAATGGCATGGTTGCCTCCTCCTTTGTAGTATTCCACAAGGAGGGTGCCGCGGTACATGGGGGACAACTCCAGTCTAGTATGGATGCTTTGTAGAGTGAAAGAGTATGAGGGCAATGACAGGTCGAATCGCGGGACGACTATTTGCCGCGGGTTCAACAGCGAAGTCGCGCAGCATCTGCCCACCCTTGGTGGAAAGAGCTACTCTTATAGGGGCAAGCACAGAAGAAGTACCTAGCCCACCGATGATAGGCGGCCCGGGCAACCTATGTAGGGTTTGGGTTAGAGGGGCTCGCTTTCCCTCTAGACGAATATCTTGAAAAGCTCCTTTTCGTGCCCCGTTTTTTCAACCTCCCTCCCGCCAGTTGTTGTTTAAAGCCCTGTCAAATGCACCCTCGAAATCGAGGGGACATTTGATAGACTATTAGACAAGAGATGGCCCTGGTGGGAAGGCACAGCTTTGCACTTGCACCCAGGGATGGCACTGTCTGCAATATCCAAGTCAGCAGGCGTCGTTCGCTCTTTTTCTTGCATGTCAGAAATTCGCAATAACACCGAAATTTCTGTGCGTAGTAAGGCTATGCACACTACCCCGGCGATATTTTTCCTTGGGCAAATGACAGGAGACGGTATGCCGGGGGTGTTGGATGACACAAAACGGTACCCCAGGAATTGAGCTGATTGGCCAAGACGAGACGAACCATCGAGTGTGTACCATTTTCTGGAGGCTCAAGCGAAGAATGCCGCCACCGGGCTTCTCGAGTTAGCCCTCACCGTTTTCTGTCGCACCCTAACCCCCAACCCTCACCCTTACCCCTGCATGAGATATTATACCCACCGCGCGTCGTGTACCTACCGGTACAAGTGGGGCATAGAGTTCAAAGAGCAACAGCAGTAGGTACGTAACCAACCACCAAAGCTCTTCCTGCGATTTGCAGGGAGAACGCAACTACGATATCATGTTTTTACGTTTTTACAGCAGTGGCGAAGTACCAAAAAACAAAAAACTTTTTCTCACCGCCCCAAACCCGCAGCCTGCACCGGCGACCCACCACCGCTGCACACGCGCTGCAATCGTTCTGAGGTAGAGCAGGTACTGCAAAGTCCTATGCGCACCTTGGGGTAGACTTGCGTCATCATGCTTGCGCCGATTGTGTACAGCAAGATGCAGGCGGTAAGCTTCCTGCGCACAGCCGCGGCAGCATCATCATCTCTTTGCTGACGCCCTCGATCTCCCTCGGAGAGCAGCGCTGTCTCAGAGGACTCCGGGTCATCGTCCACCATAATCTTCGTCGTCTCGACGATCGAAGCTTGGAAGCAGTCGAGGACGGTTGAGAGACACGCCGGCCTGCACTTGCAAAGCACCGACAAGCTGTGCACAGCAAAGTTGGCCGGCGCAGTGGCATATGCGCCAGCCGCCCCGACAGAGGGTTACAGCAGTACTGTAAAAAAACATCGTTGCATTTGCCGGGGTGGATCGGCGGGACTGTCAGATCGTCACCAACGGGGCCAAACCACCAACGGGCCACCTCCACAGGACAGGACGCCCGCGCAGCCACTCCAGTAGAATCAGAGAATGTCACAGCAGTTGAACCGGGAGGGGCTTGGTGGGAGCGCGGAAACCAGACAGCCCCGGCACCCTGGCTAATCTACCGCTGCTTTTAATCGCAAGTCGATCCATGTAATCCCCCACTGCGACTCTTCGAACGTACTCACTCGTGCGTGTGGGGAACTTGGGAGGACCCCCGCCGTTACGAGAGGACCGCGGTGCCAAGTTCACCCAAGAACTGCAACCCGTGCTCTTACACAGGTGCGCGTCCATGCATCCACATGTCTCTACGTTATACGAGTTTTGAGACGCTCGCATCAATGCTACAGTAGCAGAGTACATCTTGTCGTCCATGGATAGATCCGCCATCTCCGTCCATCCGGGATTATTAGACTATCTAGACTAGACTATTTGTCCAGTTCTTGCGTTTTGCTTCATAACTTTCGAAATGGAGTATGTTGAATTAGAGGGAATTTTAGCCATGATAGTGACGCCCACATCAAGGCAAAAAAAAACGATACAGTAGCGGCTACGGTTTAAGAGAGGGTCGGTACAAGCCAATTTCACTCTCTTAAATCCGGCTTTCTGTTATATCGTGTTGGCTACGATATAAGAGAGAATTTTCTTAAACAGAATCTCACTTTAAGAGAATTCTCTCTTATATCGTAGACAAAACTGAAGGTCGTGAAACAGGGGCTCTCGCGCACTGACTACACTCGAATGCCAAAATAGGTCATAAAGAGAGCGTATCATGCATGTCACTTGCGCAGCTAGCGTTACCACGTCGGGCTACCTCCAAACACCGCTCATTCTCTTGGTTGGCAAGCACGTGGACCCAAGCACTGCTGTACGTTGTACGCTTTTGGTGGATCTGCGTTCGGAAAAATAAATCATCGTCGTGTGATGCGATGCACATTTTTGCACGTGGACACGTAAAAGGTTTTGGTTGAGTTGTTTTATAGCTGGGTTTCATAGTTGCACCTCTTCTAGAAGGACAACACGAGGCGACGAATGCACCAGCACTCAAGAACGACGCACCCGTTTACACACTGCACCTTCCTCCCACCGTACCCTCAACATATGTAACACCCTCATACCTCTCATCCCATCGATTTGAACCCCCGACAAAAACACGAGTCAACGAACAAAAAACAGCTTCACAATATCAAAACATCACTCGCCGTACAAATAACACAAACCCAAGAAACCAACGCTACCCTGGCGACCTGTCAGCCTGAACACGATCTGCGCTGCAACCGTCAAAGGAAGTCGCTCATGCACGTCTGCTTGGTTTCCCTCGAACCGTAGGCACTCATCCACGCTAGCTTAGCCTTGCGGAGGTGAAAAGACACTTCGGACATGCGGCACTTCTCGGCAGTATCCTCAAGTTCACCAAAATGATTTGCTACATTCGCGTACGGCGGCGGAGCCGGGGCCGCTGCCGCCGCCGACTGTCCCGATTGGCGTAGCTCAACCAGGTCGTCGTCCTCGTCGTCAGAGGAAAGATCCATGCCCACCAAATTCTCATCACAGAGGTCCTCTACCATCTCTGTAACGATCGCTTCGGCTACCTCCACGTTGTCCTCTACAGACAGCCATGTGTCTACCGCCTTCATGGCAGCCGGCGTGGGCTTCGCCCCCGGTGCCAGCCCCAAGCCAGCGAGCGCGTCTGCGATGTCTTCGTCGATGCCTTTTGCACCCTTCGTTCGCAAGCTCATGCGCGAAATCAAGGTCTCCAGCTCGTCCGCTCCGTCCTGCTTGCCGGTGGTCTTCGTGCGGCCAACCTCCGCGTCGATGTCGGCGTGCATGGCTGCAGAGAGGATATCTGCCTTCTTCCAGCACCTGCAACCCGGGCGGCAAGAAAAAAAAAACGAGGCACGCACAGAGAAACAGTGTGGGCCATGATTTTGTTTTGGGTTCCTTGTAATTTTTCCTTGTTATATGAGAAGATGCTCCATGTGAAATTTTGACCCCAAGGTAATCTCTACCGTTGCAACGAGAAGGAAAAAAAAAAAAAAGATCAAGCACAAGCAACAAAAACTCCATGTCAAAAATGAACAACGATGAGAGCTGAAAAAAAACAACGAATCCACGCACCTCCTGATGGTGTCCTCAGAAACACGCCCCCACGCGTCGTTGCAGAGCTCAGCGGCGTCGAGTAGGTGAGGTGCGGATCCCTCCGCCAGCCCGTGGCAGCCGCTGACCACCTTGCGTCTTATCGCTTCCGTTCGGAGGTTCGCCGCGTCGTCCATCGTGTCGACGCGGATGCGGAGCAGCAAGGTCCTGAAGATCTTCTTCAGGGCTGCGATGATCCCGGCGTCGCAGGGCTGGTGTTTGGCGGTGCAGTTCGGCGGCAGCTCCAGGACCGTCACCTGCCCACGGGGGTCCACCAGGTTCGCGTGGCTGCTGTGGTTGTCCATGATGAGCAGGACGGGTTTGCTGGTGATGGAACGCACCCACGGAAGAAGCACCTCCTCCCACCACAAGCCGAAGACGCGCGCGTCAGACCACGCGTTGGACTGGCTGAAGTACTTGACGGGCAGCTTTCTGAGCCTGAAGCACCGGGGGTTCTTAGAGTGGCCGATCATAGCCAGTGGTACCTTGCGGCCGCTGGCGTGGGCCGCCACGTACAGCGTGACGCGATCCTTGAATCCCATGCCTTTCACCCCCCGCACCGTGCGCTTGTCCTCCCCAGGTGCGGTGTACGTACTGCGGGGCAACATCTTGTACTGAAGCGCAGTCTCGTCGCAGTTGATGATGTTGTCCGGGTCGTACTTCGCGATCATCTCTCGGACCTTGCGGATTCCGTCGGCGATAGCTGCATCGTCGACGCTTCCCGCCTGGCCGTGCAGCTTCCTGGACTTGAGGTTGTGGCGAGCGATGAACTTCTTTGCCCACCCCTCAGAGGCGATGAACTTGTCGAGTCGGTCACGTTCTGCAGGTGTTGATGCCTTGGCTGCGACAGTTGCTTTCGCTTTGCGCCCAAAGGCCTGGATGGCCAACCGATCCACAGGCAGACCATGCGCCCGCGCGTGTGTGAGGAGCTCCATCACAGCCTTTTCCACCTGCCAATCGATGCGAAGGAGAGCAACAAGTTGGAAAACAGCAGGTTCAATTCGTACATGCAGGGTGTGGCAGCGACAATGTTTCTGATCATAGATGACAAGCGCACAGGACCCCAACTACCAAGAGGTAGAGCCGAGCACACCCTGCTGGACATCAAGTATTCCCCGCAAAGTTTTGAACATGCGATGGACTTCAGACTAGACCTTTTGGCTTTTTGCCATTGCCAAAAAAAAACACAACAGCAGTAGTAGCACGTGAAAAGATCACCAATAAGTCCGCGGGCATCATGCATGTGTACATACATGGCACACAAGCGTGTCTTTTCACAGCAGTACATAACACACAAGCATGTCTTTTTCACAGCAGTACTACTACTACTACCTTGTAATACATAGTGCACATGTGTGAGCGTACCAAAAACTCACATGCTGTAAACCATACATGATCGTGGCGCAGCAGCAGAAACATATTGTATATTACTACATACATAGTTACGAGTACACACGTTTCTAACTTGATAGTTGAACACGGAACAGCAGCAGATACACATGTCTTCTTTCACTTGACTTTTGAACAAAAAAAGAAAACACACCGCCCGTGACACAAAAGAAAAAAAAACTGTCCTGAACGCACCTTTGGAAACTCTCCTCCCTTCGTAGACTTCGCGCCAGCCTTGCCGACCGCTGCTGCGTCCTTAAGCTTCTTCTCGCCACTCTTCCAGCTGTAGACGGTGCTCTCGCCTATCCCCAGCTTCGCCGCGACTGCGGCGACAGACATCGTCTTCAGAAGCTCGATGGCGTTCACCTTCACCTCGACCGACACCCGCTTGCGCTTGGCTGCGCCGCCTTTTTTTTTCGCGCCATGCTGGCCAAGTCTCAAGCTACCACTTGCACCCGGGGAGCCCTTGCCTTTGCTCCCCGAGGAGTTGCGCTTCTCTGACGGCGCGCCAGCAGTCCCACCAGCACTCCCCACGCCTGAAGTCATGCGCTCACGGGAGGAAAGGCAGTTGTGGCACATGCGATGCATCTCGGAGGTGCCCTGAGGGTCCACCGCACTACAGGTGCCATGGAGGTACTGCCTGCAGACTCCTCTACATTGGTGGTTTGTGAACGCCGGCGGGCCTGGCGTGTGATCGGGGACAGCCGTGCAGCGACTGCCCGCCACGCAGGGTATGGTGTCTGCAGCTGTGTGGGTGTGTGTGTCCACGTGGTTTCCACATTGTTCGATTTAAGAGAAAAATCCCAGCTGCAAAAGGAAATTTCTCTTAAATCGATTGTTATTGGTACACGCCAATTCCTCTCTCTTAAATCCGTAGCCGCTACTGTAACCAAAATGACAATTGCACCACACTCATTCTGAAGCCTATTTGCTTCAGTTTTCTGTTGCGGAAATTCTCAGAACTGTCCAGGAGGATTGCTGCATCTGGGCCACACAGAACTGCTTGTGGTTCATCTGCGAGATTCCCGAGCAAGAAGAACAGGCCCTACAGAAGCACAGGGTGGCAGCAGCAGCAGTAGAATCAGAGCGCGCGCACGATGGGGGGTGCGGAGTTTGATGATGAGCTACTAGAAAAGGACCGTTGACAACAAGTCAACTTGCTCCCACCCTCATCATGGGCATCGCGCCAAAGTAAGCCATAGTTGCTCAGACAACAGCAGTGAGAGGTATTGAAATCATCTCAGCTACTGTACACAGCACTACCAGCTGGTGGTTTCCCCAAGGTTCGAAGCGTGGGCTGAGACCAGCTTTTGAGACCCCGATCGGTCAAAAGGACTTGCAAGTAGGTGACATGGACAGAATAAAACATTCATTTGATGAGGGAGACCCAACATGCGCAGCTTTCCTTCGCAAGTTTGATTATAGGTAGCTTAGCTTTTCTTCGCAGTAGCACAACGACCACCGGCATATGACAGGTTAAGCTTCCCTCAGACCTAAGTGGTTGGCAAAAAAATTACCCCGGCGCGGATTGCACACCACCACGGGCGGCAAAAAGCACGCGCCTTGCATGCTTGTACCCATGTGGGATAGGTTTACAGCTCTTACGTCCACGCGATAAGATGTCGTCTACGATACCACACTCTTCACTAAGAGCGACACACGTGCACGCGACACCACCGCAAGGGCATAGGCCTCTCACAGCCTGACTCTCTCCGGCCCGGCCCGATCTCTCTCTTACCCTCATCTCTCACCCCCCGTACATTGTATCAGATATTTTTGTCTCACGCACTCCATACTGGCATAAAGAGGAGCGGTGCTTAGCCCTTTGCCGAGAAAAGAAAGTTCTCGGAAACTTCCCGTATGCAACAGCAGTTTATAGCCCGAGGATCGACTGGTGGGTGGGTGGGGAGGACGGTGGAAAAAATATACCCCGATGGTTGAAGCGTGATATACCCCGATGGTTGAAGCGTGACCTTCAGAAGCTACGCAATACTGGTTCGGCCCGCTTCTTGCTGTACTTTTTTTTGCACCCCTCCAAAGCTAGCATATAGCCATGAAGCTAACCCTATCCCTAACCCTAACCCCAACCCAACCGACCCGACCCAAACCTATATCATTGGGAAAGTGCTGGATCACTGTACCACAAGCAAGCCTAGGCCGCGGCAAGCCGCGGCGCTACCTAGGTTGCGTCAGCGCTAGGTTGCTGCACGGTCGAAAAGCTAGGTTGATGTACCGAGTTAACGTTCTAGGTTGCTGGTGTACCGTAGGCTGCTGTGCACAGTTAGTGCTAGGTTGCTGCACGGTGAAAGCCTAGGGTGTCACTACTGGAGGTGTGCACAACAGAACCAGAACAATAACGAGAATATTCCGGGAACCTTTTGGAACCTTAGGTTCTCGACAAATGGGCAAGCACTACTGATAAAGAGAGGTGCAAAAACGGTATGATGCCGCTGTCGATAACTGCATTCTTGCGTGTGAACTGAGGCAAGCGTAGAGGGGCGAGCGCTTATAGACTATAGTTTACCGAATATCATCTGTCACTCCTGTCAGAGTCTGGACACAATACTCAACGACGGTGGTAAATCAGGACATCAATTTGACTATTACTCGATCTACTAGTCTGCAATATACAGGAAGTCAACGCCAACTAGCAAAACTGCATATGTACCTGGAACATCCATGCCTATCCCCTACCACTCATACAACCATGTGCAATACACAACCCAACGCTTGCACATTGATGCACATGGAAGCACGGTCAATACGAACACATACATACATCGGCCGTGTGAATTCATCGCCCAGGATGAAATGTTGTCGCATTTTCACCTAGTCCTACACGCCACGTAATCAACCTATCTTGTGATCTACAACCCAAACACCTACAAAAATATACCTTTTACATAAAAAAAAACATACCGGTAAAACAAACGCTTTTTACACGTCAGACGCATACAGCCACAGAGAAAAAACAAAATGCGAACCTATGGTAGGCCCATCGATGAACAGCCCATCCATCCACCAACGCGCGCGAGGTACCGACGGTTGACGGTGACGGCAACATCCGCAATTCACCCGCGGTGATGGAACTCAACCACGCCGTAAATATAATCGTGCCGACAACTTTGGCTCTCTAACTGACGAGCCTACTCTATTTAGACACCAAACCCAGTAAATGTCATCGGCGCACCCGAACGTGCGCATGCATGACCGCTGCCGTCAAGACGAAGAGCGGCTGTCAAACCGATCACCGCGCGGCAGGAGGGGCTCCGACATATCCGACATCGTGTCCTCCTCGTCACCGAGGCCTGTCACCCGGGAAGCCGGCTGCATCAGCGCGGTCGGATTCGCGGCCGGAGCTTCCTTTCCAGATCGGCCACCATCGCCGCTGCTGTCCTCTGCCGGGGTTGCCGTCGACGAGTCGGTGACATCGACGGTGTTGGAGGCCATCATCCCGTCCTCCTCGGCCTCGACGTCCGAAGGGTTGGCCGTCGATTTGGGGTCCGCCGCGCCAGTCTCGCCTGCCTTGCGCAGGGCGTACCACGCGATCTGCTCGCCGGAAAAAATACCAAGCCACGAGGTAAACCAACCAGTCCGGCAGAGCGTAGTATTTCCCATCTCAGGCTACGACGTACGTACGTACGTAGATCCTCTACAACCTACAGCGGCAGGTGTTTGTCTACCGCTGTATAACCGTTGCATCCACGAACACAAAAAGAGTAATACAAAAAGAGTGGTTACTCTTCCGGTCGGACTCACCGTCAACGCCGTTGCGCCGCACCCCGACGCGCAGAAGAGAGGCAGGCCAGGCAGCACGAACCCCAACGCGTTCTCGACGCGGGTCGATACGCCCAGCGAGAATATCTGCCCGTAGAGTACGCCGGCGAGACCCTGCGAGACATTCCGAAGGCACTGCACCGCTCCCTGTACAAGACAGAAAAGGTGTACAAACAAGCAGAGAGAAAGAGCAGAACCGACCCCGTCCTCAGCAGGTGATGTTTGTGTGCAACTCTTACTCTTCCAAGGGGGGAAGAAGCACGCGGTGCAGGAATTCTCGGCATGTTCAGTTCGAGAACTAGCGGTGACATCCTACTGCTTCCTTGTCACAGCTGTGCAAGGCCGCCTGTTTGCCCGCAATCCCATCTCTCCCGGATGCATGTCTCGATTTCCACCCCGTCGATTCATTGCCATGCCCTTTCCCAAAACTGTAATAATTCTCTACATTCGTAATTGGTCATCGGCCTGCTGGATGCCGGCCTGGCCTTGCTTGCCCTTCCAATGAACGAGAGCGCTTGTTGAACTCGCTGCTTGGCTATGTCCTCGCAACCAGCGGCTTACCTGTAAGCTCCCCTGTCTGTCTGCGCCGACGTGGTTGGCCATGACGCCTTGGATGCACGGCTCCGTGATGTACTGCAGAACGGTTGCCACCAACACGACATAACACATCCACCCCTGAGAGGCGAGACCAAACAGAGTCGTCGATGAACTCTGCCAACAACGCAGAAAAAGGGAAGGAAGGGTAAACTCTGTGTGTTGCGTGAAAACATGCGCGAGGTACGTATAGAAACAACACCCGGTGAATGTGCGGTGGCAACCATCCACCCATGAAACAGAGGTTCAACCTCCCTTTCGTTTCCCTTGTTAGTGTTCCGTTGGATGAACAAATCGTTCCCTTCCAGGTCACCTGTCCAGCCACCGCATCAGATTCTCTGACAATCGTAACGAACGGCGAAGCTCCGATCGGATTGCGAGGAAGCACCACAACTGCAACCAGAGTTTTATCCAGCAGCGAGTCCGCACACCTTCGAGACAATACTACGAATCTTTGAACGCTCAAAACAAGAGGTGCAGTTCATATTTAGCAAGAAAGACGCCATCATACCCGACTCCTGTGTGTGCTCAAACCACCGCACCTGAAGCGCTAGACCAAGCAGAACGCCTCGTCCCACCGACAACCGCTTCGGCACGAGAAAGCGAATCAAAAGGCCTGACGTCAGCGCCAGCAAGATCCCAAACGTCGAGAAGAACAAGCTGATGTCTAGCGGGCTCCAGTGGTACCGGAAGTCGAAGTAGTTGTAGTACACGCTGAACACGTTCAGGGAGAGGGAGAAGCACGCAAGTACCACAGCCAGCTGCATCAGCAGGCTGCTCGTACGGTGGGACGACAGCAGGGACGGGGGGCGACGCGGGCGGGATGTAGGGTAGTCAGTGAGTTTGCCGGGCGAGCGAAGGGGGGGGGGGGGGGGGATTCATAGGCACCTCCTGCGTCGATCCCCACTCTCCCAACCAACAGGAAAACATCCCACCTGCTCTCGAGGAACACCTTGAGAACCGAAAACGGGTTCACGATTCTCGACGAGGAGCCCCTAGCGCAGAGTTTTTTCCATCCTCCTCCTGCACTCGCGTTCGCCGTAGCCCCCCCTGCCCCTTGAGTGGCCGCGGGCGCCGTTTCCTCCCACCCGAAAAACTTGAGCGAGAGTACGCCCAGCACAGACATCGACGCGGACAGCCAGCAAGCCGTGCCCGCGTGGTCCTCGGTGAGAGATCCCCCCAGAACGGGGCCGACGCTGACCGCAAGACCGAACGCGGCGCCGATCAGTCCGAGGCCGTGAGTCACTTCACCGCCTCCAGCAGCCGCCCCCCAGCTGTAAGTCAGAAGATAAATTTTTGAATAGGTCAAAGGAAAATCGGAGGGGGGGGGGGGGGGGGGGGCTAGGGATGGTCACGCGCGGATAATTACGTTCGAAAACGAAGGGAAGGCGATGCTTGAGTAAATCTATAGCCTCTGCAACACTGCAACCTCCGCTCCCAAACAGATCTATTCAAAGGCATGGAAGACTTATGCTTATCATTGCAATACTAGAGGTCGATGGATGTCACGCCGTCAAAAGCTACAGGACACCACAACGGAATGGGACGCAAACACAAAAAAAAAAATGCCACGAAAAGCACGGTGTTTACTAAGAATCAGACACTAGCGCAACAGCGAATGTTCGCCAGGCCGGCCGTGCACTAGCTAAGCTAAGCTAAGCTAAAAGCATGGCACAAAAGCGGGGGGGCTCGAAACAACAAACACACAAACTTTAAACTCACTGAGAGAGGTCGATAACTACCGCCTGGCTGATGGGCAAGATAGCGTTCGCAACGCCCGACACCACCTGGCACACTGACACCACTGCGATGGAGCTCGGGGCGAGCCCTAGGGAGAAGGAAGACACGGCGGTGAGCGCCAGGGCGCCGGCGAGGATCGCACGTCGGCCGATGACGTCACTAGCCCCGCAAAGGGTCGGGATAGCGATGAGCTGAACGATGCACGACACGAGAGTCAACCACTATCGGGTTTCGTTTTTTGGAGGCGGAGGGTCGGGGGGGAGGGCAGAACGGGACGGGGAGCGTTTATGACGGGAGCCTTAGCGTGATACTCGGGGGACGTCTGCACCGGCATGGCCGGCGGCGGACCCAAAAACAATCAGCAACTGACTCCCTTGGCGCTTGGCGAAACAAATGTGGGTTTCTGTCTTGTTTTTGTGTCTGGTCTGCCATCATGTATGTCTCCATCAGCCTTTTGCACTCACTACTACGTTTTGTGTCTCTTTCTCTTGATTTGTCTCTCCGCCTTTTGCACTCACCCCGGTAAACCTGGAGGCTTCGCCATTGTCGTGATCAAAATGTTCCAGGACCACCTGTGACACCGAAGACGGGAACAAGAAGCAGGACGAGGAAGAGCGAGAAAAATAACACATTCACTTGGAGGTACAAGGTGTACATGATCATGGGACTGCAGGCAACCGCGGCATGTGCGGTTTGGTAGAGGTTCATCCGCCATGTAGGCGAGAGAACATTTTGGGCTCCCATTATGTGGTGGTACGTACGGGGAACCCGCAGGTTAGGATTCCGTTTTTGTGGTACGGGATGCGCGCACTTGACAAGCGTTCGGTGTATGGAATGGGCATGGGGCGGTAAGCGGGGGGGGATACTTCGGTCGATAGGATAGGATGGGAGGTAGTGAAAACTTGGTGGGACAAGATGGGACGAGGAAACATGCAGCCAGCAGAGTTAACGGGCAGCTGCAAGCATGCCGGGGTGTATTCACCGCCGGGCTTAGCACCGGCCATGTCATTCATTCCCCACGCATACCTACAACCGCGTAGGGATCACGCCGGTATGTAGCTCACAGACGTGTGAACACAACAACCACAGCAGCTGTGTGGGCGCGTCGGCGCGTGGGCGTGTGGCGCGTGGCGCGGAATGTGGGTAGAATAATAGGCTTGGCCGTTGCTTTTCTTCTTCGGCCGGATTCGAAAGGAAATCAATCCGATGTTGCAGCAAACGAGCCTTCCGGGTCTTTACCACTACCACGCAAGATACACCATACACACCGCCTGGGGGGATAGATTGTGTCGCCGTTGCTGCTATGGGAGACTTGCAAGAAGTTCGTTCGAAGGTTCAGTTCATGGTCTGCATGGGCCCTGACGCCTTTGACTAAGTATCACAGTTGAGATTTGGAGTGGTTGTGGGGCTGCTCGCTAGCGGGCGATCTCCGCGAGGCGGTTTTTCTAGGACCCCTTTGGCTGAAAAAGGAGCTTGGTATACCCACTTTCGTCCGCCGAGTATTAAAAAAAGGGATACATATGCATACGACGTACTGCTACAGCATAGGGGGGCACCCCGTGCTGCGTTGTTGGTCGTTGTCATGATAAATAATTAAAAAAAACAAAGCCACAGCCCGTTGTTTAATATTAAGGGGGTGCAAGACGGGCGTGGCTTCATTCTTCAACGCAAGAAAATACCAACACTTGCCTAGCTCACGTTTACCCATGAACAAAGCGCTTCCCACCACACAGGTATGATACGAGGCGGTACGGATGCAAAAAAAAAAAAAATGGAGATGGATTCGTTGTGTTCATACTGATGAAATAAAAAAAGTGCCCGATGCTGACCTGCCCTTTCGTTTGGTGCTGAATGCTGCATGATGTAAATCATCAGTGTATAGACTCGAAATGTCCAGTACCCAGCCGGTTTTCCTCCACTCACTGAAAAGACTCCACCACATCCTATCCGACTCTGTGGGTTATCTCGAATGGGTAGTCTTTCGGTGTGTGTATTTATTTTTTCTTTATGCTGCATGTGTTCTGGCCTCAAAATCTCAAAAAAGAAAACGTTTGATCTTCAACGACAACAACGGCAGGGTTTGGTTCGCACATGGCAGAAAGCTATCGCCGCATACAGCACACAAGCACACAAGCCAAAAAGGGTTCAACGGTTTGGTAGTACAGCAGTGCCGTGCTTCAAGCAAGTATCCTCATGAGGTTGATGTGCTTGGGGGTGTGATGGGTTTGCCGACAACCAACAACACGTGGTAACTGGTAACGTACCACGTACAGCAACATGAACGTGTGACTGACTTCGCACGACGAGCGACGCACGGATACCCGATTTTTCTGCAGTGCACGTCTGCTTGAAGTCGAGGGGCTTAGAACCTTTGTCAGACGCAATGCGCCCGTAGTTTGTCGCACGGTATTACGTCCACCGGCGTTCCTGTGTGCCTTGCGTTGAGCGGGTCGTTTGGTTTGAAGGAGAAAATAATATCCCGACGAAAATAGCCATTCTTTGCCCGAGATCAATCCTAGAATATCACCAGCATGACCGCCGTGGACATATGCATAGGACCTCCACAGCGCCCACCCACCTTGGGGTAAACCTGTGAAATAATAGCCACCCCGACGATGTGGAGGAAGAGGCACACGCTAAGCCTGCGTCTGACACGATCGCCCTTGGTGAGACCTCTCGGAACGCTGGTTGCAGCAGCGCCGCCGTCGCTTGCTGTAGTTGTTGCAGCAGTGCCATCCAGCAGGAGCGCGTTCTCTGCATCTTGTTCTTCTCCCTGGACGTTCCCTGTTGGATTCATCGCGATGGCCTTGTTTCCCCTACCCTGTGGCCGTGCCCTCGTCGTACGGCGTCGTGTTTGCGTGCTGGTCGTGAAGCTATCTCATGCGTACACGCACACGTGCAAGATCACTCGACGCCCGTTGGGGGGGGGCCGATGGTTGAAAGATTCGACAAAACTCATAGGTGTACGTCGTCCAAAAACCCATACAGCGTTGCCTCTGCCAAAGAATGTCACACTGCACCAGCGTTGCCTGCCTCTGTGCACGTCAAAGAACACACACAGAGACGCGCTGAGAAGTAGGTTAGCAAGGGGAAGCGGAGGGCGGAGTGGTACGAAGCGGCAAGGGAAAGGAGGCGGGTTGGTTGTTTAGTCGGGCTGTCAGACCCTACACCGACGCACCGGGAGCTGTGCCAACGTTCGGACTGAAGAGGAGAGGAAAACCAAACCTTCTGTTCGGAGGGACTCCCTGCCGCAGCAGCAGCAGGTCGAAAACGCGAGAGTTAGAGCAGCCCACCACCACCATGTCGCACGCAATGGACGCTGGCATCCAGCGCGAGATCCGAGCGTTGCCTGGGAACACGGTGAGGGAGATACGTGCTCGAAACGAATCGGGACTGCTGTGCTACCTGTGTCGTAGGCGCCGTAATGTTTCTCACTCTGTAGACTATCTGTTCTGCTGTATGTAGTCTACTCCTGGTGCACGCGTAGACTATTTGATCTCTCTGCTCTCGTTCGTTGTGGGGATGGAATACGTGTTGACCAACACGGAGGCAAGGGTGAGTATCTGCTACATCTCACCCCACGTGTTAGCTGGTGCCCTGGTTGATGCAATCTTGTTGGAAGAGCAATGGTCGCGGGCACACACTTTGGTGACACACAAGTATTGTACTTACTGTACGGTAGCGCAAGTAGCGGAGTTTTTCTGGCAGCAGAGCAGCAGAGCCCGAATTGACGAAATGACCCTGGATGGTGGACAGAGCGGTAGTCCTGCAGGGCCCATCCTTTCCTCTGCCATCCCGTGCGTAGGTGGATGTCCTATCCAGGTCACGGCAGTAGTCTGTCTCCTTGCCCAAGGGCTGTGACGGGCAGCCTGATCACGTGGCGTTTCCATTCACGTATGTGTGCGGTTTGCAGTCACCCGCTGCTCTCCGTGTGTACCGCGGTTGAGAGGCGGCGAGATGGCACCCCCTTCCCGTAGACCGACGGTCGATTGTCCCACAACCAAGGGGGCGCGGAAAGAGCCCCATACGTCTACGGAAAGCCCTCTACAAAATATTTCCAAAGCCTAAAACACTTTTGGTGTTGGCACAATCTTGGTTGTGGAGCAATCGAGCTTTCTTTGAAGATCGGTCTACATCAGTAGGGGGTAGCGGGGGTGGGTGCCTTTTGCCACCTCGCCGCCTGTCGACGGTACATGTAGTCTACGTACAGGCGTGGTCGAGCCAATCCTGCTTGCTGTGGTGTACGTCTTCTTCCTGTAGGGTTGGCTCTTTTCAGAGCGAAACCTCTGAATGCATGCCATGTTATATACTTGTAGTTTGGGTGTCCCGGCTGGCATTTATTATTCTCAGTACCGCAAAAGAGTCGGAGAGGTGGTACCCCCGTGTTAGCGTTTTTGTGTAGCGTATTTCTCCACAACTAGGAGGGTGCGAACACCAACCGATACCTCTCAGGAAAGCCCTCCGCGAGATGTTTCCAAAACTACCCTTTTCGGCAGTGGTACCCCCCTGGTTGTGGAGAAATACGCTATACAAAAACGCTATTTAACACGGGGGTGCCATCTCTCTACGTTCCTACGGTAGTATCACAATATTGGCTTGAGAGGTTCTTGCCAAATGCGGTACATCGCTTCTAGTCTAAATCCAAGATAGAGGTGTTGTTTAGGGTACCAAGAAAAATCGAAGACGACCTCCCGGCGTGCGGAATCCCACTTGGACATCTATTTTTACAGCCGTAGTACAAGCAGAGGATATTATGGAGCAGCGACATGAGCGTTGGCACGCCCATATCTGTTGCTGGTTGCTGGGGCTTGCGCTGTCGAAGGCTGCAGCTGCTTCCCGAAATCTGGGTCCATCTCATTCACTGCTGTCCTGGCGTGAGCAACTGCTGTACACCCACAGCAGTTCCGAGAGCGGGTGTGTGGTATCGCGTTAGGCAAAGGATCAGTGGTATGGATCCAAATCTGCGGGATTGTCGGGCCGCAAAGCTTGGACAGAACACGCCCCCAGCAACAGATCTGGCCGTGCCAACGCGCAATGCCGCTGCTCCACGAAGCTCTCCACTGGCACCGGTGTTCAAGTTGGGGATTCCTCAGCGCAATGATTTTTTTTTAGCACCCGCCGTGTCGCCTGTTTTGTCTTGGTTTGAGAGGCGTGTGGAGGTAAGACTCCGTGATACGCTGGCGGGGACAAGCTGCAGCCGTTGCCGTGTGCCACAATAATCCTTTTTCTCGTGCCCAAACACTTTCCTGCGGTTCTTTGGAGCCTCGTGTGTGATATTTGGTGCTGCCTCGGTTGTTGTCAACATGAGTCAACAATCAAGATCGGCTTGGCAAAATGGATCCAGTCTCCCCAGGTGTTCCTCAACTCACCTTCACCGGATCTCGCTTCGGCTGACGTTTTGCACAATCAAGCCTGAAAGTTATCCTCGCTGTTCTCAGCAAATGTTCTTGATACTACATGTGCCACTGGCCTCTCGCGCTTGGATACAGCCATGATAAATAATACTGCCTGCTTGCCTCGTCGCTCGCCCTGTTGCCAAAATGGGTTTGTGAAGCCGTCAGCTAACGTCTCACACTGTGCCTTGAATGTACTCACAGCGCTGCGTAGACTGCGGAGTCGCCAACCCTCAATGGGCCTCGGTGTCTTACGGGTGCGTATTTTGCCTGGAGTGCAGCGGCCAGCACCGCGGGCTCGGAGTCCACATCAGGTGAGCAGGTTTGTGTGGTGCCGCATGGACAAAGCAGCAACATGGCTGTCGTGAATAGAACACTATCCAATAGGACACGCTGTCGTTCTTCTCTCAGACCGCTGCAGATTGTTGATTCCTCTCGGCCTCAGTCTGATCCGTATTCGGTCGTCTGGGAGCGCCACAGGCCGGCCTTCCACTTTCTCGGATGTAGAGAGTACAGCAGTAGGGTGGCTCGTTGTACGCGAAATCTTCTTCATGCCCTCCACCACCCCTCCCTCTACCTGATTGACGCACGTGGACGTTGTTATTTCTCTGTCTTGCAGCTTCGTCCGCTCGATCACGATGGACTCGTGGTCCGAGAAGCAGATCAACATGATGCGCGCGGGGGGCAACCAGAAGCTGATCGACTGGTTCCAGTCGCACGGGGTCACGAGCGACCAGCGCATCGCCAAGAAGTACCACTCCCCCGCGGCCGAGCTCTTCCGGGACAGGTGCAAGAAAAAAGAAGAAAAAAGCAGCCGGCTCCTCTTTGTCGTGAGGTTGCTGTCATAGTGGTTGGTATCGATGCCAGTTGGTAGTACAGCTCTTTGTCGAAAGGGTGCTGTTATTGTTGTGGTTGGTGTTTGTGTCAGTTGGTGTTGGTGTTGTTGACGATGCCGGGGGTTCTCGTCGATGGCGAAACTGTGCGGTTGCTTATTCTTGGGTTTTCAACTTCCCCCCCCAAGTCTGGAATTGGATATCATCGTGGTGTTGGATAGCAAAAGCACGGTTACCTCGTCGATTTGATAAGAAACATGCGAGGCATTGAGCAACACAACGAATCACCCCTAAGCCCTTTCCCAACCTCGGCACAACGGCCGCCCTGTGTATGTGTTCCATGTATGGATCATCACCCGACATGAAATTGGGTATCTCCCTCCAACAACATGGCCAACGTCACTCTCGCTCCATGCATGTGCCCCTTGGGCAAACCCTGACAGATATCACTCACCGCCTAACCCAACAGCGGTTGCATCAAACCACCGCCTGCCTTCCTCGCGACCCTTGTCGTACTGCTGCTGTTGCTGCTGTCACCAGGCTCCTTGCTACCGTCGAGGGCCGCCCGCTCCCGACGGAACTCCCTCAGAGGCCTCCCCCCTCGTCCTCCGGGGGCGGCGGTGGCAAGTACGGCGGCGGTTTCGGGAACGGCTCTAGCGGCGGCGGCGGTGGCAGCACCGATCAGCGCGGCATGGAGCGACTCGCGGGGGAGACGGACTCCGAGTACGTGGCTCGACAGACGGCGCTTAGGGGGGAGGCCTCGGCCAGAATGCGGGACAAGTTTGGCGGCTCCAACCGCATGCAGGGCTTGGGTAGCGACTCGTCCTACGACCCGGCGAGCGGGGGATATGGGGGCGGCGGGAGAGGGGGGGGCGGGATGACCGCGGACGACATTGGCGGTCAGATCGGCGTCATGGGGCAGAAGTCGATGCGGTTCCTGTCGGAGTCCTTCGCCACCCTCCAGACGGGGGTAAAGGTGATATATCCAACCCTTACATGGAGCGGTTTCGTTTCTTTTCGGTTGCGTTGTGTGTTTTTAGACAAGAAAATATTGCACGCGAGATGGTGTCAAGAAGAGTACCGTCGAAGGTTTCAGTAAAAGAAGGCGTGACGGCGTGACTGGCGATGGGCGGTCCAGCTTGCGGCCGCTGATGCTGTTGGATGCGCTGCTGCCGTGCTGTAGGTCCTGTTAGATGAGGGATCATCTGAACCCAATAACACGCGGCGTGTGTCGCGTGCCTGCCATTCCTTCTCGCGCACGCTCGTTCTGAAATTGGCAGGAGACGGCGCATACGCTTGAAGAGCAACAGATCGGGCAGTCGTTGAGGTAAGCGTTTTGCTTTTCATGGTGGAAGTAAGAAGCGGGGGGGGAGCGGGGGGCAAAAACGTTCACCCGTATTTGTTGTCTGAATGCAAGAGGAGGTGGACACGCTGTAACCGTTCGCCGAGCCTGTTTCCCGCTGAAAGAACCTAGAGTGAGGCTTGTTGGACCCGTCAACAAGCGGTAGCGATGTGTTAAGACACTGAAGTTGTGGGAGCGACGCTATCCGTTGCTCGCCAATCTTGACGAAGTAGGGGCTAGCATCGCGGATCGACAAGAAAACGTGTCCACGTTAGATGTGAACATGACGAATGCAGGCACTGCTGTGCTCTCAGGCTTCGCGGAGCGTTCAGACTTTCTAGTTTCTTCAGGCCCATATGCTCTCACGCCCTTTGGCACGATTTCTATCTGGTTATGCTTCTCCCTCTCTTCCCCCCCACATCTGTTACCGTTAACTCTCTCGTCCAAATTATTTCTCTCTCTCTCTCCCCCTCTCTCTCCCTCTCCCTCCCTCCCTATCTCCGAACCGTTACCTCTCTCGTCCACATTCTCTCTGGATCTCCCCATTCGGCGCCGCTTTCGAAAACAGCTCCGGGTTCCAGAGCGTATCGGCAAAGCTCAAGGACCCCGAGCTGACCCAGAAGGTGTCGGCGTCAGCCGCGTGGGGGTGGGGAGCGCTCTCCAACCAAGCAGGGAGCCTCTGGAGCAAGGCGACGGAGACCGTCGCCGGCATCTCGGAAGGGTGTGTTTGCGGGTGCCCGGTGTATTTTTGTGTCTTGGTTATTGTTGTTGTTGTTGTTGTTGTTGTTGTTGTTGTTGTCGTCGTCGGGTGTTGGCTCCTGTTGGCGTTTGGTCTTCGGCGTGGTGTTGACGACCTTTTTTTTTCGTGTGCGTCTTGTGTTGTTTCGTGGATTCTGTTGGTTACAGCAGCAGTGCCCTTTGTCACGGGAGTGGGGATGCTCATCATCTGATCAGGACCCCCCCCCCCCCCCCTCAGTGTTTGCGTGGTGCCTACACCCAAAGTGCTTCCCTCTCTCGCACGAAAAACCTCCGATATTTTGCCGTTCCGGCCGCATGCGCTGCTCCGTCATCCGGTGGCTCCTAAAAGACATTTATCTATTGCCTCTGTGCTTCAATCCAGGGACGAGCCGTTGAAACTGTACAAGGCGGGGGACGAGGCGGCGGACGGTGCGCGACACAAGCCGATGGTGGGCTTCGGAGCGGGCGCGGGCGCCGCTGCCGCCGCCGCAGCCTCGCAGGGGGGGGCGTCGTCGTCCTTCTCGAGCGGAGGGGGCGGGAACAGCGGCTCGGGGGGCTGGGGAGGCGGGGGAGGCTCCTCCGCACAAGAAGGCAGTGGGATCGGTAAGCCTTTCTCTCTCTCTCTCTTTCTCTCTCTCTCCCGTAATTGCTGGTTTTTTATTAGCGCTTGGCGGTTTTATTGTTTTTTTGTGTCGTCTGCATGTCGTCGAGCAGGAACGCTTCTATCTACGCGGGGTTTCTGGACCTCGACAAGACATGCATAATCCATGCGAACCGTAGTGCACGACCGAGGGCTCTGTTTTGTTTTTTCTGCTCTGTTGTTTTGACGCGAACCGTATTGCACGAACAAAGGGCTCTGATTTGTTCTTTGTACTCTGTTCTCTTGACCCTTGTTTTTTGTCGTGTTTTTTTTTTTTTCAGATGATCTCCTTGGGTCGGGCTGGCGGGACGAGCCGACGCCCACTCCGCCGCTGCCGCCGGCCGCTGCCGTCGCTCGGCCACAGAGCACGTCGCCGCCGCCGTCGCAGCCTTCGTATGGTTCCTCGCTACCGAAGGTGCGTCTCCGTTCCGCTCGTGAGGCGTAGAATCGTCGTTGCAAGCCCGTACGGTTTGTTTGACACGGCACACGGGGCGGCATGCCATAATTTTCCGCCACCGTCGGTCGGTAGCCTCGCGCCCTGTGCGCCCCTCCCCCCCCCCCCGACACCGTTTGGTGGAATCGAGCGTGAAGCTAGGTTGTGGAGGGAGTGTCACGGGTCCCCGCGTATTGATGGCCTACGGACGGTTGGATGCTGGAACCGGTTGGTGTGGATATTTCGTCGATCCTGTTGCATTTCTTTTGCGATTTTTCGTTTTGGTGTCGGTGTCCCGCGGGAGCCGTGTGTGTGAGTTGACACAAGGACGCTGACACTACATAAGAGCCGAGAGAAAACGTGCCGCCGCCATGGCCGTACGCAAGACGCACGGATGTCCACGCTAAGCAACTGCGTACCACGTATTGAAGCACCCGAGAACAAGCACAGTCCAACTCGTTTCAACCTGAGAGATACAGCAGAGGTTGGTCACGAGGACGCAAAACGTTTCTCGAAACTAGCGCCAAGTAGCAGAGTGTCGAAAAGATTGTGTGACACAATCGCGAGAGGATAGCGGACCGTCACCCGACCGATGTTACCAACTTCGAAGTAGCATCGGGGCATCGGGGATTAGTCTCCCGAAGCGAAAACTGTAAGCCAATGTGATCGTTTGAAGCAACATGTGAGTAAGCCTCTCTCCCTCGTCGTCTAACCGATCCTCGGTACTATGTATCTATGCTTATTTGACTGCCCCCGCCCTCCTGCCCACCCACACCCACTGTCCAATGGTGTGCACTCCTCCGGTTACAACATGAACGAGCCGAACCGGTGACTGCAGGCTCAGTAGTTTCTGTTACAACCTCTTGATTTTATGCCCCCTCTTCTCTGCCCTCGATCGGTGCTGTGGGAACAGTTCTCCGTCCTCTCGAGGACGCGTGGTCAATGGTAGAACTACAGTAGGGCATGCAAAACATGAGTACCCCCCCCCCTCTGCTCTCTGCGCGTGCTAAGTATCTCTGTTCCTCGAACTCCCGATTGACCGAACTGCCTCCTTTTGTCGCCCGTCCGTCCTCTGCCGTGATCATATCATCAGGCACCCGCCTCTGTGGGTGCTCCCGCGTCGCGCAAGACAGCTACTGCTGCTGCTGCTGCTGCCCCCGCTGCTCGCGCGCAGGAAGATGACGACTTTTTCGGGAGCTTTGGAGTAAAATGAAGGGGAAAAGAGGGAGAAGAAACTTGTTAATGTTGTGAAAGATCAGATTCCCTTTGGCTCTCCGGGGGGTTGGGAGGCGGGGGAGGGACAGGAGGCATTTCCTCAGGTGCAAAACCATTGTAAAATGTATCCCTATCGTTCATTCGCACACATGACCAAGCAGAGGTGTTTGTCTGCCAGTACCCACAAGTGTCTCGGGCGGAAATCCTCCCCTACGCTCAGCAGTTGTGGCCGCAGGCCGATGAAATGAGTGTTTCGTGGGCAACGGGCGAGCCGGTGTTGTGCCGCCGTGGCACGCACGGGAAAGCGGTAGGTACACTTCGGGTACGTCTGCTTGTTTGGATGGATGGGCTTCTCACCAACACATGGATGGCTAATACCCCTTTGGGCTGACGGTAGCTTTACGCGTACCCCTTGTCTTCCGCAGTGGCCCTTTTTCTGGACAGCAGAAGGTGCAGAAGGTGGCGTGTTGTTCGTAGCGCTCTCCTCTCTCGCTACCTCTGGCGCGGTGTCTGTTTTTTTTTGTCTGTTTGAATTGGGGGTGTAATTTGCTTCTTCCCATGGAATACTCTTTAGCACTTGTGTCAGTTTTTCGGGGAGTTGCGGGGGGAAAGGCAGGGGCCACGACGGCCCGGGAGAAAGGTTGTGTACTCGTGTTACAGCAGTAAGTGCCGCCGATATTTGCCAAGATTGTCAACGTTGGTTCTCACGGTGTTGTTAGACTATGTACCCTTTTTTGTCGTCGAATACAAACAGTCGTCGGGTTCGTGGCGTCATCGTCTTTTTTCTGGTTGTTTCTCTATGTGCCATTTTTTTGTTATTGAGGCCGATGACGCACGGGTGCATCCATGTGTGCTACGCGCTGTCGTGGATGTGATTGTTGTGCCTCTAGTGGCACCAATGAAGAAGGGAGCAATGAAACGAGCATGGAGTATCCTTGGTCTGAATATGCATGATTCACGTCCGCAACAGAGATGAAGATTTAGGGGCGGATTCAGCGTTGAGCGTTACCTCCCGTAAATGCGAGCTTGCCCTTCGGCCAAGTGTCCCAGAATGACGGATTTCTCGGCGCGTCTTGTCTTCCGTATCTCGCGACGCAAGTTTCAGGAGGGCGAGCGCATCATGTTTGAAGAACGCCCAAAACGCCAGGCAGGATACATTATTGGTGGGTGCGGTTGTTGGTGGCTTCGTCCGGGACACATCAAGGCCAATCCAGTCGGCGGTCAAGTTGAATTCCCGCCCACATCCATCCCCGGATTGAACAACTTTGAGAGTTCCTAGTGTAGGCGCGAAGTCATCCACCATTCGTTACGCACGAACCCAGCTACCAACCTGCTGCTGTCGTTCGATACTTACTGCTCTGCTGCTGTTGTTGCTCGTGCTCTCGACTGCAACGCTTTACTTTTTCTCGAAGGCTGTCAACCTACATATCTATGACTTTGCATATTCGCTTGTATGTCTGTAGGCTAGAGACCGGTTCAATGTACTTGTTCTTCTCTTGAGCTCGTGACACCCTACCGAATATCCACATGCAGCACGGGCAATCCATTCAAAGATCAAGTGAGCGTTGTGGGTGGTCATCAGCCGTCTATTCCGCGAAAATACCGCGCGAACCACCAAAGAACACAGCTTCAGACAGGCAACGCTGATAATACTCGTCGCGTTTATCCACAATGTAAGACTGAAGACCGATTCATTCTTGCTCTTCAAAGCTCGTGACATTATATACGGCCGAGGGTGTGTTGGTCGAGGAGTCTAGCACCGCAGACGTTAGTAAGTTATCCGCGGCCTGGACGAACGCTACCTACCCTGGTCCTCCTCCGTTAACGGAGGAGGCGCACTTGTGATGTTCATGCCAGAACACGAAGAGGGAAAGGACGCGCCCCCACCGGCAGTACGCACCCCCCCCAAAAAACGTTCTCCCTGCCATGAAGTTCCGTTTCGTGTGAAACGGCGGTTTCCTTCGAACTTTTCGCGCGATAAGACCTGAAAAAACAGCGAAAGGTATATGCGCGGAAAGACTTCAACCCACCCCTTTTTCGGACACCGTATTGCATCGAGTGGGGACTCTCTCTATCAGGAAAAATAATTATTTGGTGGTATTCTAATAAACAGAGGACGAGCCGAGTGAGGTTCCCGTGTTCTCGTGATGATGTCGTGATGATGTCGTTCTACTGCAGTCTATGACACCGTGTGAGAGAACCTCGTGCGTACGTGGGGTATGCATCTGAGTAAAAAGGCAACACCACCAGCCGACGCTAGCAGTGTGGAGCAATGTTCGTCGGCCCTTGTAGTCTCGCCAACAGGTGAGATAGCGAGATACTGGGACGGCTGCGGATTTGATTGGCGGTCAGCTTTCGTCTTTGGCTTGAACGTTGTTACGTACCACTTACCTCTAAGGTGTATGTGCCCTTGTTAGTGTGCAGGGGATTTCACAGTTGCTTCGCAACGTCTTTGAATAGTCTAGACAATGTGCTTTGATGTGGCGTCGCATATTTTGTGTACAAAATGGCTTTTTAGTCGTCAACGCTGTGCGGCATATGTGCATGATGTTCCCACCGCCAGGCTTTCAGTCGCAGGCCCTTGGAATATTGTTGGCTATCTTAGAGTATGTGCCATATCTAAATTCCTGCCGGGCTAATAATATCGAGCGCAGGCAGTGCCGTCAACAACAACAGTTGGCGCTCGCAATAGTTATCACGATTCACACAGGTGACGACGTTGAAGAATAGTCTATGGGCCAGGCAGTAGACGATCAGGCATGGAGAAAGCCTAATAAGAAAACGAGGGCTACAGTCCCGAATCGGTATTTTTAGGCTGAATTCGAACGATAGGCACCACTGCGTGCGATAGAGGCAAGTGGAGACGAAATGTGGGGGAGGGAGGGAACACAAATTGCGTTCGCTTCCTCTACCGCGATAGTACTTGCTTGGCACCCCCAGGGTTTTCCCAAGATTGACTATTATAATATATCCCACACAAGGTCTAGAGGCTACACATTGAACGTCTCATATCATCCTCCGGGCGCTGCTGCTTTCCCATTATTATGTACTTCTCAGGCGGTGTCGTCGACCTCGCGATGTCACCGACGCCTCCAACGCCAGAGCGCCGTCCCCGCCATGCCACAACTCCATCTTCACGCCCAGTCAGCAAGAGTGGCACGCCGACCGCTCCTACTTCTCTGGTTTTAGGTATGTAGACGAAGCCTTCGTTCTTGTATCCCGTAACCTCTCTCTAACAGAGGCACCGTTCCATCCGCTACCTGAGTAGGTTCCATCCGCTACCTGAGCAGTTGACGGCAGTGCTAGACTCAAGCGTAGCAGTCGCTGTAATTTCCATGCTAGATTTTCACATTGGTTTCGTTTCGTTCTACAAGGTCCGTGGTGGCCGGGGAGAAGGCGGCGGGCTGGGGGGCGTATGCCAATGCTGTTTGGCTAGGTATACTAACAATAAACAGCGCATCCCTTCCGAGAAGAGGCGCCAACATTGGATGATCTCCTCGAGGGGGGGGGGGAGAAGGGGGGAGGGGAGAGGGGAGATTGTGAGGATGAAACAAACTGTTGTGTTATGGGTGGCGTTGACTACCATTGTGTGGACGAGGGAAAACAACCTTTGCCTGATTGATGCGGCTACGCTCTGCGATCGATCCCGTAGAGGCTCAATGCTGTGTACGGCGCGAACCGGTGTACGCAGCCCACCCGCAGCTGTGATGGTTGCGTTTAGAGTGCGTGACTGGGTTGAACGGTGCTTTACCCAGGGTCTAGGTTTTGCTTGATAGAATGCGAACGCCAATAGGACGCGCAACAACTCCCAAGGTGTTGAAAATTTTTGCCAATGGTGACGAATGGCCACCAATTGCTAAGTTCAATCGTGCGTGTTCCACCTGAAGATCTGTAGTCATAAATGGTGTCAAGAGGAGTCGTATGGGAAGACTCCTCCTCTTTGAACGCGGACTATGTAGTAGGGAGAAACAGCGCGCGCATCGATGGTTATCCTTTCTCTTGTAAAACAGAGCACCGTCGGGATCCAACACCCAACATTCTCGACCCCACACCGCTGTCTTTCGGATCTCATGTACGACGTAGTTCGCAACGTACAAACTTGTGAATCATCAATGGAATCTTGTTTAACGAAACATGATGAACGGCCACCACGGCAGTAGCTGGAGGCGAGGGAGAAGAGGCCGCACCTTCTCGCTTCAAGCGTGTTCTGGACAAGGCTACCGGCAAGCACTACTACTACGACAAGGAGACCAAAGAGACGTTCTGGACCCTCGCCGACGCGCCAAACAGCATATCCCCAAACCTTCCGCCCGAAGACCCTCGGAAGCGGAGGAAGAGTGAGCTATATGATGTTGATGTTTTTGCTAACATCGTCGTTGTAGCCATTGTGGTCGTTGCTGTTTTGTCTTGTGACCCTTCTTATCCCGTGCCAAGTAGAAAACGCGCGCCTATCCAATCGTAACGGGATCATTAGATAGAGTGTACTAGCATGCCGACGGACGGGTTGAGGAAAAAATCTACATGGCCGATCCCAGCAATGACGCTCCTGAGTTAGGTCGGGCACTTTTGTGATAGTGCGGCGGTGTTTGCATTCACCCAGAGAAACATTTCCCCACGTTACCCTCTCGGATGGGCACCAAAAAACAGCGTACGGGTTGCCCCCCACGCACGTCGAGGCCGTCGCTCAGAACCAAGGAGCTGTTGTTTGGTGGAAACTGCCATCCTCGCCAGAAGAAAGAGAAGGGCCGCAGCACACTGGGGGAAACACGAAAGCAACAACAACCAATACAAAGGGCGGAAACGGACGAGGAGGAAGTGGGGGTCGCGCCGTGGAAAGTTCGGTGGCAGGCGACGAGGAGAAACGTTCGCCTCTCGTGCCGATTGGATTCGTCGTGTACCGCTACCGACTGGATGGCCGCGAGTGGCACAAGAAAGGGGCTACGAGCGTAGACGACGCCAAGGCCGTGTCTACCGCCGTGAAAGCATTGTCAAACGGGCTTGTCTACAGGTGACGTTACTCTCAATTATCTGAATTGATTAGGGCTGCTTGTGCTATCAATTCTCGCACTCGTGTAATCGCCCCCGTTTCCCACGGACTCGTGCATGACTGTATTTTTCGTGTCCAAGGCCTGTTCGAATATTCTTGTTGCCCCGATTTATTTTGACTCATGACGCGCTTGTAAAAGACACGGCAAGTGCACGATTCCTTGAATTCCTTGGAAAGTCTTCGTGTCTGTTCCAAGCCATCCTCTTTTGGTCTTGTTGTCGTCTTCTCCACGCCCTTCTCCCCGACGGCAGGTTCACGGTCGCTTCGAGGACAGTCGAAGGCGACAGCGCGGAGAGCGAGCCCTCCGTGGCTGTGCGTCCGAACGAGCCGCTGCCCGAGGGTTGGAAGGAAAAATTCAACGCCACCACCGGCAAGGTATGGTTGCTACACGTTGTGGTGTGATTAACGTGGAGTCAAAGCAACGACCTCATCAACAAACTCCGGCGTTCACGGAGAGCAGGGCGATGCGGGGGGGCGAACGAACGCAAAGTGTACCAAAACCACTCTTCCTGGCAAGCAGCTTATTGATATGCCATTGGCTTCTCGACAAAATGCGTTGACATTCTCACCACCGCGTTTCAGAATCGTACAAAGGTGCTCCTGTGGCACACACAATATCACAACGGTTTCAAAAGCATCACAGTAAACTCAAGCGTTTCTGAAATGCAAGGTTCAATGCCATAACTGTTACTGTCAAAGGTGTGTCTCGCTGTTGCAGAGTCTCAACCGGGTTCTTCCGAGAACGTTTGCGTGTCCTTGCTCGAGGATACCCTAGAACGAAACCGGTGTCATTTCTCGTGCTTCTTTTCCACAAACCACACGCAGTCGGTGTACACGAACGTCAAGACGGGCCAGACGAGCTCGGAAAGGCCGGAGTGCAACCCTTACTTCGTCGAGACCGACCTGTTCCTCAGGTTTACGCCGGAGGAAACAGAGACCCTTTCCGAGGTAAGCTTGTTGTGTCTCACACTTGCATAAGCGGCCTGGCGAATATCAACACCGCAACTGAACTCAAGCAAGGAACAGCTCTAACAGGCATATTACCGTTGTTCTAGAGATTCCCTCCGATCCGTAGCATGCTACCCTCGCACGCGAATTCACGCGTGTACGAAACTATTGTGGACGGAATCCAGTAACACTTTCATCCACATGGAGTGGGCCATGGTGTAGCTTCAATGGGTGTGAAACCAACTGTAGGCACGAAGGTCTGAGTTGAGGGCCTATCTCGTTTCTTCATCGATCGTTCGATAATATTTGCCATGCTTTCCCCATGCCTTGCCCAAGCGAATGAAGCCAAACTTTAAACATGTCCAACAAACAAAAGCAGGAGTTCCGAACAATGGCGGAAATGCAGAGCAGCACGTTGGTGGCGATCGACGACATAATGGACGTGCTTCCGAGGATAGGAGAGCCTCTCCGCGAGGTCGAGGTGTGTGTGTGTGTGAGAGTCTTTTCTTCACCTCCGTCTGTTGCGCTGTTGGCAACAACATCACCCGAAATGCCGTTTCGCCGCTGCTGCCCGCCATAACGAGGTAGAAGAAACCGAGTTAAAACTGTCCGAACCAATGGGGGCACGTCTCGAAAGTCCCTGCGAGGTACTATTCTAATAGTAAATCAAATGTCCTCCCTATCGAGCGTTGTGCAGAGCATCTGGTACACCACAACTTGAGTGATAGCCACTAGAAGTGTTTTTCGTTGAAGCCGCGTGAGCAACGGGTACCGGTACCTTGTTTGTATAATTCCATGTCACCTGTCGAATGAGTGATGCAACATCGACGTGTTCTTGAATCAAATCACAAAACGCTCTTCTGGGGGTGTCTATTATAATAATAGTAGTCATTCACGAGGTATCGCACTACAGCTGTATTTCTCGGTTTAAGTCCCAGTGAGTGACGCTTTGTTCGTTGGCCTCTCTCTTTTTGGAGCCAGGTGGTACGACGGCTGAAGGCGGAAGGCTGGGAAGGCGTGAAGGGCGGGAGGGACTTGCCCAGCGTGACTTACAGGCAGTTCTTGGCCCTGCTGTGGGGCATCAAGGGTCCCAAGAGCACGAGGAGGTCCATCGGGAGGCGGGTGTGGGACGCCATGGTGGCGAGGTATGCCTGCGCGCATGAAAAGCTGTCTTCGCAAGCGACCCTGTTCCTTTGCTTTCAACAACTAATCGCGGATTCTGGATTTTAGTCGCCGTCGTCATATGTCTGCTAGGTTTTGTGGGGCACGGTCCTGCTCGATCCTAAACATCGATCACGCTGTGGGCGGTGTGTTGTTTGGGTTCTCGCGGAATATCCATAGGCTCGTTTATATCCACACTACTAACCTCCAAACACAGTCGGAGGCGGTGGGTGTCCGTCCTTGAGTTCTTTTTGCCGGACAGGCTGGATCGGATCTGTTTGGCGATAGTGGTCGCATCTTTCCCTAAACTTTGACAAGGGGGATCTCTTTGGAAATAGTGGTCGCATTTCCCCCTAAATTTTGACAAGGGGGTGTAGCATGAAGCTCTACCGCAGTCGTCGTTAGAAGGTCGATACCTACACACGATGCAATTCGGTGCTTTTGCTCAACCAGCCAAGACAAGCGTTCGCTCGTTCGCGTCGGATTCTTCCTTGTCAGCGTGACGCCGAACAGCGTGTCCTCGAGAAAGCTAGCCCTGATAGAACAAGACCCCGGGAAGCGCATGGGCAACTGGGAAAAGCTCGTGCACCCGGTCGTCCGGCGAGCGTACTTCGTCAACAAGGACACCGGCCAGGCGTCTTGGACGATGCCTGCGGAGGTAGGAAAAGCCAGGGGGTTGAGCCAACGGAAATCGTTGCCATGCGACAGCACGACAAAGAACATCACGCTCCGTGGGCCGATGAAAACTCGGTACCTGCACACAACAAAAGGGTTCCAAGGTCGAACCGGAGGAATACCACTCCCCAAATTAAATGCCTTTCCATCGATACATTGTTCCGGATGGTGGCACCCGAACCTTGATGGACCTACGTAACTCTGAACTCAAGACTCGCTCCACAACCCCGCGAAGTTAGTACGATTATGATGCTGCTTGCCTCCTTGAGTGGCTATGATTATCAAGAAAACAGCACAATTCCTCGTCTTCAAGAGTCAGTTCTGCGTGTGTGCATTTTGTTGGTGTCTCACGTAGAAATGCTTATCATACGGTCAACTGGCTTCTTCTCGCATCTATCTGCCCTGATGCTGTCTTCGTGGAGCCGATGTTAACACATCTTGCAGCAGCTGTGCCCTTAATCTCCATGTCTTCAACGAAGTCAGCTAGAAAAATTTTGACCTTGGCTCATGAGACGATTTTGTGTGCATGTGGTAAAGGCTCGCTCAGAGCTCATCTCCAGGACTCCTGCTTTTTCTCGTTTCACCCGGCGCTTTGAACGAAAACAAGACCATCAACGCCTTGGAACCGTTCTGCGTAGGTGAAATTCTTCCTCAACGACAAACTAAGGCAGGACCTCCTGAAGACGACCTTCAGCGAGGAAGAGCTGGCGGGTCTGCAGTAAGTGCGTTGGGAAAAAATATATCATGTGCATTGCTTTCACGGTACACCTGCGCAGAAGAATATTAAGTGGTGCGAAGAAGACCCCTTGCCGACGCGGGCCCATCTGTCTACAGGTGATAGGATAACTCCATGTCCACATGGTCCTTATTTGTTTTCGTGTACAGGAAAGCCTTCGCCAAGATGGACCTCGACGGCAACGGCACCATAGACGCCGACGAGCTAGGCCTAGTCCTCAAGTCTTTCGGAGAGGCCGTACCCCCAGGACGTCTCAAAGCTCTTATCCGTGAGGTGTGCAGCAGGAACACAATTCCTTACGCATATTGTGCGCCAGAGATAAATAAATGCCTCGGAGCTCGTCGACACTGCTTCTTCTCTACTTCCATCCACCATTAGAAAGCACTTCCATCGTTTGAGAAAGTTCTCCGCTGGAACATGCTTCGTACGGACGCTAGGATGGCCTTCGGTACAGGTGCAGGCGCGTGGCAGGCTCACTGAAAGATGGAACCCGTCTCGAGGGCTAGGAAGGGGGACGAGCGTTCAACATCATCGTCCAGGATGAGGTGGTTTAGCATCTTGTCGAAACTGCATGGCATGCACCCTAAACCTATTTTCTCCTCTGCGGTAGTTGACAATGCGTATTGCGGCAAACATGCTGATGCCTAAACCCTTCGTATGTCGTCTCGCTGTCGGTGTGCTTTGTTTTCAAAGGTCGACCATGACGGCAGCGACTGCATCGACTTCGAAGAATTCACCGTGATGATGTCCGCCGTTAAGAACGGCAGAGCCAGCCTTGGGTGGGGCAGAATAAACAGGTGGGAGCTCCTATATGTCCCGCTTCCAAAGTCACCCCATGCGAGACATTCTACCATCACCGGCTTGTGTACCTCTTGCACGACTCGTTCTGGTTGTCCAGAATCTCTCGTAAGTTGTTGCTCAGGCCTTTTGAGGGACAATATTTCAATATATCCAGACCTCGACGAGTCAGGATGGAGAGAAGAGAGATATGTTGAAGAGAACCACCCGAAACAACCAGAATCCCATACACCCTACTGCCTTCAATTCGGGGGGTTTGGACCTTGTCGTCGGCGTCTCCACCTTTGTGTCGACAGGCACCTGCAAGGCGACGACGACAGGAAGTTCGACGTTCTCAAGGGCCAGTTGAACACCCTCAAGGCAAGGCAAAAGAATGGAGCCGCCGGTTCGGGTACGGTTGTTTCCGGCGGTGGTCGTGCAAGCCACGGCAAGTTCTGCCTCTGCGGGTAAGTGGCGCTACGCATCCCGCTTTAGGAACGTCAGATTAGCGAGCCCTCCTCCGAGCACTCAAGTTCTGAATGAAATATCCCCGAATTTTGTTGTACTCCTCCTTATTTGTGCCAACCCAACCCTGAACCGAGTCAGTGTCCGCTGTTTGAACTTGACACCGTTTGGTCCGAAGAGAAAGCGACGAGCATGTCCCTTTGTCGATCATAGCGGCACGATGCTCAGGATTCGTACTGATCGATGTGGAATTTGTGCGTTGATGCGGTCGGGGTGAGCCAGCTGTCTTTGAACGACCAAACCCATTCCCAACCCAAACCGTTACGTTGGATCGAACGAGACAAATCAATTTATTCCGAAATGCCCGGATGGCCAAGTAGGGTGGGTTGACGTGAGTTTGATCCGTTGAAGAGCCGCCTTGCTCATCTCTGTCTCAGAACATATTACTCTGGTGAACGTTTCCAAAATGGTGTGCGAGAATAACTATTATAGTCCTCCTGCCTTCCACTTCTTGAAGCCTCCGCCTTTTTTCTACGATTGCTCCTCGTTGCGAGAGTATTGAGTGCAATGCGCACCATACCAACACTAAGAAGGTCCGGCGTGTATTTTGAGGCGTGTTTTTCCCTCACCACTCCCTTCGCCCTCTCACCCCCTCCGGTTTCTCTGCCCGCCATCCGCCCTCTCTTCGCTTGACGTGCTCAACATTCAGGTGCCGGGGAATCGAACCCTCAGACCGAAACGACAAAATAATCTACAAAGACTGGGGGACGAAGCAATTGCACCGTACACCGTGAAGTAGTTGATTGAGGGTGGGTGGGTTGGTGCGTGCGTGAGAGAGCCGGGAGGAGGCCGATTGTGGTGTGGACTTGCCGACGAACCACACTACGCTCACCGGCAACACTCGAGAGAGACTGCTGTAAATTGAGCTTTCATTGATGTTGCTAGGCGATGTGACTGGGCGTGATTGTGATGTAAGAGTTTAGAAGGGAGCACGTTTGTCCTCTGCCCTCCGTGGATCCATTTATTTGAGCTGAGGAAGCAGGCCATGAACGAACGTGTTAAAGCAATGTTGTGCCTGGTGCCTGTAGCTGCAGGGGTGCGGAGCGGCGACGATGCCAACGACACCTCCGTGCGCCACGTTGCATCTCCAGTCGTTTCAACAACCGTTTAGGGTTGTTACGAACACGAATGGGGGAGTGTCCATGGGAGAGTGTCCGGGTGGCCGCCCTGTCGAAACCTTTCCTATTTTAGTGACTGGCGTTTGTCGAACGTGGCGGCGGCCAGGCAAACATCGTGGACTCATACCGCTATTTGGGCACGGTGTGAGACGTGAAAAATGTTCCGTCCGTTGTTGGTGCTCCCAAGGGAAACCTCCCACGAGATGATAGGTAGAATAAAAAAGCTGGCCACGGTTTGAAGGGAAGCCCGATAGCCCCAAAAGTCCAACTTGCTGTTGAAACCCTCATTTTCGAGGACTGACTCTCTTTAACTCCGCGTCAAGCTGGGAGTGCATCGATAGTCACCTTCGGACATGCAAAAAAACTACTACCTGTCTCTCAGCTTCCGGTTCCGCCCACACCAACGCCCACATGGGCGAACCGGGTCGCAAAGATAGGGAAGGTCTTCCCCGGCGTTTCGTTTTGGGGGTTCGAACAGGCAAAATACACCAAAATACTCTCTTCTTGCCATGTATCAAATCACCACGAGGCCCAGCCAGAAAACGAGGGATGTCTCCTGCACGTATGCGTAAAATGTTTTTTTGTCAACTGTAGCCACGTCTTTTGCTTAAAGTGACACACGGCAACGTCCAGGAAGGCGCAACACGAAACCAAACGTTTTCCCTCGTCCAGATGTTCAAAACGAACAGCAGGGCAAACGTGCGCGTGTCCGTGCAGAGGCGCATGTAGAATTGGGGATCACCAATCGCCAGCGCACAACATCCATGCGGCATCATTAATGCGGTTCTGACAAGCTTGTTTCTGTTCTACGGGTAACGGGGGAAGGGGGGGGGCAGCGAATGTCACTTCGAAGAACGGAAAATCCCTACACGTTGTGTGCAGCACTATCGACGGTGTACTGATGATACGTGGTGAGCGTCATCCGTCTTCAGCCGCAACGACTACTGCATCTTCAGGCACGTCCCACTGAGTCAGCCCGGATTCCTCGTTCTGGTAGTAGACGCTGCCGGATACTTCGTCCAGCTGAGGTATCCAACGTTTCCTCGCTTTGGCCGCCTCGACGATGGTGCCAAACGCGTTACTTGGCCGATGGTTAGCATTGCCATTGCTGATCCGTGCAGTTGCGGCCATGCCCTCCACGCTACCTTCCAAGCTTCCGGATGTGCCGTGGCCACTTTTGTCGCCATCCTCGTGATCGAGACCCACGGCGTCATCGCCTGCTGCAACGTCGTTGATGCCATCGGCGTTCGGATGAAAGGACTTGTTCGCTCCTTGCTCTTGCCCCTCCTCTATTCCTGGTGATGCCGACTCGGCGTCAATCGTAGCTTCGAAGGACCCTCCACCACCGTCATCTCCCCCCTCTTCCGCGCCCTCTTGTCGCTCGAGTTCGGTGCCACGGTCACGTTCATTTTCCGCCCAGCTGTTCCGGTAGCCCGGGTTGTTGCTATCGCTACCGCTGTTACTCGCCCCGTACCTTGAATAATCATATGACTGTTGCCAATCCGCGCTCTGGTGGGGCTCGGTGTACAGGTCATCTGCCACTGATGCTGCTTCTGTAGTACCTGGGCCGCGGTTCTCTTCGTTGATTGCCTCTGGGGGTTGGGCTCGAGACGCGGCAGGGTCGCCACTACCGCTGCCTGCACCGCGGATCCAACCTTCCGCCTCGGACCATATCCACTCGGATCCTTCTTCTTCCGCGTCGACGCCACCCCTACCGTTGCCCTCATCCCAACCCTTGCTCTCGTAGCTCTTCGATTTTTCCGTGTTAAGCGCCCCTTCGGCGTATTCACCGATATAGCTCGACCCCTCGACCTCCGCCTGGTCCTGCGCCGGCATCGACAAGGAGGAAGCGCGCCGAGCGGCTGCAACGGCCTCGGCGAAGCCCTCGCGAAGGTTATCAGCGACCCATGCTCCCTCTTCCTCCGTTTCTTCCCGCTCTTGATATGCGGTATCTCTATCCCATTGCTCCTCCTCCTCCTCCTGGCCCGCCGCGCCTCCCGCTGGCCCTTGCGCTGTGTCAGTCCCACTGTCATCGTCGCTGTTACTGCCGCCGATACCGCGCTCGCCGTCGTGCCTGTTTTCCTTCCTGCGGTTGTCTTCTCCTCTTGCCTCTCCGTCCCGTTGTGCACTTTCCTTGGACGAATTGTCACTACCAACACCGCCATCGTGTGGAGTATAACTGTGTATGTCGACGTTGTAGAAGAGTCCCGCACAGTCGCCATGGTCAAGATCGAGCGCTACCAGCTCAGGGGTCCTTCCGCGGGCGTCCCTGACGTGCGGGTCCGCCCCGTGCTCCAGCAATAGCCGCGCTATGTCGGTAAGGCCCAGCCTACATGCAGCGTGGAGGACGGTTCCTCCGTTCTGTGTCATGATTCATAGCGTCGGGGGAAGGAGAGTGACGGATGGGCGCCGTGGCGCGGGTCGCGGTTGTAGGTGCGTAGATAGAAACTCGAAGGAGACAGCGTATTCTTGTAGTGCAGAAAGGGCTGATGAACCGACTCGCTTTGCACTTGTTATCAGGTACTATCGTCACCACGAATTTCGAAAGTACTGCACCATAGGAAATGTACACCTGGTCCACTTCCATAGTCTGCAACCAAGGGTTTTTCTCGACTTTCCCTTCCCCCACTGCTAGCATCCTCTGTTGGGGATTGCGAACCGACACAACAGACCACAGTCGAAATTTACAGATCATGCCGTTGCGTGAACCTACGGTGCTCTCGACGTTGACCTGCATGCGATATATACCACGACGGTCAAGACCGCGGAGCTCCACTCTGCGCACGCCACCGAACACAATATTGTTGTCACTTGCGCACCTGTGTACATGGACTTTTCTTGGTATACAACCTCGTTCTGGTAGGAAACCCCTACATTGCCTGCATGCCGGGTTTGTTCACAATCACCTCGTCTGTGACGCTGAGGTCCGCCGGAGGTTCCGCCGCAAGCAGGAGCGCCACCGTGGGGGCGTCGGCCATCTCGATGGTCAGCCGAAGGCAAGTGAGGCCGCGAGCATCTGGAAGGCAGACGTTCGCTCCGGAGTGGACGAGAAGCCGCGCGGCGGCGTGCTGATCGTTGGCGACCGCCAGGTGAAGCGGCGTCATTCCCGCCGACTCGTTCGTTGCGTTCACCTATGTTGGTGATTTCCGTCAAACACAACAGCACGGTATCGAAACTATCATCCAAACACTCACGGCCGCTGTTGAGCTTACAACAACGATAGGAAGTATGAGAACTTGAAAGTAGTTTCAAAACAAAGGCAAATCGCGCTCTCTGAGTAATTCTGGCGACAACCGCAACGTGCTTGAACTGTGTCACAGCGCATTATTTTTCTTCGAGTAGGGCAAGATAGACGGATATCCAAGATATTCAAGCTTGTGGTAGTAGACGGAAGTTGAGACGAGCGTTTCATGCCGCGGTGCGAAGGTACCGAAGTAGGGCATGCACAGATGGCTTCGAAGCTGGTTCTCAAGTTCATCCATGTAACGACCGATTTCCCTCGTCCTATATGATCATAGGCGAAACAAGGCAAACACGAAAGTACTCACGTTCGCCCCGGCGCGCACCAGCATCTCCGCGACGTCTATGCTTCCCGCCCCAACGGCCTCGTGGAGGGGTGTTAAACCGTCCCCGACGGTGAGGTTTACCCTTGCACCATACTCCAACAAAGCCGCTGCCGCCGAAGCATTCTGCGTAGTTCAATTTATTGCACCCAATGTGGTTGAGAAAGCGCCTTTTGATTCGTGTCGTGCCACGGTGGCGGTTTTACATGGGGACGTCAGCGAACTGGCATACAACACTAAGGTGATGAAGGTATGGCATTGCTTGATATTCGTACGAACGAGACTCACGGCTTTTTGTGCAGCTATAACAAGCGGCGTCCTCTTCCCGCCCCGCACTTCCTTTGAGTCCACCTCGGCGCCGATGTTCGCAAGAGCCGCGACCGTCTCCCTGCTGCCCTTCTCGCCGGCCGTCATCATTGGCGTAAAGCCTCTCCTATCTCTCGCCTCCACCGCCGCGCCCGCTTCGACCAGAGCCTGGATGACACCGGCCCAGTTAGGGGCATGCCCCCGCCCTCTCAACCAGTGACCACTGCCGTTACGTTGCCCGTCTACATCTGAGAGATCCCCAGCAAGGTTGGTGCCGCTCTTGGCTGCTGCTGGGGCCATCGGTGCGAGCGTGGAGGAACCCCTTCGGCCAACAGCGGACTCAGCACCATCCCTGACACGAATTTCTACCCCCGTGGTCGGCGCATGACGATGACCTTCGCCACTCCAACCCCCTGAGCCTGCCGCTGCCGCGTGCAGGGCGGTTTCGTGATCGTTTCCTGCCACCGCGTTCACATCCGCCGCTCCCCCCAACCTCACCCACGACCCTATCGTCACCGTCGCCGCGGGAGCATGTAGCAGGAACGCCACTGCACGCAGGTCCCCCTCGCTCGCCGCCTCTACAAGAGCTCGATCGAGCGTTGCGACGCGAGCTCGATTTCTTGCCCGCCAAGCCCTGACCAGTCGGAACCCTGCTCGCCACCTCCGTGACTGCAGCCTCCACATCCTCTGGATAAGTGACGCGCTGTTGGAGGCTCTTGCGGCGATCCGTCGCTCTCGCGGAGCTCTCAACAGTGCCCTCTGGATCGTTGCCGCGGCGTTTTCCCTCGATCGCCGCTTAGCGGCTTCACCACGGAGCTTGGTGCGTTTGTCGGCAAAGTGCCGAGCCTGCAGCGCGCCAATAGCTCCCATGGCGGCGTTGGCGGCAGCAGGGTCTGGTGTGGACGGCGGCGGCGTTGAAGAACTCGGCGCCAAGGCAGCCGAACCAAAGGAGGCCGTCGGTCGTAGACGTTGTTTTTGTGTCTGGGTGAAAAGAAATAGTCGGGAGCACGCGGCACACGAAGAAATAAGACATGGCAGCCTGACTGCGGTGTAGTGTGTATGTATTCCCTGCTTTCCACCTAGTGCTTTGGACCAAGACAAAGCGTCCAAATCGAGTTGTGGTTCTCGTCTCTGCAACTACGTGAGAACTGGTCCTGGGGGCAGTGGGCAACAAAGAGGCAGCGAGGAGGCCTCCACTGCCCAGCCGACGGCCCAGGTGGTGCCCTTTTCGATAAATTGAGCGGGGTGCACGAGGCCGACGCCACCGTGTCTTGGCTCCTCATCAGCCTCACCTGACTCTTATCTCGTCCGTCACGGAACGACTTCATGGACTTGATCGCCGTCCCCAGTCCACGGAAAGAACGCGTCGGAGACAACGCCGAGGATCCATTAACCGTCTTGTTGTTGGTCGTGCTGCTTGCTGTCACTTTTATCTGGCCTCTCCTGTCACCATCCGGAGACACGACGGAGACGCTAGCCTCGTTGCCCAACCATTCCGCCCAGCTGTCCTCGTCCTTGCCACTCGCACTGGTCGTTGCAGAGGTCTCCTGCTGGCGAACGCCCTTGGGTGGCGGCGCCAATCCCCGCGATTTTGAAGCATTCGAAGTGGGTGCGGCTTTCAGATTTGCAAATGATCCTGCAGCTTTCAGTTTCCCCTTCAATGATGCGAAGCTTCCAGCCGTGCGGATGGAAGAACGGGAGGGCTCAGCGCCAAGCCCGTGCTGCCGCAGCTCATGTCGCCGCCACGTTTCCAACGCCCCCCGCTGCCGCCCCATACTCCAGTGCCGGTACAGCTGCCTCAGGGCCTCGGCGTGTTCCGGCCGCCAGTGCTCCGGTCCCATTTTTGGCAATGTCCACCGCCGCCACGCCTGCCGTAGCCTGGCTCTCCCGAACCGTTCCAAATGGGAGACAAGCTTTCCCATCGCTGAGCGGTTCCTCGAGACGATGCGCGCGCCCTTGGCATGCGCCCGGAGGGCTTCGAAAGCGAACCGTACGAAGATCCGTGAGGACATGCCGAACCGGCCGGCAAACGCCTCCGCCATGCGGCCACCGAGGAAGGTAGCTCTGTGCCTTTCCCACGCGGACATGCCGTGCCGAAGCCGGTCGAGACGGTAATGTTTCGCAGCTTTTGCGTCACGGTGGCGCAGTCGGCCCTCGGTTCTTTCGGCCCATGCCAGAAAAGAGTCTGCCAACGTGCGATTGGAGGTGTCCACGTTAACCCGGTCGCTTCCGGACGAACCCCTCTTCGATTCAGGACCCTCTCCTTTTCTGGTCGCGGCAATGTTCCTGGTTAGACTTGCGTAAACGGCGCCGCGTAGAACAGGAGGAGGAAGTCCCCTTTCCGTTTCCCGCCCGGGGACATGTTGTTCTCTTGCTGCCGTAGTGCGCGCAGCCTCCTCTTCCTGGTGCACCTCCGACCCGTGGGTAGCGGCTGTAAGCAAATCTTCGTTGTTGTGGCCGGACACCTCTTGTACACCGCCCGGCGTCGAAGGTTGAAAGTCGTAGCTCTCGTCTTCTGCGCCATACGTACGTCCATCCCCCCCGAGGTCCTTCAAGTCGGTGAGCATTCCGTCGCACATGTTGAAAATAAGGTTGAACGGAGACCCTCGCCGTCCCATCCTCCCATGGGCTCCGTCTTGCGGGTCGGGATCATCGGAAGACTTCGTCTCTTCTAGGTTTTGTGTTGACTGAACTACCGCTTCTGCTTCTGCTGCCTCTGCTGCCTCTGCTGCCTCTGCTGCCTCTGCTGCCCCTGCCGCTTCTGCTATTGCTGTTGTTGCTGCTGCTGCTGCTGCTGCTGCTGCTGACTCACTGCTTAACTGTTGATAGTGCGTCTCGCTTGGTTGTTCAACCGGGGCGTCGTCCGGAGGTTGTGTAAGGATGGCGCCCCCTTCCGTATCGTCAGGATAACGCCCCGGATCATCCACGTGATGTCCGTCGCTCATGTCTACATTAGCCGCCGGATACCCTTCAGCGTTGGTGCACCGCTCGTCTACCACAGCGACGTCACGAGTATCGTAGCCTTGCTGACCCTCGTCTTCAACGTACCCGTAGTATCGTTCTCCCTCGTAGTAGTAGTCGAGGTCTTGGTCGTCTTCAAGATATTCGTACCCTTCATCGTGCTGTTCGTAGCGATTATCGTCGGTATACATCACCCCCCCGTTCTGGTAGTCAAGGCTCTGGTCATCAGGTGGAAGAGCACTTGATTCTTCACGCTCGTCTTCCGCCCCTGTTGTGCAGTATCCTCGCGTGGCCCCCCCCTGAGCGTGTTCAGATTCGCTCGACCCAGTCGACCGCCGTCGGTCGTGTTGAGGACGCACCCGTCTTTGGAAACCATCACCAGGGTTGTCGCGGACACGCGGCACCTCGGTCGCCCGTCGTTCGTTGCGGTACGGAGCCACTCCGTCCGGGAGGTGGTGCTCATCAGCTGAACGAGGAGAATGATGTGGGCCACCATCTACGGCCCCGCGGTTACAAGGGAGGGACCTCCTAGGAAGACCTCGTGAGTGTTTTGGGCCACTCTCCGCCTCTGACAGCTTGCGTGCTGTGGAGCATCTGTGCGGAACAGCCTGGCTGACTCGCCTACGATCGTCATCAACACAAGCGTGATGGATCTTCTGCCGCTCCTCCTCCTCCTCCTCCTCCTCCACCCCCCGCTCCTCTCCATCCTCCTCTGATGCAGGTTGGTTCTCGTAGTGACGTTTCTCCCGATACTCTACTCCACGCCGTCTATCGGAATTACGGCTGCCGTCAGAAGGAGTGGAGGTACTGCGCGACTCTTCAGCTGCTGCTGCTGCTGCTGCAGCTGGGTTCAAAGATGGTGGGCGTCGTTTCGGCATGTCGCCGTGCCTGGAGGCAATTCTATTGTCATCGAATCTGTCCTGCCCGGAATCGGCCGGGCTGCGCTTTCCAGATGAGCTGACCGGGCGTCTCCTCCTGCCAGACGGGCTAGAAATCGGTGTGGGGTGACCCGAACGTAGCCTAGTCCCCCTCCTCTCCTCCTGCTCCCTGCGTTGTCGTCGCTGCGTGCGCCGAACTTCGCGGTATAGCACGGCCGAAGCAGCCGCCACGCGTTCTGTGGACACACCGAGCGACCCCGAGGCGCTGAGGGGAAATTTGCCCGATCTAGATCGAATGGAAGAGCGGTCGAGGACAGCTGAGCGCCCGTCTAGACCAATGTGGGACAGGAACGGGTTGTTAGAAACGAGCACGCCTAGATGTTCTTCTAGCCCCGGGAGGCGCGAGAGGAAGTCGATGTCACCGGCGGCCTTCACCAGGTAGTTCGACGATCCCCAGATAAACGGTCTCTCCTTGTCGCCTCTCCTCCACCTCTCCACGGCCTCCACAATCTCCACCGTGATGCGCCGCAGCACAGTCAGCAGCTCTGTGAGCAGAGCAAACAGCTTTGGCGACCGTCGCTTGTGATCGTTTAGAGCATTTGACGCCCGGTTGTTCCCGTTGGTGGCGGCCTTAGATCTGGCCCGCTTGCCGTAGGCCGACACGACCCCGTGGAGCTTGGTCAGGTACGTTTCTCGAAGAACCACCCACTTCATGATGCGCAACTCTCTAGGAGCGCAGTCCGAGCCGCCTCCCATGCGAGATAGCGCCACGAGCATCTCACCGTCACTACTTTTGCTCCTCGTCTTATCCTGGTGGTCATGGCGGCCGCGTGCTGATGGGGTACTTGGTGGCCTATCCGGATGGCTGCCGCGTACCAATGGGGCACTTGATGGCCTATCCGGATGGCGAGGGAGAATGGTTAAAGTTGAAGGAAATGACGAAATACAAGGACGGGCGAGGAGAGGACGCAAATAAGTCTAGGAGAGGCTGCAGTAGATGAATTCTGAGTGGGTGGGTCGGTTTGAATGAGACAGGCAGTGCACCGCTATACTGACAGTGAACTTCAACGATGGAAACATACTAAAAAGCAGACACAACCTACCCACAAGGGCCATTTCACGTGCAGATTGAGGACCTACGATAAATCGATAGATTCATCTTACCAAGGTCTACAAAATATTGACAGGTAACATAACAGCGGCCACAAAATATTGACAAGGTCGCACGGCAACTGTATCGTGCGAGTGCACACAGTAGACTTCACTCTTTCGCAAGATACCGTAAGAGTCGGAGAGATGGCACCCCCGTGTTAGCGTTTTTTATAGCGTATTTCTCCACAACCAGGGGGGTACCACTGCCGAAAAGGGCGGTTTTGGAAAAGCCTCGTCGAGGGCTTTCCTGAGAGCTATCGGTTGGTGTTCCACCCTCCTAGTTGTGGAAAAATAGGCTACAAAAAAAAGCTAACACGGGGGTGCCATCTCTCCGACTCTTAAGGTAGATTAGCTTTTAACAAGCTTACCTCGATCTTTTGCTCCCTTGCCGGCTTCGCTCCTCTACCGCCGGCGCGTTGGAATACACGTGCTTTCTCTTTACTTTCGAAGCAAGGAGTTTCTCTTTGCCGCTCTCTTTGCCGTTCACATAGTAGTCTGATGCAGCACCTCTTCGGGATAGCGGTGTCACAATCGCAGATCTCGGCCGTGTACGGCGCCTGCTCCCAGCTGCAGCTGCGGCTACACCTTGGCCATGATCCTCAAAACGAAGAACTTTCCGATACCCTCGATGGCTATCTCCAGCACGCTTTAGTGGTGGCCTTCTCTCCCCAGCGTGGTGGCGATGCCGGTGGTGATAGTCTTGGTCTTGTCGCATGCTTGCAACCGGTAAAGTTCTCACCTCCCGCCGATCGCTGTCGACGCCGGGGTACGGCATGGGAAAGCGAGAATCTGCGCCACCCTGGTGCAGTTTATGCTTTCCACGAGTCGTCGCCAGTCGCATAGCCACTCTTGAACGCTTTGGCGCTGAACCCTTCGGGACTTGTTTGTGCTTTGTGCTTTGGGTTGCTTGTCCCCGCGACGCTGACGAACGACGTTCAGGAGATAGCCGCATCACCCCTGACCTCGACGAATGGCGATTTGGGGATGGCGACGGCTTTGGTCTCGGTCTGGCATAATACCCGAATGCTCTTTCGAAGAACGCATCACCGTTAGCGTCACCGCGCGCGGCAGCAGCTCGAGCAGCGCGCATATCCCCAACTACCCCACATGTACATGGGCCCTCCACACTATGTGTACAACATGTACGCGGCCTACTGCTCGGCACTATTTGTGCACACGTACATATCTACGGAACCTGGGTACAGTCGCCGCGAATGAGACCCGTCTCGCGATCATCGTTGAAAGCGTACGGACGACATCATACATCGGAGCACCTTCGAGTCATTTTCACGCACGGGGCTCTGTGTCTCCCCTCCTCCCCTGCTCCCCGCGGCTGCCATTGGTCGAAACGGAACAAAAAAACTGTAACCGTCGTGCGGCGCAACTGTGGCATGAGCCACCAATTCGACAGCCCCCAGGTGCTACCTTTCAACCCTCTCTGTACGCCTCTCCACTACGGGACGCGTGGGCACAGGTGTGATATACTTACAAGCAGCTTGCGTAGGTGTAGCGTGGCTTCTTCCCAGCGAAAGGGACAAGGGAGCAGTTATGACGGCGAGGACGATCAATGGGTCGATCAAAATCAGGGAGAAACACAAGATTTTCAAGGAGACTGGCTCCCCGTTCGATGCGACACCGATTCACTCCATCAAGGTGTGCTGTGTACGCTTCCGGGTGAACTTATAGTGATGCCCCTGGTGGTACTACTAGCCGCCAACCCGCTGCGCGAGCTCTTTGGTAGTGAACGATGAGATTTGGTCACAAGAATCTGAATTCCTTCCACACACGGGCGGACGTGGTCGCCATCCTGTCGTGCGTTGGTTGTTTCTCCACGCGGTGGCACGGTGTATACACGCAACCAGAGCCCCCTCGATTATGGCTACCATCGTATGACGGCGCGTTGGGTGGTGGTACAACAAAGCGACCGCACGAGTGCATGAATGAAGGTATCGTAGGGTGATACGAGCGAGACTAACTAACGGGTCTTGCCTGCTGGCACGGCACATCAATCTACACGCAAGTAGACCTCCGTGTAAGAAAGCAGTCTGTATTCGGGAAGGGTTCAGGCTCAAGTTCAACAACTTAAGCAGCAGAGCAAACCCATACAAACCGTTCGAACAACAGTCTATTGTGACACGGCGTTTTCTCGCACACGTTTACTTCTTTCCCTCACATAGCCCCTTCGTAGCTTTCGGACGACGACGACGGTGGACCCAACATACAGTAGTCTATAGGTGATTTCCTGTCTTTTGTCTCAATCGCTCCGTACTACAAATGTACATGACGTAAACTAGAGGGGTGGTCATCGATGATCTGGTCTACGCTTACAGCAGTACTTTAGTTTCCCACCCATCATGTTTAATTGTTTCATTTCCGTACCGTTTCTTTGGGGTACACAGCTTGTGGCTACGAAAGCCGTCCGCGTCAGCTGGATCATCAGTAAGGACTTGTGAAGTACGAGCATATATCGGAACCGTTTTAAGTGGCAGAAAACAACGAGGACAATACTCAATTACAAGGGTTTGACATATATGTGCCATACACCCGTATCGGCTCTTTTTGTTACTCTGGGATATATCTTGGACAGCTCCGGCCAGGCGGGCATGATACTCTCCCGGCCAAGCCCATCGATGTGTCGGCATTTTCATACTCGAAGAGAACGGCGCACCAAAGCCCTCTGTCGTTTCTCAAGCGGGGGACGGGGAACGGCGGGACCGTGATCCCTTTCGGCTCTGGCGAAGAATCGCCCCCCGGCGGCGCAGCGAAAGGGGGGCAAAGCAAACGGGCGTCGGCTAGAGCAGCAGCCGTAAAAAAGACCAAGCTGCGGGACTTCCAGGTACAATGGTGTTCACTGTGTTTATGGTTAAAGTGGAGTAGAGATGGCCAAAATCGCCGTGCAGACCTGCGCGGTACTACATAACGACAAACACAAGTTCATCCGTTTGCCAGTCGAGGGTCAGCAGACTCGCCGCGCGCTTGTTCAATGGGTACTATTTTAGTGACCGGTGAGTGGATAGTATTGTCTCCAGTTCGGAGCTGTTGCCCGGCGGATGCAAACAAAACACATTGATTGATGTCGTGTCGCCGCTGCTGTTGTTCTTGTTGTCACCCAAAAAACAACAAACAGGCGTTTGCCGAGCGTCCGAACCCTCCAAACACGGAGTTCCGGAGATTCTACGAGCGCGGAGACTTGCCCGTGCAGATTGACCACGGAGGAGTACACAACCGGATCGCATGGAAGGTCGACATCCAGAAGGTAGGGGTCATCATGTTGTCCAATCTGTGTGTGATCTGTACACGGCGCTTTTTTCTAGCAGATACTCCGCCGGAGTGCTGTGGACAGTACCTGCGGCTTCTTATAATTGTTTGGCTTGGGAACTGGTTGAAGCCGGGAGGTGGAGGTTTTTGGCTGAGCCGCACTTGCGACCAGCGCCCTTTTTTGCCGCGTACGGCCGCAGTACACGAGAAACCACTCTAACACTGTGTTGATTGACCTCGATCGACCGGGAACTGTCCCTATCTCTCGACCCGCCTAGGGATGCTGCCGACCGAATTCAACACGGTACTGACCGAGGAACCCAGACTCGACAAATCCAAACCTCGAACACGTAATAAACTCCTCAATCGATGCGTCGCTCCTTGAATTGCGTTTGTTTCTCACAATACCATCCTCGGTGAAGAGCAACAACAGAATCCATACGCTCGATGTCTAGATCTACTCTTCAGGTAGCAAACATGACGCACGATTTTTCCTCGTGTTGGCCTCCTCCTGTACAAGCTCTGTATCCGTGTGAGATTACCGTGCGAACCATGTCGAAGTAACCACAAGTGCACGGCTCTTTTTCTTTCTGCTCTGTTCTGGGCTGCAGCTGGATTTCCACCACTACCTACCGATTTTCTTTGATGGGCTGCGCGAGTTGGAGATGCCCTACGCGTTTCTCGCGGAGCAGGGTGTGTACGACATGCTCAGCGCCGGGTCCAACAAAGTCCTCCCTGTCATTCCGCAGCTCATCATCCCCATCAAGAGTGAGCAACACAGGAATACTGATTTTTCTGTTAGAATAGCCTTACCGATCGTGTACGCAGCCGTATCGTTGTGTGAAGACAAGCCGCTGGTTTCAGGTAGAAGTCACTCCGTCCTTCGAGCCTCACTTGAATCATCAACGTTCGCGGCACACAGTATGAGAGAGCAGTTCTCGCCTTTGGCCTCGCCGTCATCCAACAAATGCCCGAAGAAATGTCCAGGCACTGTTTGCATTCCAGGCAGCCAATTGGTGTTGCTTGTGCGGGCGACAACATAATAGCCAATCGCAGTCTTTACCGTGTCGACCAAACCATGGCGTTGACATCTTGCTCCAAGCACCTTGCGCATGCGTGCGTACGTACGTGCTCTCGTTGTGGTTTTTGGTTGTGTTTGTCGTTGCTGTCATGCTGCATACAGCCGCGCTCAACACGAGACAGAAGGCGGTGATCGTCAAGGTCCTCAAGGTGTTGCAGTCGCTCGTGACGTGTGACCAGGGCCCTGACGGGCAGGGACTCATTGGGCAGGCGCTTGTGCCCTACTACCGTCAGATCCTGCCAGTGCTCAACATCTTCATCCGGCAAAACGGTGCGGCATACTAAGGGTACCAGTGTAGTAGTAGACGAAGCAAGTTTAGTTTGGGTGTTTGGGTGTGTCATGGTGTCTGGTGGCGTTGTGGAATCTTCATGTTTCGTTGCGATAAAGGTTAAATAGTGTGGGAGGTGGTTTTGCCCGTACCTTGTCTACTCCTGCTTGCCCTGTATCCTTCGTTTCCTTCAAAGTCTCCAGTTTTCGCATACCATGTGTGACGAAGTTTGGACCAACGGCGTTGTTGCGGCGTCTGAGTGCGGCAAATGGGTAGGAGTCCACCTGGGAGATACCCGCACTGTCCCGTCGAACAAGATTGCCTGTTTTTCCCCATCTAGAGAAAAGAAAAAGCAGACGTACCTCGTAAAGTGCAGTATCCTGTCGACCTTACCGCAAACGGCGAACAATGCGACAACAAAACCAACCAACGTTTGGTGCGCCGTCGCCGCCTCTTCCTTATTACTATCTACCGTTTCCGGTCGTCCAGACAACCTCGGAGATGGCATCGACTACGGCCAACAGAGGCGGGAAAACCTCGGCGAGCTCATCATGGAAACCCTGGAGGCGTTCGAGGTGAACGGCGGCGAGGACGCCTTCATCAACATCAAGTACCTCGTGCCTGTTTTCCAAAGCGTCGTCGTCAGCTAAACAAGATGACAGCAGTAATTTGGTGGCGTCAATAAACGATGCGCTAGCACCGAGAGGAGCTTGTTTGTTTCTTGATATGAAACGAACACCAGAAGGTCTGCGCGTGGTAGCTGGCGTGAGGGGCAGCCGCACTTGCGAACGCGATGAAAGGCTACATTGTGCGTGCTTGGTGTCGGAAATACCGTCGTCCAGGAGCGTATGCTCTGTCGTACTAGACGACGAATCCCCCACACAGTAAGATGGTGTGTGCCCTCACGGCACAGGGAAGGATCAACCTTCCTCTAACGAGGGAACGGGTCGTGCGGTTGGTTGTAGGTGGCTAAATTAATCGAATTACCGCGGAAAGTAGCGCGATAAAGGGTAGGGGATCTCGTCTGAAATGAAGCAGGTACTTGGACGCGTTGTGGTGGTACAAGGCGTGCGCTCTGCTGGATGCCATATCTCGTCAGAGCAGCGACTTGTCCATGGCAGGTTTACTATTCCCGTGCCTGCACTACTCACGCCCAGACGATGGTTCACGCGCGTAGATGTAACGAGCGAACGCTGTTAGAAAGAAACGAAACTGCCTTGGCAAGGTCTCGTAATTTTTTCTATTTTATTTTGATGATGTGTTCTCTCAGTGAGAGCTCACAGAAATGGTACACATTGGTTTGGTGCTCCACGGTTTGCGTTGAAAAATGTTGACCAGGCGGGGTCAGTCTACCAATCTGCTGCACGTGAGGTACATTGCCAAACCGACACAGCGAGCGGCAAGCTGCAACAGAGAGCAACCCCCCACCTTCCGGGCCCCGCCCTCTCCACCATGTCTCCCGCACGCCTCCAAACATCGTTGTTCCCTCCCTCCCTCCCTCCCTCCCCCCCTCCTCAGAAACTACGTTCGTGGGGCGTGGACCACATGCTGCTTGTGCTGTCACGTACACAGACGCAGCCCTTCACAGCAGTCAAAGCACCCGAGAGAAACGTGGTGGTGCACATTACTCCAACTACACTAACTATCCCCAGAGACAAACACAACCCTCACAGAGACGGCCAGCTTCGTGTCAAGTCGGCCAGCTCCGTGTTGCTCGAGACGACAAGCACACACCGCGCGCACCTCAAGCCTCCAGCCGAACCCGCGCGATGCAGCCACCGGCCACCTGCCCACCCGCCCACACAATCCACTCGCTCACTGCTGCTCCCACCCATGACGCGCCTCCATCGACGTCGGAAAATTCCATCACCCCAGCATACTGCAAAACCATCCGTTGTCTGTCTTTTCTTTTTTTTTTGGTGGATGGGTTGTTTATCTTGATCGTTCTTTCTTCCACCGGTACACCGCGGGTCTGCCGTCCTTGGCCTCCTGCACCTTCCGTTTCGTGCCCTTCGAGTTCATCACCTTGCGCTGCGCCTCGAGGTGCACCTCTGCCTTTTTCATTTTCTCCGCCTGCGCAATCAAAGCCAGCAGGTGTGCGTGACACGCACACGCATAAATAAATGTGTATATCAGGAATTTGCGAAGAACAGGGGTCGACGCGCGGACACGCACACGATAGGGGGGGGGGGGGGGGGCACATAGTAGAAATAGAATCGAGTCGGATCCCCCGTCACCCATTCCACTATTTAGCCGTACCGACGAGGTCCGCGGTCGTACGCTACGCCTTGAGGCAAGGGGTATCCCCGGAGGTCTGTACCTTGTTACACTCCTAGGGAAACGGCTCACCATATCACGAAGGTAGGCTGACCACAAAAAATTATCAATAACGTAGAAACACGGTCGTACAGCAGCGCAATTGCGTACAGTACAACTGCGTGCGGTAGTAGGCAAGTAAGAAAGGTGCCGCGCTCAAGCTCGAGAGGGTTCGCGCGGAGCGGTGCATCGCGCGACCCGTGGCGGGCACAGCACTCGCTCTGCGCCGCACAAGCTTCAACGGTTATGCGGAGGCGGAGCAATTCTAGTGATTGATTGATGACAGCAGGGTTTAGTCGGCCACCCACCCTTTCCAACCGCTGCATGAGCTCGCTGTACGACGCGTCTCGCTTCTTCAGCACTTTCTTGAGCTGTCTCCTGTTCGTCGCTCCGGTAACCTGCAGAGCACAACAGACGGAGACGGAGGGACGGCGAGGCGGTGGGGGAGGGGGAGGTAAATCGGGAGGCTTGTACCTTAGTGCTGCAAGACCAAATGGATTACGAAGAGACACGGGGAAGACGAAACTCAAGCTAGGGATGACGAGAGAACGCAATCGCAAGAAAAATAGATCAGGCTGAGTGTGATGGACTATTTATCCTCATGACAAAGTGAGAGAGATGCGCACAAAAAACGAACGTGATCTCCAAGAATCGTGAGGGAGAGCCTACCGGCGCATTGTAGCTCCACAATAATTTCCTTGACTCGTGCAAATATTTTTGAGAGTTCGCTCAAGGTCAAAAAGATCGAAAGAGAAAAACGCTGAAATTTCTGGCAACAAGATGACACGTAGCGGACAAGACAACAAGGACAGGGGAAACATGATTTGAACCTCTCGTTCTTCCGAGACACTAAACACCAGATCCCCGCGCAAGATAGCACCCCTTCCACTCAACACTACCAGGTACCTCGCTACCGTAAGACGAGCACAAGCGCTGTAAGATAAAGCTCGTTCGGTCTAGGATTTTGATAGTGGTTGGCATGCTGTTCAAAGTGTCGTGGACCAATCTTCATTTTCAAGTTATCACCTGTGCCTTCTCGAGCGTATCCTTTCGAGGCCGGTTGAACGCCCTGTCCGCCAGCTCCGGCACCGTGTCGAAGTGCTTCGCAACGTCAAACCTTTTTTCATCGGTGGGGCGAGATTGACGACGAGATCGACAGACGGGAGGATGAAAAACCACAAAGCCGAGCAGCGAAACCGTGGTCGCGTACGTTTTACCCTTTCGCAGTACACATGAAAGAGCAAAGATACGGACAAAGGTGACAAACTCTTCTTTGCTCGGATTCTCCCCCAACAACCAGAGCAACGAGTCGAGAACATCAGACGGGGAGGTCTTACACTCTTCGATGACCAATCAAAAGCTTCCACACGAACAAGGTATGACTGTAAATCAATCACGGGGTGGGGCACATTCGCCTGGTCACCCGCAGCAAGCAACCCTGTCATCGCACACGCGTTCGTTCATCCCCCTTCACGCAGGCTCTTCTCTCGGTCTCTCTCTCTCTCACACACACATACTCTCTCTCACTCCCTCTCTATGTCTGTGTCTCTGTCTCTGTCTCGCACTCACTCTTTTGCCTCCTTCTCCGAGTCAAAGAATATGGTGTGCTTGTTGCGGGGCCCCGCCTCAAGCATGTGCAGGGACTCCCGGAGCTTTGCCGCTTTTCGTTCGTCGGCCGATCGGTGCGTCGACACGTACCCCAGGTCCTGTGTCTTGAGCAGCTGTTAATGCGTGTGTTGTTGTCGGGGAGCAGAAAGGGGTGCGTTAGGAGTACCGACAAACGGGGAACAGAGGGGAAATCGTCGCAAACAGGGAGGAAACGACACGGCAGGGAGAGAGGTCAGAACGCGGTAGAGCTGGAAGAAAACGACTCGTCTGTATTCTGAACAAGAGAAAAAACGAGCGTCTTCACATAAAAACAGTAGAACTCAGCGGCCTTTCACATTGTTTCGGTGTCTGCCCCGACCTTTTTGCGATGCCACACAACATACAGATGAGTCCGTCTCTGCTACACGACCCAGCCCACCTCACCCCCCGCTGTTGCCCCTTTCTACAATCCTCTCCCACCCCCCACCCATCCCAAGCCTCCTCGCATTCGCTTGCACCAACCACCTCTGCGCACCTGAACAACGTCGTGCGGCAGAGTCTCGGCGCCGTCGAGCACGTGAACGCCCCCCTCGGTCTTCTTTCGGTGCATCGCGAAGTAGAACTCGTCGGGGTTCTTCATGGCCGCCTTGAGCTTGAGGGCCTGCATGCGATCCCGCTTCTTGCCATAGTTGCGAGCTCGGAGGACTGAGGAGGACGGACGGAAGGCAGGCGGAGATAGATGGTTGGTGGTAAGCGAAAGGGCGTGCTTTGCGGCAGGCGAGGCAGTCGACTGTCATGACGGCGGTGTTTGTTGTGATGTTGTTGTGATCATCGTCCGCAGCGAACGAGGAGGTTGCGATATCCTCGTGTTGCCCTCGTCACCGAGATATCCTTTCGTCGTTGTCTTGTGGTTGGAAGGAAAGACGGCAGTCCTGACGCTAGCCCAGACTTGAAAAAAAACACGACTCTCGATCTCTTAAGCGCTAACGCACACGGAGGGGGCACGGCTTTATGAGAGAAAAACAAAGTCAGGACTAGTTATAGCGACAGGCACCGGTGCAATGCCGACCTCGGTCGGTCATGGGTTCAGTCCAGGTGTACACAATTGTCGACACTGCAGCAGTAGTAGTAGCTCTGCCGTCAGGGTTCAGAAATATAGGAGCTGAGCGCATGGCGCAAGCATAAGCCAAATGACACCAACATGTTGTACTCCGTAAGTTACAATGGTACACGATGAGTGCTTGTGGAGACGAGGGCCGCTGGCCGCTGGTGGGTAGCAATGCGGTGCAACTACAAACCAGACCGCCGGACCGCCGGCCTTGTGTCCTTCGGACTTGCGCGGGAAACATGCGTCTGAATCGAATCGTAATACACAATACACCACTTTGACAACAGCGTCCGTTTCGCGCAAGTGCCTGGCGAGAGGAGTGTGCCCATTCAACGATTCGGCTGGTTATTGCAGCAGCTGCAGCATTGAGGCACACTCTTATGCCCTGCTTTACTGGTGGGTCTTCGCCCAGATTGCTGAGCTCTCTCTCTCACCATAGTCCTTGTGTTTCTCCAGCAACCCGAGTTTTCTCCGCGAGGCTGGCTGAGCCCGCTCTTTGTGCTCCACGCGCTTGACGGCATTGCGAAGAGATGACATGGTTGTGTTGATGTTGGCGCAGCAGTTTTGTGATACGAGGTACGGAGGGTGCCGGGTGCGGTGTGGTCAACACGCGCTCCGCTGACAGGAGTGAACCATAACGTTGTTTCTCGCGAACCAGGGGATGGGGTTTAGATGTCCCCTGGTGAGGAAGGACTACTGCTGTAGGGCTCCTCACTCCACACCAAGTAGGCCAGAGGAGAGAGGGAGAGAGAGAGAGAGCACGGCGGAGAGGAGAGCCGTGCACATCGTGCTGCTGCTATTGTCGAGTTAGGCGACTCTATCAGTGAAAGGAATAAACGGCTTGCAACGATAATAACCTGCAGCAGCCGCAGCCGCTTGACACATGGCAACTTGCCGTAGGGGAGCGTGCGGCAGGCGGAGCAGTCAGCAGCGACAGCATCAGCGGCGGAGGCTTCGACCTCACGGGCTGTGGCGCGGTATGGTGATGGCGAATGTAGCGGCATCGTTAACGGCAGTCGCGGTTCTTTTGGCTGATCCTGCAGCTGGAAAGGTGAGGTATAAGTTTCTGCTGGTCGAGCTTGCACGACATGATCATGCTGCGTCCTGTAGTGCCCGATACAGACGTACACACACGCTGGTTCACCTGCCGGCAGCAAGATCTAAGGGAGAACTTAACGTTTTATCTTCTTGATCGATTGATACCTTTTTCACGCCCTGGGTCGATATCCTCACGTTCCTGTGTACTGCTACTGACAAGTGTATGCCTGGATTGCTGGAGAAGGCGAAGCACGAAAGCTATCTTTGTCAACTCCTAACGTCTCAGACGATGGTTGTCTACGCCGACGAAGTCGGTTTTGCATTCGTGTCGTGATAGCAGCTCATTATCGACAACTTTCTCTTCGGCGAATTGTTAAAAGTTGACAACAGCAGCAGCAGCAGCAGCAGCAGTGAACCCCGGTTCCTTCAAGTGTACATGAAAGCAGGGCGAAAAGGGGGGCAGCGAGGAGATTATGTAGTCCGGATAAGTGGGAATCCCGTTCATGTGCTGCCTGTGTTCACGGCGGACCCGTTCACGCACGGACATGCATGATGGCTGCAGGCGCAACGACCTTCTCCATCGCTGTCGTGCAGGCGTACAGAACTTCGACGTATGTCTCATGCAACAGCTGTGAGCTGCTTTGGTAGTGGCATCAGTATCCACCCCCTATGGACGGAATACGCGACCGCTCCCCGACAACACGAGTACTGTGCTGCATTACTTGACGGCGGCAGACAATCACCGCACTCTTACCGTGCTAGCCCTGAAAGACGAGCACACATGTAGGATACACTAGTGGATAATCCCGGGCAGACCTGGCTGCATGGCGGAACGAACAATCGAGCAAGCAAGCCGGTCGCGCCCATCGACGGACGAGATCGTTTGCCGGAAGCCAGAGCACGCTAGAGCTTTCACATACGGTGCAGCACTGAATTACATCTTCCTGAGAAACCCTTCCTCCGAGTAAGGGTCTCTGAAGGGTGAACAGTAGTGAATAGCCGTTCACCAGCGAAGGTATTTCGCTCTTATTTCAATGTGGCGAGGAATTGCCATGCGTGGCCGACTTTGGTCGGCTGTGCTGTAGGTCGAAAGTGAGAGTGAGCCTCACGGGCACGCTTTCATCCTCTGGCTGGTCACAGCAGGCGGAGGATATTTACTTTGTAAACATTTTCAGATCCCGAGAACATCGTTCGTAAGGTTTGGGATTCCTACGTCACTACCACTAGGAAGATACCTATATCCTGGTTTCCACATTCCCCCCCAACACAAAGAAGCATCAGCCTGTCTCCATGTGAATCAATCAACCTCGTACTTTCAACGTGTTGCGCAGGGCGCGGGCGGCATTACCGCGGCTCAGCTCGGCAAATCGGCGGCAGGGATGGCCGGCCCGTCGCCGCTCAAGACCCTCGAAGAGGGACTTCCGAGGGCGGTGGCCTTGGCCCAGCTTGAGCAGGCGAGACGCACTGGGGTTTGTAGCACCCATGGCGTGTCTACATTGGGTGTGGAGGGTGGTTGCATGCGGTGATGATGCGCACGGCGAGGGACGGGGAGGGTGAATGGTACCCTCAGACAAAGTGCCGTTCGACAGCGTTAGCACGCCGAGGGTTCGTGCTATTGACGTTAAGGATTATTTTCCGTCTCTGGTGTACCGTTGAACGGAGCGTGAATATGTGCTGTGCAAAAAGAATACCGTTCTCAACACGCATCACGGTGTGTGTGTGTGTCGGGGGGGGACGCGCCCTTTTCGCAGGAGATTGAGGACCTGAACGTGATGCACAAGTTTGACCGGCGGTTAGAGCGTCTTGCGATGGTGATGCCGCTGACGGACCAGTTCGACCCCGGAGTGACCCACTTCGCGCACGAGCACCTGCAGGTTCGACTTGTTTTTGGTTTTGGTTCACTTGACATACCCTGGTTAGCCTGTTTGTTTGATTCGCTTCGTCGCGTCGAAGAAAGGAAGCCCTGCACACGCGGGGTATATGCATACCGTATATGACACAAGATAACACACCCCCTGGACCGATTTTCAAAGCTCGATTACTCCACGACGAAGAGGATGCATAAATGAAACAATACGTTTTCGAACAGCTCTCGACGAGACGGTTCCAACGCCGCCGTTTTCGGCGCTGTGACTCTTCCTGCTGTTGAGAAATCGAGCTTTGAAAATCGGCCAAGGGGGTGTGTTATCTTGTGTCATATACGGTATGTCGAACAACGATGGCGTGGTTGGTCGACTGCCCGGAGCTGGCTGTCGTGTACACGGGGGACAGAAGCGCGAAAACAGAATGTGGCTGCGGCGGTAGCATGTGTGTGCGAGTCTCGAGGAGCGCCTATCGCCTTATCTTCCGTTTTTTCTGGGGGGCTGGGCAGTCCTCTCTTACACCGACACGTTACCGAGCAGAGAAAGAAACCCGCATCTCTTCTTTGTCGGACATGACGCGAATTCCTCTGTGATCGACTGGCCGCACCAGGCTTCGTCGTTGTCATCCTACCCTCGCCATTTTGGAACTGGCGCATCGCAACTTGGACGGCCATTCTTGTATTGGTGGCGTAGGTTGCATCGCTCTGCTCCCACCGTGCACAGCCCATACTGTAGAAGTGGTGTAGATGGTTTTGACGCCGCTTCCACCAAAGGATTTATTTTGTCGATACTATTTACTTACTGCTTCACTATGTATTTTGTTGGCCTTCATGGTTGATAGCAAAGTGGTACTATGGGTTACGTCCCATCCGGACTACACCCCATCCGGATTACCTCCCATCGTTATAACGCCGACGAAGCGTTCGGGGTATAGACGCAGGCACCACAAAGACAGCCGGCAATAAGAGGGCCAAGAAAGAATCTCGACGATACCTCGTCGTAAACAGGTGACTGACTGCCGCTGTTGTCTTTCGCGACACATATTCGATGACGGTTACTGCTGTACGACGGCGCCGGTTTGCCCCCGGCCGGGGTTTGCGCAGGAGGGGGACAAGATCTCTATGCCGGCGTCTATCCTGTCGGAGCTGATGCGCAAGCAGGCAGAGATCCCGTGGCAGTTCGAGCTCAAGCTCGTCCGGCGGAAGGGGCCCGGGAAATTCGAACCGGTCGACGTACCGGCGCCTCCGAGAGCGGTGCGTTTCTGTTGCCGATCGATGGATGGATCACCCGTAGCGGTTTTCCGTTTCGGAAACACCTACGGATGTCGGAGTCCCGAGGAGACGCGTTGGATTTCTCTCCCAAGATACCCGCACGCGTGTGCTTAGTCGGGAGGTCTTGAAGGTCACAGCAGTATCGAAACATGGCGTAAATATTCCGATGTTGTAGGTGTTTGCAGAGACGCGCTTTTTTGCGGAATTAGGACCAACCATTTTCCGCCTTCTGGCACTAGCGTCGTCCTGTTTTGCGGTGTGCTTTGAACAGCGACAACCTCAAGTCTGTTCCCTGTGTCCAGTGTGTGGTTGGCATTTCTGTCTTGACTGAAACGAATACCTGAAAAAGAGAAGAACGCGCCCCCTTACTCTGACCTGTCTACCTTCGTTGTCTTTTATATCCCTGTGTGTGGCAGGCGCTAACGGGCAGGGCGGAGATGCCCCAGCTGTCGGCCGTCGCGTGCAGCATCCTGGATGCGCGGTCCCCGGAGCAGTTCGTGTTCATGCCCGACTGGATGATGAAGGCGCTGCGCTTGCGACCCAGGTTTGTGGCCCGTCGCCTTTGTTCACTTTCTTTCCGTTTCTCCGATAATGAAGGTTTACAGAACGGCATATAAATATCAGTTAACGAAAGAAGTTTCAGACTCCAAGCAGCTAGAGAGGACACCGGTAGGCAGGTAGGGAAGCACGCGCCTGGCTGTTCGCATCTGTGTAGCGGCAGTACATCACGAGTACGAACGTGTGGCTAGCTTTTTGCGCAAACGGTGTTTTCATCGTGGAGCAAAACTGATCAATAGATGTTGGGCTCATGTTGAGACTACTACAATACAGTAGGTGTAAGGACGTCAGTCGCTATGTGCGGAGAGGCCTTGTCTCACGTTGACGCAAGCAGCAGCTGCCATGGGCGTCGATTCGATCGAGGTTTCCCCCGGGAACATGGTGGCCACCCGCACCGGCGCATGGGTTGTATTATTTTCTTCATTCAACTGATAGAAACGGTTATCTGCGAGGGAAAACTATTAGATGTGTTCTCCATCAGACCCTCGCGGTGCCGTGGATCGGATAGTCAGACAACCAATGCCTCTGCTTGTTGTGTGGCGGCACTGGTGTCGCGCAAGTTAGCTTCCCAGATGTGAATGAACACCCAGATGTGACAGCAGTACTACAGCGCAGATCTTCGAAAATGAAAGCCGCGATTGCCGACCCCCCCCTTGAAACCCCCTTCTCCTCAATGAATTTGGCGCAGAAAAAAAAGAAACTCTCTCGTGTCCGAGCCCATTTGTAATGCTTTTCTTCTCTTCCCTTTGCGCTTTTGCATCAACGTTGTTGTCTCGCGTACACCGACGCCCTCCGCTCGCCGCTTACCCTACCCGCCCGCCCGCCCGCCCCGCCTGCCCGCCCGCCCGCCGCGCGTTTGGAAACAGGGACATCGTGTTGTACCGGCATAAGGACCTCACCAAGGCCAGCAAGATCGTGCTGCAGCCACACTCCAGCGCGTTCCTCAAGATGTCCAACCACCAGGCGGTGATGGAGACAGAGCTACGCCACTACTCGGCTATCACCCGCGGTAAGAGCTCTCGCGGGGGGGGGTCGTGCTTGTCTTGCCTGTGCGCTGGCTCCTAAGTCATCACTCTCTCGGAATTTGCTGCTGTTGTCTTGCGGTTGCTGGTGCGTGCATGCACGCCCGCCACACTACAGCAATGCCCTCGTAGTGGACATTAGTTGTAGTGTAGTTCATTTTCGCTCCGTTTTTCTGATTCTCGGCTGGCTTCCTTTGATCGCAGCATGCCATGGCAAAATCATACCCAAAGGTTTTTCTGTGTCGACGGCAGCAACCTGTCATGACCCGCTCCCGCGAGCTAGGACGTCGAATGTTGCGGGATCTTAGTAAGTTCTTGGTGCCACAGACGCATACACACAGTAATATACACTAGAGCATATCTTTTTGAATGGGTCCAAGTATCGCCGCCGAGGCTGTCTGCCGCACGCTGCGGGTTCCAAGGGTGGATGTTTGGGGTCCCTTTGCGTCTTTGAAGGCGCGCCCTCACCCTGTTACAAGTATTTGGCTGTGCTTGTCATGATAGCTCGAGCACGCTTTGAGATCTTCGCTACATCTCAAAGAAACCGAACGGGCCTGCCCCGGTTGCCTTGTAAGCCATCACATCATGATACTATACGGCCTAACGGAGCTGAGGGTACTGCTGTTGCATAAAGAGCATGTTAAATTTTCTTGCGTGTGCATCGACCACAGCTGCAAAAACATGCCCAAAGCCGCCGCCGTCCGTCCCAAACCGCACTCATCCCTGTTCGCTCACAACGCCAGCCGCCTTTTCTTTCCCCGAAGTCTTGTTCGTGTCTCGTGACAGCAGCAGCAACAGGCTTGTTTCGACAGTCCCGGAAAACAATACTGTCGCTGTTGCCCTCTTACACGCGGGCAGATAGCCGTTCCCTACCTAACCCCGTCGTCGCCGCGGTGCCAAAACCGAACACGAAAAAGGCACGACGGTGGCGTTCCGGTACCGGAAGACGCTGTACAAGTTTAACGTGCTGGAGTGCATCGACGCCGATGGAAAGTCCCAGGAGGCGGTGTGCGTGCAGGTGCGAAATGTGCCCTGTGATCGGACGCTTCGGCAGCTTTGGCGGAGTACGGCAGTGATTCATGTGCTAATTTGAAGTATATAGGATCGCGGGGGGGGTTGGTAGTGTTGGTAGTCGGTATCGGAGGGTTGAGGTCGTACTTGTGGTGCCCCCATGCCGATGGGAGGCCGCGGAGAGTGGCGCGCATGAAGACCGGGGCTCGGAGGGTTCGCTGGCCGAAGGAAGAGAATGCCACGTTGTTTCTTGTCCCGTTTGAGGACCCTGTGTCCTGGCCTGAGGTGACACTTGGGGGTTAGTATACCACGGTTTTTTCGTGGTTCGAGAATGGGCAGGAGTTTCATAAGGGTCGTTGTGTATGTATACCGCCGAAACGATGCGTTGTGCACACAACCGATACTGTTTAGGTAGTGGCAGAGGCAGGCGCACGGCAGCACGTGGTACTGCTGTAGTCTACGCTTCTTTTTTTTTCAAGTGTTGGTCAAGTCTGGAACGAAGAGCACCCCGGCAGCACAGAATTATGGCAATGTTTCGTGAGAAACCTCGTGTCCCCAGTCCCCCCTCCCTGCTGCCGTTCTAGTATGCACCTCTCAAAAGCAAGCTACCCCTCCCCCCACCCCTTCTTCTTTGGGCGTGTGCCCTAACGCTAATAGGACTCGGATGTGGCAACAGACTTCCAGGCGGCACTCGATACTCCGGCCGGGAGACGGAAACCAGGAGCGAAGGCGAAATCTCCGGATGAGGGGTCTTCGAAGAAGAAATCGCGGGAACCTCTAGAGGAAGAAGAAGAGGAGGGGGATTACGAGAGCGAGAGCGAAGAGGAGGAGGAGGGGGGCTGGGGAAGCGATGAGTTCTGATCGGATTTTTGGAGTCCCCGAGTTGGTTGTTGAGCCCGTGTCATGGGTTGCGGTTGTCGGGATCTCTTTTGCATTGATTGTACCGAGGTTGTGTTGGTGTGTGTTGCTTGCTGCATGCGAGTGGTGTGGTCCATTTTTGCGATTGTTTCTCCGGTCATTTAGTTTTCTTCGGTGGCGATAGCGTGTGTTGCTTTCGCATGCCCCTGAACATTGATGTCCAACCGTCGTGCCGGATATTATTGTAGAATACAAGTGCTCTCTCTGGAATGGGCTGACGAAAGAACAATGCCAGCAAGGGGTGACGCAGGATGAAAGTAAAGGCAGGCAGCAGGCAGCTGCAAGCTGTGAAGTTTCCCAAGCTCCAACATCTCACACTGTTGACGTGTTTTTGACTCGAAGAGCCCAGCGAACTCACTAGAGCCAAAAAGAAATTTAGCAAATCTGTGTACAGTCGTACATCTGGAGGCTGGAGGAGGCCGGCCAACAGAACCTAGCATCGCTGCTAGAACCCGACGGCGATCGGGCTCGACGGACTACATGTAGACAAACACGATCAGCCATGTGCGCAGGAGTATCACGAGATGAGCTACAAGTCGTGTGTCCTCTTTTCAAACGGTCAACATCTTCAAAAGTATCAAAATAGTCAGCATTCCCCCTTTTTGAAATGAGTCACTCAAAACACCGTGCGCACATGTGTACAATCCGCTGCCGTGGGAAGCTGCAGACAGTCCAACGCTGAAGCGAGGGCCGCGTGCCTTCTACTCCATAGTGGTTTGCACGGCAAAGACACCTCCAGAAAACGCGCGGCCACGCCCTTCCAATCAACCAATGCCATCCCCGATGTGGTCTACGACTCACCCCTATCTACACAAGCAGCTCAGCTGGGTTTTTTTCTGGTCCGCTGCCGCCGGTTTCTTCACCCCTATCAGCAGCACGCACCCTCCTAAACGTGAGCGACACCCGTAGCTTTCGTCTGAGGATGGTTCCCTCCGGTGCCCCCGCAGCCGCTCCGTTAATAACAGGCGCGCCGCCGCCGACCCCCCCACCACCGCGCTTGCCAACATCACCGCTGCTGCCACCGCAACCAACTGTCTCTTCCCGGACTGCGTCTATGCTGTGCAGCAGCCGAGAGTAGGCGTCGTCGGCGAAGACCACCAACGACAGCGCCCTCAGCACCAGGGACGCCTGAGGCCGCGTTTCCACCCCGGGCCTGCCGATGCGGCTGGTTTCTATGCGAGGGGAGAAGTGCATCACGGCGTCGCTTCCCAGGCTGAGCGTGGCCGTGCGCGGCTCGTAGAACGGCCCGTCCGTGTGGGCCATGATCCCCTGGCCTGGTTGATACTCTGGAGAGGAGAATATGTTCGGAGGGAGTGGTGTTTTAGGTACGTAGCCAAGAGTGCGCGCGGTGGAGAGTGGAGGGCAGGGGGCGGGGGGGGGGGTGCAAGGGGAGCACGGTCCTGCAGGCATCAATGCTGTTTGTAGTGATGGTGTCTTCACATCCGTACCGTTCCGATTTCTGCTCCATACCCTATTAACGTCTGCACTGGTCCAACTGAATCGGTCGCAGGCGATCAACCCCCGACGTAGCACAGCAACTCACATAAGAGCACACTTCTTCGAACTGAAAACGACTTGACACACGTGAAGCTGTGTAGGTGTTGAGAATCCGAAGTCGCTCCGGGCGAATCTACCGCCTATGTACTTTCGCTTCTCATTGCCAAATCAGCGCTACCTCCTCCCTTATCTCCTAGAGCTCCGCCTAGCGACCCCCACCTCCTCTCCTCCTCACCATTGAGCAGGACGTGATTCGGTCGCGTCTCCTCGGAGAAAACTCCCCGAACCACCAGCGACTCGCAGAGCGCATCTACCCAGGGTGGCAGAGGCTCGGGACGAAAGCTTTCCCCCGGCTGCCCTCCCCAGCACTTGAGCCGCCGTGACCTCAGCGTGACCCACTCGTTACTGCTCGCTTGGGCGTGTATCCTCTCCAACAGTTGTTGCTCATCTGCCCCCGAGATGAAGTCGGGAACGTAGAATATGCTCGGAGTGTTGCCTACTCGCATCTGCGCATCATGCGCACGGCTCGGCGTAAGTGGTTTGGCCATGTGAGCGATTACTTTTCGTAGGATTCCATCTACGAGAATGCGGAGAACTTCCCTAACGAGCCTGCTGTTGTAGACTGGTTTCTGGTGGACAACGCGGCAAGCAGATGTTGTGGGGTCACGGATATTGGCTGGATACATGTCTGCCGAACGGATTGTGTCCCACAGATTGCGGAGACTGCTAAAAAATAGGAGGTGGGGGGCATCGTGATGATCCACGGGGGTCCTGCTTGTATGATGTGCTGCCTTAGCAGCACTCCGTCCTCTGGCATGGACCTTTGTCTCCCTCTCATGAAGTCAAAACACTACGGAAACAAGTCGCATTTGATAAATACGCGGAAAAAAAGCTGCAAACAGTAAATATGTCTCCGTTCTTTTGTAAGCCGCCCGAAAAAATAAAATCGAAAACTTCCATCCAGAGCAACACAGAGGTGTAGACCAGTAGCCGTGCACGTGTAACTGGGACCTTGGGAAAACTGGAGATATACGGTTTCAACACGTGTACAGCAGTGCTGCGAGCATGAATGAGTCAGTTGTCGCGCTGAGGCTACTTGATTGTATACGCCGCGGTTTTAGGTGCGATGCCACATGGTCTCGCAGGCGAAGAAGACGCCTCGTCCGCAACCGCGTTGATCCCCAATGTGGACAGACTCACACGGAGGTCCAGCATCCGGCAGGTGTCATCAATCCTTGCTAATACTGCTGCTGCAAACCTCAACACGTCCCGCTGGAGATCTTCTCAGAAACATGTCCCACTAAAAATCTTCTCTCAGCAAATACGTACCATTAACAAAAACTACCCCGCTCGCGGCAGTACCCATTCGAAGGGATGTACTGAGATCTTTACAGAGATGATTTAGGAGCACTTGTTGGTGATGCACGTACAGCCGTAATTATCTTTACGCTGAGTATCAGTGATGCCAGCAGGTCACAGCACGTCCTTGCCGTAGGTGACACAAGATACCACACCCCCTGGACCGAGTTTCAAAGCTCGGTTACTCTAGAACGATACGTTTTCGGGAATCTCTGGACTAGACGGTTCCAACGCAACCATGTTCAACACCGCACTCGTTCTGCTGTGGGGTAATCAAGCTTTGATTTCGGTACAGGGGGCGTGCTATATTACGTCACCTACGGAAACCCTGTTGCTCTGTAGGTAACTAATGTTGGATCATTCGCAAGCTTGGGGCACATAACACAACCACGAGCACCTTTTCCATGTCAAGTGACGGCCGCCCTGCAAGCTTCACGAGGAGCGGTGACGGCTCCTTTGTGCCCACAACCTTGCTCTCCTCATCTCGCCGCCTAGCGCTCAACCTACTGCTACTGCTGCTTGTGGGGCCCGGTTCTTCCTCTTGTTGCACCGCTGTTGTGCGGGTGCTCTGGGCGAGCTGGACTCGTTGGAGCGCCTTCTCCTGCTTGAGGAGGCTTTGGAAATCGAGGCTTGTCATGATGACCCCGTCTATCTACGCTTGTTGCATACGAGTTGTGTGCTCTGTACAGTGGAACGAGAGCTGAGAGCTGAGAGCTGAGAGCTGGAGAGCTGCAAGACCATATGCGGCGCAACTGACTGTGCTCTTTTTTATTTTGTGTTGTAGAGCGCGGGGTGCTACGGATTCTTGAGCAACCCTTCAGCCTTCAGCGGGATGTGTTGGGTCCGTGCATGGCAATTTATTGACGCCAGGCGGAGGCTACACTTAAATTGTCTGTCTGTCTATGCCTCCGGTCGGAATGCAGGCAAAAACTTGGCAAGAATCTTCCATTTCGGCCACCGAGGTTTTGGTGTAACGGCTGTGTGCCTATTTTTATCTTATCTGGGTGGTGCGTCGTCGATACGGTTCTTTTATTCTTACTCCTCTGGTGAAACAGCTCTTTGTTCCTGGCAAGCCCTCTCTCCCCCACCCGCACACATTCACCACTCCCCTCCCTCCCCCCTTCTCGATCTACACCTCAAAGATTGCCGAACACCTCCTCCCCGGCGCGGATGCGCCCGGGGGGGGATACCGTAAACTACGGAGTTTTCCCCCCGGGGAGGGGATCGTTTTTTTTTCTGAAACCAACCCCCCCGGGGGGGAATTGACGTACCGGGGGGGATTAGTTTTTTCTTGTTCCAACGCTACATGTATCCCGGGGGGTTGTGCAAAACAATTATGGTTCACACACCACACAACACACAGAGAGTGGCAAAACTGAGATGGATAAGGTTTTTGTTGGGTCGCAAGAAGAGAGGTACCATTGCCATCGCTCATGCAAAAGAATTCGCAGTTTGTCCGCAGGAATAAGCTATATTTTTATGGTTCGGTTCTACCTTGAGTTGTGAAATCCAAAAATGAATAAGATTATTTGTTCCCTTTATGCGCAAGGTTTCGTCGGCATGCTGCTGTCTGTGGTACGTACGTTTCAGCTGACTCCAGGGATGATAAAAAAATTCAAGAAATAGACAGGAAAACGAGAGCATTTCACCCACAAAACAACTGCGAGGAGGGCCAAGTGACAAACGGTACACCTGAACCTCGCTCGAAGCGCAGATCTGCAAATGAATTTTCCGTCCCACATCATGCTGTTTGTGCTCGGCGATGCAACAAAATCGACTCAGAAAACAAGGGAAATACATCCCCCCTGGCTGGGTGGAACTAGTGGGAAACTGGTACCCCGGGGGATATTGAAATACCGGGGGGATTTTTTTTTTGGTCGAAAACGATCTACCCCGGGGCTAATCAACGAAACCATGCTTCCAGGCCGAAAAGGTAATGGGGGGGGGGGGGGATCTGTACTAGGGGGGGGAAACTCCGTAGTTTACGGTACGTCGGCGGAGAGAAATGTTCGTTCCTCGTCGCGATCGTCGCGGCGAGGGTGGGTATGACGACCCCTGGCTCCATCGTGACCAGATGTGAGTCTTTCCTCTGTCGAAATTGCCAAGCCGTGAAGTGAACACCCTGCATCAGCTCAGCGCTACAGAACTACTCGTGGACCAAACGTACAAGCAAGGCGGTCGTGTTCAAGACTCCTTCAGCAATGTAACCAGGCGACAACCGCTTCGTTTCCTACTGCTCGTCGTGAAGGTGTTCAGATTTCCTCCGTTCATGTCCGTGGTATCTACATCCAGGCGGGCTGGCTCATGCAGCCGTCCATCCCACGGGTACTGCCGGCATCGATCCTGAGCACGAGGAGGTGAGAGGAGACAAGAGGCCGTCCCCGGTGGTGCAAATCAGACGACGATATCTTGTCGTCCGTCACCGCCGATGTCACGGAGGTAGAGGTCCGACCAACTCCTGAGTCTCCTCACTTGATAACTAGGTTACACTCCTAAGCCCCCTCAGTTAATAACTAGACTTGTGTGTGCACGTGCGTTGGGGCTCCTTTTTTCTTAACAAAATTCGACACGCTCTTCTTATGCCCCATTTCTCATCGCTCCAGGGTCAGACTTCATCCAGGTTACTTTCGTCGTACATCCAGGCCTGGTTCCTGCAGCCGTCCGTGCCACGGGTAGCACCGGCATCGATCCAGTGCTCCGGGCATGAAGACGAGACAACTCGTCGCCCGGTGGTGCACACCAGACGATATTTTGTCGTATATCACCGTGACCGGGTCGTTGAAGGCGGAGGTCCGACCAGCTCGTAAGGGTGCTGCAGGTGAGTCTCTCCTCGGTGGATCTCTAACGGGAAATTCTTGATCGTCGCCGGACAGTGCATACGTCAAAGTATTACTGTACGGTTCAGGGACCCAAGCCGGAACGAGACTTGCTAGTCTGATCGGCCCTCAAGAACGAACGGCAGATACATTCTCCCAGCAAACATCACGAGATCCCGCAATCGTCCATGGTAACGCACGTCACGTGTTATCACGATCCTACTCGGTGCCCTCACCATCACCCCATACCCCCACGCCTTCCCGTGCTCGATTCCATTCAGACGAAACTGTCGCCGCACACCGAAACGAGACCAACTCGGTGACGGCCGAAACAGAGGTGTTCGTCCAAAATGAAGACGTCCATCATCGCCTCAAAGCTCGGGCGAAACGATCATAAATACACTTCCATGTGGTGGCATCGAAGGCCTACGCGCTCCGCCGGCGTGAGGCGATGTGCCGTCGTAGCATGTACAAGGGGCGAGGTTGTCCTGAATTTTCTGACTGTCGGTGGTGTGTCTTGTGTGTGGATGTCATGGGCTAGCTGGTGTTCCGCGTTTGTGCGAAATGCAGGGACGTCGTTGGGAGTCGGTCACACGAGTATGGAGGAGTTCCATCGTTGTACTCGCGACGGGGGTTTGAATGTTCTACCTGCTAAGGTGCCGCTGGTCAATGCCTTTGCAATACCACCATCATGTTGTTCCTTGGCGTCTCGCGTGTTTGTAGCGCGCGAGGAAGTCGGCGTTTTGTCGCTTCGTGTTGCAAGGCAGTATTGAGGCCGGAGTATGGGATCTGGGTTTCTCAGCCTCTTGCGGTTTAGCCCGGGAGAAAAACAAAAAAAAGGCACCGGGTGTTCACGCGCTCCGTCGGGGTAGTAGGCGATTTGCCGTTGTAGCATGTAAAAGGGGCGATGCTGTGCTGTGTTTTCTGACTGGCGATGTTTCTGTTATTGAGTTGGCAACGGGGGTAGTTCGCCTTGGTAATGATTGGTGGTGTCTTTCATGATTGAGGTGGATGCATAATTTCTGACGAGCACAGTGAAAATACGACGGAAACAATCACAAGCAAGCTTCAGTGGATTTTAAGGCTGATTCTCGGTCACCTTGTATCCTTCGCATATTTGATCAACACGAATGTTACGTTATCCTCACGCACACCTTTGGCTTGGACTCAGATTGTTTTGTCCCCGCGAACGAAAACCGCTGTCTGTGTCTCGGTTGACTGATGGTAGTTCCCGAGCTCTTTACCAACCTTCCAAGAACGGGTTGTCGGCCAGAAAACACCCAGAAAGTGCGGATGGTCCCCATAAGCGCTTTTTTCTTTGCCTGGGGATGGGTGCGCCCTATTCCCCGCCCCTACGCACAGAAACACTCCGACCGAGCAAGAACCCACCCGTCCCTCCTCGCCGCCACAGCCACGCGCACACAGTGTCTCATGTTCCAGTGCCAACGTCCCCGGGGGGGTGTACGGAGCGAAGTGTTGTTCAAGAAACACTTCTAACCAGAAAATATGTGTAGACACGTTGTTTGCCCCCCCCCCCCCCCCTTGGCGGATAAACTTCCACACTCAACAGCATCCCAATCAAGGGTGCTTTCGTCGTCGGATGTATTTTTCTGTCTTTTCAGCGCTTTTCGTGTCTTCGCGCCCATCTCCTTCGTCGGTCAGTTGGCAATCATCTCGTCGGCCGTTTCAACACGACTTTCAGCTCCTTGGTGGCCTGGGCGATGAAGGCGGCTCCAGCGCCATCCTGAGAGGGGACGCACGCGCGAGGCCGAGACGAACCGAGAAGAAACGCACAGGAATACGTTGAAAAAAGCATCCGTCAACAACGTCGGACGCACAGGAATACAGGCACGAGCACGCGACGCTGTTTTCGAAAACAGGAGAGACGACACCTTGCGGAGAAGGAGAGGACAAACATACAGACACGGCGAGGCAGGGAGGAGACGTATGTGAGTTCGATTTCTAGAATCTTTTTGGGCGAGACCACGAGAGCCCAAAACAAAAAAACGCGTCGGCTTCCATCTCACAGTACCGCGCCGAGGAACGCCCACGCTGTTCTCGTCGAGGGCGCGTCTGTTCACTGTTGGCACGAAGCTGACGAGCACTTTTTTCTATAGGGGCATCCCGTGTGGTCCGGCGCCAGGGACGACAACGTTCGGTACCATTTCGGCGTACCAGGCGACGTCACACGAACTAAAACTATTCCCACAAAGATCGAAATGGTGCTCATTCATTACAAGATGAGAATTTATCGCAATAAAAATCGGGCTGGGTTTCATTTCTAGTACACCAATTGTCGACAAAGCTGCCCCTTCAGAAACACGTGCGTTTGTGCGGGAGTTTAGATGAAACGGGTCTAGTCCCTCGGCAGCCAGACGGACCCATACCGCACCCATCTGCCTGGGCGCTGTGCCGCAAAGCGAGACGCAAGAAAGAAAAAGACGCGACCGCCGAACCTGTTGTGCGCTCCGCCCCAGAGGGCCGAGAATTCGTCCGCCTCAGCACGGTGGAGCCGATCCGACACGGGGACGTCAGCCGCCGCCACCACCCTTTTTACAGCTCTCACGGCTTCTAAAGATGGCAGCACGCAGCACGCGCCAAAAGGAACAGAGCGGTAAGCGATGAGATCAGGGCGGCATTGGTTGCTGTAATTCAACGAGTCCGCCAGAAATTTCAGAAGCGGAAGAAACGAAGGGACACCGCACTTTGAGCGAACAAGATCACCCCACCAGTTGGTGATTGTTTTGCTGTGTGGGTGCTGCTGCTGCTTTCTTTCTGCACGTTTGACGAAACTACTTTTTGAGGTATGTGTCCACCGACGACGTGGGCAAGGCGAAACAAGCCAAGGTTTACTTCCCGGCGAGCGTTAGCGAAGGTGTGCCGCCGGCACCGACAACGGCGCGAGGGGCGGTGAGAAGGAGATGGGCCAGCTTGCTGTACAACGCTATCGAAACAAGTACAAATCGCGCGCCGCAGAGGATATGCCTCTTCTCTTCCATGGACTGCACAACTAGGATACCATGAACATCGTCGTGCTTGGCAACTCCGGTAAGATGCTACCGCCACTGACACCACCAGCACTTGTTCACACACGTGGAACTCCTTCCGGCGCCGACGCCCGGCCAAACCTCGTTCACGACGCCCTAGACTGAAATTGACTGAAAATCAACGATCCGGCAACCCAACCTAAAACCTAACCTCGACCCCAACGCCTCACCGTGCGCGTCTTGCGTCAGGACCCCGCCGAGGAACTCTCGCGCCGCCGCGAGCGCTCCGCCTTCCTCCTCCGCGACGGCGTCAACCAGGCCGAGAGCGGCTGCCTCGTCGGCGGCTAGCGGCGGGCTCCATGCCAGCAGTCGCAGGGCGGCCCTCCGGCCGACGAGCCCGACCAACCGAGCTCCGCCGCCCCAGCCCGTGCTCACTCCCATCTGCGTGTGATGCGCATATAGATGTTGGGCGAACGAGGTTGGCAAGGGCAAGGAATGTGTGTGGGTGTGTGTTTCTTTGAGTAGCATCGACCGCGCTGACTGGCTGAAAGGTGGAACGACGTCAGTCTCTTTAAGCGGGATGACAGAATAACGCGCGCATGGTTTCTAGTCATCAGTCGCGCAAGAGGCCGGACTCCAGGGAGTCAAGTCTCCGGATTCCGAGCGCTTACAAAACGTGTGTGTGCGTTTAATTAGTTGGCATCGACCGCGGTAACGGGCTAACCAGCGATTATCACCGTTCTTCCTGCTCGCGCATACACCACAAACGTTTTGAGGCGCTCTTATCGGCTCAGCTGTTTCGTGTGGGCCAGGTTGAGACGGGACACGTGTTGAGCGGCGAAAAAGGAGAAGGAGCTACGAAAGACGGCAAGGGCGTTCGGGAAACAACGCGAGGTGGTATCATCGATACAGGGAACGTGGGTGTAAATCAGTAGTGCTGCTCCAAAAATAGTCTTAATTGACTTTGCGATCGAAATCTCTGGCAAATGACAACCACGCCAACTTGGTTATAGCAGCGGAAGCTGCTGCAGCAGCAGCAGCAGCAGCAGAAATAGCAGCAAGCAATCACAGCAGTGGCTTAGAAACCGCATCGGTACAAGTCTTCGCATGGGTACAAGCCCTCGTCCGGTAGGTAAACGGAGGGGGGGGGGGAACGTGAGAACACCATTAGCTGAGCGCGCACGTCTACGCACCTTGACCTGCACAAAGCGAATGTTAGACTCCGGCCCGGCTACGCGGAAGTCGCAAGAGGTAGCGAGCTCTGCTCCCCCGCCAATTGCCGCTCCGTCGATCGCAGCCACGCTAATGAGGGGCAACCTGCCCTTGCGTTGGTTGGTGACCGAAGCAACAAACAAGAAGACCAACACGAGTAAGCTACGAAGGCTCCGGCTTTGATCCGGCTACTACCCGAAATAGCACGCATCTACCCCATTGGCATTCTTGAGCGTAAGAAGGGGCCGTGGTGCGTCCATGCAGGACGGCCGATCCATTCGTGCCACTGTTGCAGCTGCAAACGAGTACACCAGGAAGGTTTTCTTATCTGTCCACGGAGATTCTTCGCACCCAAGGCGTGAGCTAATTTACGCAACACCCACGTGCACCATTCCCTACGGCCAGAGTTAGTTATCTGAGCACGGGTTCCGTGGCTAACGAATAACGTCTCGAAAATTGTCGTTGCAACCATCGGGCCCAGGCTCACGAGCATGTACCGACAAAGGGAGGATGGATGCCCTTGGGTGTGCGCTCAACAGGAGGGAAACAAAACAAGGCCCAAGACGTGATTGTCACGCAATGCATTCAATGAAATCTCGTCCAAGCCCATCTGTACACACATAAAACGGCAGCAGCAGCAGCTATGGCCAGAAAAAGTTACCTCCTGAGACGCGTCAACGTGTCGGACATGAGGGCGCACATGGACCGGCCGTCGGCGCCCGTTCGCAGGTGCTCCCTGGCGAGCGACAGGTCCGCCCCCGCGCAAAAGTTTCCTCCCATCCCATGCACTACGAGGGCTACCCCCCTGTCCCATTGCTCCAGCTCGTCCACGGCGTCGGACAGCTGGACCATCATCGTGCCGGAAAGGGCTGTTGATATTTTTATCGTAGGAAATATACATAGAATCGAGAAATCAATACATGGGGATGGGTTCAAATTTGCTAGATGTATCTACATTTTCGAGGAAGTCGCAGGCGACGACGAATGTAGATGGGCCGTCGTGTGCAGCAGTAGCGTCGTCAACTAGACGAGCAAGGCGTGGGTTACTGTGGGTTACTGTTACTGCTTGCCGGAGGTGCACGGCACACCGCAACATCGCCGTTGTCGAGAGGGAATTGCGGGGGTGCGTGACGTGGCGAGGTGCCAAACACAGTACAACGCGGTGACGGTGAACGGTGAGTAGTGTATGCATCACGGTACTGCAGGTGTACCGTCGAGAACAGCAGTATGCGCAACCGTTTGCATAACACATAATTCTTAGTTTGAGCTGTGCTTTTCTGCTTCCTGCCACGACTAGGTCGGGGCCACATGCAAGGCAAGTGGGGAAGACGGGTTGTGTTCAGTGGAGGCGCGGACAGGGCGGGGCGACGGGGGGGAAGACATATTGGGAGAAAAAAAAACAAAAGTTGTGTTGCACAAGAGGACACCCTCGCGTTGCAGACCGAAAATTATGGGTCTGTTGATACAGCCTCGCAGCTGCACATTGGCGAAGGCTAGGAAGAATTTATAAGTATGCGGCAAGGACGCGCATCTGTGCCGCATCGCCGGACGCAGATCTCCGTCGCTCTCGTTGGCGCCACGATGCTGCTACTCTCCGTTCTCTCTCTATTGAGAAACAGCGGTCCTGTTCAAAAGTGATGAAGTGACAGCCGAGGAGCTTTGGCGCTGCAGGCTTTAGACACGTTGCAGCCTTAGCACCCTCCGCCTCCCGCCTCTCCTATGACAACACCGGTAGATATTCCAACACATGGAACCTTTGGAATCGAAGTCACACAATTTTAATTTTCAACGTCAACTGCTGTTGCTAGAACATGTGTGGTAGTAGTAGTAAATATGCGCCAGAGCCTACAGAACATTATCTTGCTCCGAAAGATAGCTGTGCACCTCATGAGTGTGGTAGACTATGAAATCCTAAGCTCATCCGCGGTGGGTGGAAGCCACTGCTTGAAAGAATCGACTGATGTCATTGCGGAGTAGTACTTTTCAAACATTTTTTGTTCTGGGAGGTGGTACATCTATAGCTCCACCTCTCCCTCTCTTGGAGATCTCTCTCACCGTTACGTCTTTCGTGGTTGTCCAGAACCAACGTCGCCAAACCACTTCTGTCATCGAGAGCGAGATCCACCCGCCCGGGTCCGAGAGGTCGCAACCGATCCTTGAACTCGCGCAAGTCTCCGTCCTCGTCCGGCGTGCTGGTGCTAAATTGGCGCCTGATGCACCGCTTTGAGCTCGTCGCACAGGCACCTGTCCGGAAATTCTGGGATGAAATGACGCGGGGCGGCCAGAGAAGGGTGGAGCGGTGTTGCACGAGCCGTGTGCAACGCGGAAACATGACCTTCTTGTTGCTGAGTTCATTGATCTGTGATTGGTGCACCCAAACCCTGAATGGCATGGGCGCCCGCGATTGGCTCTTCACTCGTTACCTACCCGTTAGCCACGTATACTCCTGTTCGCTGACCCCCCCTCGGCAAGCAACAAGCACGCAAGATAGATGCTACAAACAGCCAGCACACGCCACGAGGAGGTGTGTAGGGACACCAACCACATACGATTGCCAAGATTCAAGGCCTCCGGAGGGTTGCCAACAGTGTGCCGTACGTGCTTCAGCGCTTCCATCCACGTAAATCGAGCTCAGGGTAAGCAGTGATTTCAAACGGCGGGAGTACCGCAGGCCTCTGCACAGCATTGAAAGGCATCAGCAGCGCGGGAGACGATGGAAAGCCAGGATGCCGTGGGCCTCGACCATGACGTCTCACTCACGGACCTTCAGGTGCGCTCGTGTATTTGGTGGTATGCTTACGTCGTTGCAATCGCAGCAGTTTTTTTTTCCGTTTTCGGTCGTTGGCGGAATTTGGCCATGTTTCATGGACGCAGTCTGTCCTCCCAGCGGTCCTGCTCGAAAGGGTGGGCACATCGCCTGCTGTAAGCAATTGCTACTGGTACGTGGGTACGACCCCCGTAGTCAGCGCTTGGTCCACCCGTGTATCCTCCGTGCTTTGTCCACCCGTGTATCCTCCGTGCTTTTGGACGGCTCGAAGCGTATTGTTGTTGTGAAAGTTATGGGGACGGAAGATTTACTGTAGTTGCTACAGTGGGGGGCCCTCTATAGTGCCGGTACGTGCGCAGGGCGTTCACCGGCACTATAGCGGGCACCGGCACAACTGGGAATAGTGCCTCAATAGTGCCAAACGGCACTATTCGGGTGATCGATATCCCTCAGTAGTGCCGGTCTGGCACTACTGAGGCACTGCTGTTTGAGTTCATGGTGTATCGCTTACCATTTGCGAGGCCAACAGAGTAGCATGTGGATCGAGTGTGGTGAATATACTTTGTGGGCGGCAGGGGCAGCCTTTTCTGAGACAAATGTGGGTTCCACTCTGATAGCTGAGTTTGCCGCGAAACCATTCCCGCATGCACGCGCAGAATTCACCTTCGGAGCTAAACCCCGTGTACAGCTCCCGTCCGTGCAACTTAGTATACTTGAAAAAATATCACGTTCCTCGCTGCCTCCCTACGATGTTGCATGATGAGACACGCCAACAAAACCAATAAACGCGCCAGCAACGAAGCGGACAAAAATAAAACAAAACAAAAAGAAAAAAACTGCGGTATAGCTGTCCCCCCCTCACTCATCAACAAACTCTCTCATGTCTGTCTGGCGCACGCCCTTAGCGGCATGCGCCGCGATCATCGCCATCTTCGCTTTCGATAGGTGGAACGCAGCGTCCCCGTTTCCACTCTCCCGCGCGGCCACCTCCAGGACGCCGAAGTGAGAAGACAGTTCACCGTAAGCCGGTGGGGCGCGGCGGCCGCCCCCCGTGTCCTTATGATCACTGTCCGCCTCATCTTCGGATTCCTCCTCGCGGCAGGTAGATAGGCGCGTTCCCGCTAGCTGTGCCGTCATTTCGTCCGCTGCATCCTGTCGAAAAGCCTCCACCACGTCATCGTCATCCTCGATGGTAGCCCACGCCTGAACTAAGTCCACCGCCTCCTCCGGGGCAGGCTCTCCGGGTGAGACGTTGATTTCTGCGAACATTTCACTCAGGTCCTCGTCTTCGATGCGAGACCCCTGCTGCTGCGCGTCGTGCACGCTCGTGCTCAACGAGTGGACACTCTTCGTGAGGGACCTCAACGCAGGCTCGTGGATGCGGGCCTGGGTTTTCCCGTGGAGGTTGGTGAGCTCAGCCGCCATCTCCTGCGGAAGCGTGTCGGCTTTGACAAAGCACCTGGTCGCGGGGTTGCCGAGAATACGAACCGCATCCGTTTTTGAGTGCAACGCAGATATTAGACGGACCCAGCGGCAGAAGTTGACTCATCCGCATGCAAAAAAAGAGGAAATTTTTATTGCAAACGAGGGATGCCCCCGCAGGAAACTTTCTCAAAAAAAATCCGTACCACCTCTGCCACGAAACGTGCCACCAAAGCTATTGTGCTAGCACCACCGCCCGAGTTGAAGCATCTACATAGCAACAGAACATGTTCAAACCTGACCTGGCGATGTCCTGGGGAGTGACGCTGCCCCATGCTTTCTGAAGAAGTTCAGCGGCGTCCCGTAGGTGAGGTTGGTGCCCCTGCGCCAGCCCCATCGTCCCGGCCTTCATCTTACTGGCTTTGGCCTGGGCGCGAAGGGTCTCAGCGACCAACATTGTGGAAACCTGGTGCCCCTGCGCCAGCCCCATCGTCCCGGCCTTCATCTTACTGGCTTTGGCCTGGGCGCGAAGGGTCTCAGCGACCAACATTGTGGATGCCTTCACGTTGAGCAGCTCCTTCCTGTAGAGGACGTTCGTCTTCGCGATGATCCCCATGTCCATGGGCTGGTGCAGGCTGGTGCAGTTCGGAGGATAGAACTTGATGGTAACTTGCCCACGATCATCAACGAGATCGCCGTGAGAGGAGCAGCCGTCCATCAGGAACAGCACCTTTTCGTGAGTGAAGCGCCGAATGAACGGGAGGAAGACTTCAAGCCACCACTTGAGGAACGTCGCGGAGTCAGACCACGCGTTGGCCTGCGAGAAGTGCTTCAGAGGTGGAGGCGCGTCCGTGAAGCAGCGAGGCACCTTCGACCTCCCGATGATGGCCATGTCCACCTTTGCAGTGCCGTCGGCGTTGCTGCACATGATGGCAGACATCCGATCCTTGAAGTACATGCTCTTGGAGCCCCGCGCCTTCTTGCGGTCCTCCGAGGAGGAAAGATACGTGCGCCTGGGCATAAGCTTCCACTGGATGCCTGTCTCGTCCACGTTGAAGATGAACCTAGCTGGGTACTTCGCGCAAAGGCTCCTGACTTCCTCCATGCCCTTCTCGGTGGCCGCTGGGTCGACACTACCAGCCTCGCCATGAAGTCTCGCACTCAGCACCTTGTTGCGCTTCACGAAGTTCTTGGCCCACTTTTCACCGGCCTTGAAGTCCTCGACCCTCGCCCTCACTGCTGCAGAAGTAGCGGGCTCAGCGAGCAGGGTTGCCACGGTGGAACGGCCGAAGCTTCGAAGTACGTCCCGTGTGACGGGCATCTTGGCCTTCTGGGCTTTATCGAGCAGATCAATATAACTATCTCATCCACCTGCCGGCGAAAAAGAGTATACAATGCAGAGGTTCAAACGACCAACGATTAGTTTCAAACGTAAGCATCTACACTGCGCGGCGCAGATACGAGGGACGACGCCGCGGTACACCGTAAACAAAGCTGATGTTTTTTAAGTGCCACTACACCCGGAAAGAAAAAAATTGCGGGAGGGGAAAGGGAAAGTTGCGAGGAGACGCTCGTACAGGCTACATCTGCTTACATCTGCTTACATCTGCTTGTTTGTTTTGAAAAAAAAGCGGATGCGAATATGTACACAACAGTGCTCTTTCAATTTCAAGGACAAATAATCGGAAGGTCTATGAGTGTGGACATCGAGGACCTCAAAGGCCAAAGACATAACAAAGAAAGGCAAAGAGAAAGAAAAAAAGGAGGTGACATGAAAAAAAAAAACACCATATGATACATACGAAAAGACGAAAAGGGAAAGGCAAAGAAACAAGGAAGGGCAAAAAAAAAAAAGGTACAGCAGTAGAAATCGGCGACATGAGGGCATTTTTGAAAAATGGCGGGGAAAAACAACGTTCGAGAGGAAATTGCCAGGCATGTCGTGTACTCTGCCTACCTCCGGAAAGTCTCCTCTGCGTGCGGTTTTCTGGCTTCCGTCGCCTGCAGCTGCCTTAGCCTCCACTTCCTTCCGTTCAGCTTTCACCTTGCGGACCAGCCGTTCCGAGCACTTAAAGCGATCTGCTATCTGCTCATGAGAAATCTTGGCATCCAGCAGCTTGAGGACCTCAACCTTGTCAGCGTTGCTCAGCCGCGCGCGAGAAGCCTTCTTCCCCCCCCCTTTCTCTGTCGGACGTTTAGATGGTCCCGCCCCAGCATCAACCCCAGCTGCGGTCGCTTTGCGCTTGCCAGTCTTAGCAGCGACGCAAGAACTGCAGATGCGGGATGTTTCGAAGTCACCCTCCACGCTGCCGCAAGTGCCATGGAGCCGCCCGCCACATCCTCCCTTGCAGACGTGGCCATGAGGGGGCTTCGGCGTTCTGTTCTGTTGAAGGCACAGTTCACCTTCCGCACACGGCATGGTGCGCCTCTGCGTAGAGCTGTGTTGGACTGCAGCAGCACGGTGTCTGTATTTTGGGAGTGTGGTGGTGTGTGTGCGTGCGTGTGTGAACTGGCACTATTGCGGGCTGACGTGGTGCCCAACCGGCACTATACCAGGCCCGCCCTCAATAGTGCCGTTTGGCACTATTGAGGGCGCTTTCTGTGTGGAGAGATTTTACCGGCACTATACCGGCAGTTGGCACTATTCAACCGGCACTAGAGGGCCCCCACACTGTAGTGCCAACTGCC